AATAAGGGACCAGCAGCCTCACCTGTCCCGGGAACAGTCTACGGGAGATATAACAGTCCAGGATAGCAGCGGGAAACGGCGCTGGAATAAGGGGATTTCCCGCCAAAAAAGGGAAGGTTGACAGCTATGAATTGAAGGCAGCCTTGTTTAGGGAAGCTTTTAATGTTTAATAGGTTATTGTAGTTTAATACAGTGGTACCTCGGGTTAAGTACTTAATTCGTTCCGGAGGTCTGTTCTTAACCTGAAACTGTTCTTAACCTGAAGCACCACTTTAGCTAATGGGGCCTCCCACTGCTGCAGCGCGATTTCTGTTCTCATCCTGAAGCAAAGTTCTTAACCTGAAGCACTATTTCTGGGTTAGCGGAGTCTGTAACCTGAGGCGTATGTAACCTGAAGCGTCTGTAACTCGAGGTACCACTGTATTCTGTTGGAAGCCGCCCAGAGTGGCTGGGGAAACCCAGCCAGATGGGCGGGGTATAAATAATAAATTATTATATTATTATTATTCCCACAGGACGGTTCATCTTTAACCCCGCCTCACAGAATTGTTGCAAGGATAAAAATGGGGAGGAGGAAGGAGAGAACCATGGAGGAAAAGAGGCAGAATGCATTGATCAAATCCAGGTTTCTATATCCTGTGCGACCCCAAACCCCTTCCTTCTCCTCAGCCCTAGGATCCCGCTTGCCCGTCGCCGTCTGGCCTGAAGCAGCACCGAGGGGAAGGCGAGGTCCTCCGGCACCAAAACCGCCTCGGATGCCGCGCAGGCCGTTTCTAGGTGCGGGTGGGATGGTGGGGCTTCGGCTGCTCCCCTCCCCTCCCCGCCTCGCCGCTCACCCTTCCGGGCTGCTTTCCTCCGGAGCGATCCCCTCATCGATCAGCTCCCGTATCTTCTGCGGCGTGATGGCCGGAGACTTCGTCTTGGCCCCCGAATCGCCATCCTCCTTCTCCGGGGCAGCAGCAGCAGCAGCTGCCGTAGCGCTGGGCGCCGCCATCTTGGTCCCTCGCTATAAACCTTCCGCCGCGCCTCCTCACCAAGGTGGCAGAGCAACATTGGTTCCGGGGAGGTTCGGTTCGCGCCCATCGCTACCCGCAAGGCTGGTCTCTCTCTCTCTCTCTTTTTATTTATGCTTTTCAGGTTTATACATTTCACTGGTTTTACAATCATTTTAACATCTCAAAAATTCGAACTTCCTTCCGCCTCTTTTCTGCGGTTCCTTAAATTTATTTTTAATATCTTCTGAATATCCAAATTAACTTGACTTCCTCGTTTAAGCCCTGTTTAGGAAAGCTTTTAATGTTTAATAGGTTATTGTATTTTAGTGTTTTATTGGAAGCCGCCCAGAGTGGCTGGGGAATTATTACTTGTATAAGTAATAAATAATAATAATAATAATTATTATTATTATCATCTGCTTTAAATATGTTGTTGTTGTTGTTTAGTTGTTTAGACGTGTCCGACTCTTCATGACCCCCTGGACCAGAGCACGCCAGGCCCTCCTGTCTTCCACTGCCTCCCGCAGTTTAGGGAAGCTTTTAATGTTTGATATATTACTTTATTTTAATATTTGGTTGGAAGCTGCCCAGAGTGGCTGGAGAAGCCCAGCCAGATGGGCGGGGTATAAATAATATATTATTATTATTATTATTATTATTATTATTATTCAATAAACCATTTCCATCCTTTTACAAAAAGTTTGTTATCTTGATTTCTCAGTCTTCTGGTAAGTTTCGCCATTTTCTGCATATTCCGTAAGTTTTTGCATCCATTCTTCCTGTGCTGGGACTTCTGCACAAGGCTGGTCTCGAAGGGAAGGCAAGCAAAGGACGGCAGCAATCGCCTTCTCCCCTGGTTAGCAGCCACCCTCCACTGACAAAGCGCAGCAGGACAAAAAAAGGGGTATAATAATAATAATAATAATAATAATAATAATAATAATAATAATAATAAATGGGGACACAGGTGGTGATGTGGGTTAAACCACAGAGCCTAGGGCTTGCCGATCAGAAGGTTGGCGGTTCGAATCCCTGCGACGGGGTGAGCTCCCATTGCTCATTCCCTGCTCCTGCCAACCTAGCAGTTCGAAAGCACCTCAAAGTGCAAGTAGATAAATAGGTACCACTCCAGCGGGAAGGTAAACGGCGTTTCCGTGCGCTGCTCTGGTTCGCCAGAAGCGGCTTAGTCATGCTGGCCACATGACCCAGAAGCTGTATGCCGGCTCCCTCGGCCAATAAAGCGAGATGAGTGCCACAACCCCAGAGTCGGTCACGACTGGACCTAATGGTCAGGGGTCCCTTTACCTTTAATAATAAAAATATTTTCTTTATATCCCGCCCTCCCCAGCCGAAGCCAGGCTCAGAGCAGCTAACAACAGTAAAATGATACAACATTCTAAATGGGACACAGGGAACCTGCAGCCCTTCAGATGCTGATGGACTCCAACTCCCATCAGCCCCAGCGCAGCCCATCAGAGAATCATAGAGTTGGAAGGGATCCCCAAAGGTCATCAAGCCCAACCCTCTTCAGTGCGGGAATCTCAGCTAAAGCATCCATGGCAGCTGGCCATCAAACCTCTGCTTAGAAACCTCCAAGGAAGGAGAGTCCACCACCTCCAGAGGGAGACCGTTCCACTGCCAAGCAGCTCTTACTGTCAGAAAAGGCACCTTTCCTATGCTGCAAGGCAGTGTGGCGTAGTGGTTATGAAGGAAGGTGAGGACAGGTGACCTCACCTAGGCCCGAAGTCACCACCAAAGCAGGCTCAAAGCTTCTCAGAGCTTTTCAAAATCATTTTTCTCAGCAGCTAAAAGGCATTAGCTAAGCATCAGAAACATTCCGCTTGCAGTAACTAAAAAGATTGCAACAAGGTAGAGAACAGAGCCCATTGTCTTCTCAGGCCTTTCTCAGAACCACATTGCAACTTGCTTTCTCTCTGGGAACCATGCCAAAGCACAAGAATGAAACAACGGTAGCACTCTGAAAACCCCCTCACCCCCTTTCCTGCCAAGAGTCCCCAAGACAGCTTTCTGTTCATGCTCAGAGGAACTCAGGGGCAGGACTCCTGAGGGAGGAGAAAGGAGGAGGGAACTAGAAGGGTATATATGCTTGTGCACATGATTGTGAACTCGCGCATGCTTTTGTGGACTATCACACTTGCTCCTTCTACCAGTTCATGGATGGTAGAAATAAAAAACCCTTTTCTCCGAAACTATTCCTTGAGTGTCTGTTGACTCCCACTTCCCTTTCCCAGGCGCAATATTTTTCCCACCCAAGGGCAAAGCCTCATAAGGCTACAGTTAGAGCAGGCATGGCCAAATTTGGCCCTCCAGCTGTTTTGGGACTACAACTCCCATCATCCCTAGCTAACAGGACCAATGGTCAGGGATGATGGGAATTGTAGTCCCAAAAACAACTGGAGGGCCAAGTTTGGCTATGCCTGGGTTCGAGGGTTAAGCTAAGCAGGGGACTCCCAGGTTCCAGTCGCCACTTGGCCATAGGTTTCATTGGCTGAGCTTGAACGCAGACACTGTCTGTCCAGCCAGCCTAGCCTACCTCACAGGGTTGTTGTGAGGACAAAACAGAGAGGAGATCCACGTATTGCTGCCTTTTATTTCCTCGAAGGAAAGGCAGGGAGTATGCAAGTAGTTACAGTAGTACCTCGGGTTACATACGCTTCAGGTTACAGACTCTGCTAACCCAGAAATAGTACCTCGGGTTAAGAGCTTCGCTTCAGGATGAGAACAGAAATCAGGCTCTGGCGGCGCAGCGGCAGCAGGAGGCCCCATTAGCTAAAGCGGTGCTTCAGGTTAAGAACAGTTTCAGGTTAAGAACGGACCTCCAGAACGTATTAAGTTCTTAACCCAAGGTACCACTGTACTAAGGCTAGAAGTACAGAAGTTTTCCCTCCCTAATTTTGGTTCCTCTCGTTTCATTTTTGTCGGTTAAATGTTCACTTGGGGTTGGCTGTTACTTTGATTTGGGTATAACTATGAACTGTTCATTGTTGCTGCTGTTACCACTTTTCACTGATTTATTGGTTTATATGTTGCTTGTATAGGATATCTTGGTTTTTTTAATGTTTGATGCTTTGTTGTGTTTTATATGTTGGAAGCCGCCCAGAGTGGCTAGGGAAACCCAGCCAGATGGGCGGAATATGAATTTATTATTATTATTATTATTAGTAGTAGTAGTAGTATTACTAATAACATTCATTTTGTTTCTTTTCTGCAGCCCTTAAAACTGTCGCGGCCTCCTCAGAACTCCTGGGAACTATAGTTTTCGCGCTAGCGCCCAGGACAGTGTTCCCCAACCTTGGGCCTCCATCTGTTTTTGGACTACAATTCCCCTCATCCCTCGCTAGCAAGACTAGTGGTCAAGGATGATGGGAATTGTAGTCCAAAAACAGCTGGAGGCCCAAGGTTGGGGAACACTGGCCCAGGACACCTCCCTCGCAGAACTACAACTCCCAAGATTCCTGGCGAAGAAGAACCGTCTCTTCCGCCTGTCGATCCGCTATTTCCTATTTCGATTGCTCCTGCCTCCCCCCCCCCATTCCCCGTTCTGTGCGGAAAGGCCTTAACCTTGCGAGCGATTGCTCTGGTCTGGCTGCCTCTTCCTCCCCCTTCCTTTCCATGATGACGTCGCCCAGCCCTTTCGCCTCTCCTCCTCTTCCTCCAAGGCGACCCAACAACCGCGCCTCCGATTGGCCGGCGCTGTGCAAGGCCGGCGCCTATTGGCTGTGGTAGCGGGAAAATTCTTGTTCAGCCCCCCGCCGCTCCTCGCGCAGGCACGCACAAGCCCCTCCTCCGGCCCCTCACGGCGCGCTCCGATTGGCCGGCGCTGTGCAAGGCCGGCGCCTATTGGCTACGGCAGCGGGAAACTCTTGTTTCCCCCCTCCCCGCTCCTCGCGCAGGCACGCACAAGCCGCTCCTCCAACAACCGCGCCTCCGATTGGCCGGCGCTGTGCAAGGCCGGCGCCTATTGGCTGTGGCAGCGGGAAACTCTTGTTTGCCCCCCCCTCCTCCAGCCCCTCACGTCGCGCTCCGTTTGGGCGACTGTGAGGGAGCCGAGAAGAGGAAGGAGGGCCAAGATGTCGGCGGGGAACGGAGAGGGCTGGGACGGCAACCGGCAGCGCGGCGCCGGCGGCGGGAAAGGGCCCGCGGCTCAAGCCCCGCGCGGGGGGCTCCTCAACCGCTTCGTCAGGCTCCCGCCGGGCCCGGGCCGAGGCGGTGAGTGGGGGGGGGGGAGCGCGACTGCGCCTGCGCCACAGCCAGAGCCCCGCTGCCCACCCCGAATTGGTGGTGTTGAGTCGTGTCCGACTCTTCGTGACCCCCTGGACCAGAGCACGCCAGGCCCTCCTGTCTTCCACTGCTGTGGAAACCAGAAGTCGGGCCTTTAATGTTGCCGGTCTTAGAACCACAGAATTGTAAAGGACCCCAAGAGCCATTCTAGCCCAACCCCCTTCAACGCAGAATTCACAGCTGAGAGATGGCCACCCAACCTCTGCTTAAATACCTCCAAGAAAGGAGAGTCCACTACAGTGGTACCTCGGGTTACAGACGCTTCAGGTTACAGACTCCACTAACCCAGAAATAGCGCTTCAGGTTAAGAACTTTGCTTCAGGATGAGAACAGAAATCTTGCTCTGGCGGCAGCAGCAGGAGGCCCCATTAGCTAAAGTGGTGCTTCAGGTTAAGAACAGTTTCAGGTTAAGTACGGACCTCCGGAACGAATTAAGTACTTAACCCGAGGTACCACTGTAAAGAGTTAGAATACACGACTGGATTTGATAAGGGATACCAGCTGTTGAGAAGGAGGGAAGTCGCAAGCTCGGCAGAGCAAAAAGGTTTATATGTTGATTAATGTATTGTTTAAAGAAATGCATAAAGAAAAGAATAAAAATTTATTGGGGGGGGGAGACCCCATTAGCTAAAGTGGTGCTTCAGGTTAAGAACAGTTTCAGGTTAAGTACGGACCTCCGGAACGAATTAAGTACTTAACCCGAGGTACCACTGTACCTTCTGAGGGCATTCATTCCACTGTCAAACAACTTTTGCGCTCAGAAAGATCTTCCTAACGTTTATTTAGAATCACCTTTCTTTGTAATTTGGTTCGGGTCCTACCCTCTGGAGTGGCAGAAAACAAGCTTGCTCCATCTTCCATGTGACAGCCCTTCAGATATTTGAAGATATTTGTATACACCTAAAAAGTGGTTATAGCTAACAATGTTCTAGCCATACTGAAAGTCAAGGAGCCAGGAAGAGATCATTCACTTGTGCACACACCATTTCTCAATCTTTCATTTCCATCATTCTAATGTCATTTCTGCAAAACCACTTTCTTCATTCAAGTTGTTGTTGTTGTTTAGTCGTGTCTGCCTCTTCGTGACCCCCTGGACCAGAGCACACCAGGCACTCCTGTCTTCCACTGCCTCCCACAATTTGGTCAAACTCATGCTGGTAGCTTCGAGAACACTGTCCCGCCATCTCGTCCTCTGTCGTCCCCTTCTCCTTGTGCCCTCCATCGTTCCCAACATCAGGGTCTTTTCCAGGGAGTCTTCTCTTCTCATGAGGTGGCCAAAGTCTTGGAGCCTCAGCTTCAGGATCTGCCCTTCCAGTGAGCACTCAGGGCTGATTTCCTTAAGAATGGATGTGTTTGATCTTCTTGCAGTCCATGGGACTCTCAAGAGTCTCCTCCAGCACCATAATTCAAAAGCATCCATTCTTCGGCGATCAGCCTTCTTTGTGGTCCAGCTCTCACTTCCATACATCACTACTGGGAAAACCATGGCTTTAACTATACGGACCTTTGTTGGCAAGGTGATGTCTCTGCTTTTTAAGATGCTATCTAGGTTTGTCATTGCTTTTCTCCCAAGAAGCAGGCGTCTTTTAATTTCGTGGCTGCTGTCACCATCTGCAGTGATCATGGAGCCCAAGAAAGTAAAATCTCTCACTGCCTCCATTTCTTCCCCTTCTATTTGCCAGGAGCCGATGGGACCAGTGGCCATGATCTTAGTTTTTTTGATGTTGAACTTCAGACCATATTTTGCGCTTTCCCCAAATATGCTGAATCTGAATGTCTTGTGCTTGATTGGGGTCGTCCAGCTGACCGCCGTTGGAAGCATCTCGCTGGGGCCACATTGGTCTGATCGGCTTATAAGCGCTTTACGGAGGGGGGTTTGGGGAGCCTCCTCAGGTGACATTCACCCCGCATGTGCAGAATGCAGGCAGCCCCATGTGTAAATCCCGAACAGCAGCCCTGCAAGGTCACCTGGTGCTGCTGTCACTGCCTTGGGGTAAGCTTCGTGTGTGTATACAGTACAGTGGTACCTCAGTCATCAATTGCCTTGGTATTCAAACAACTTGGAACTCAAAAACTGCAAACCCAGAAGTAAGTGTTCTGATTTGCGAACTTTTTTCAGAAGCCGAACATGCAACGCTTTGAGTGTTGCGCTTCCGTTTTGAGTGTTACGCTGAGGTCTGTCTGTCTTTGCTATTTATTTTGCATTTTGCAGCTCTCTTTGTTTTGTTTTTGTGACTGTGTGGAACCCAGTTCAGCCCCTGATGATTTGATTGTGTGACTGCAGTACATCATTTATTGCTTTCATTTTATGGATCAATGGTCTCATTAGATAGTAAAATCCATGTTAAATTGCTGTTTTAGAGGTTGTTTTTAAAAGTCTGGAAGGGATGAATCCGTTTTGCATTGCTTTCTATGGGAAAGCGCTCCTTGGCTTTGGAACGCTTTGGTTTTGAACAGACTTCCGGAACGGATTAAGTTTGAGAACCCAGGTGCCACTGTATGTTGCAACTTGCGTACAGCGCCTTGGCCGATCCTGAACAGCAGCCCTGAAAGGTAGCTTGGCGTTGTTGCTTCTCCGGTTTGCTGTTGTGGGGTGAAGGGAGAGGTCAAGCAGCTTGCTTAAGGCCCCCTAATGAGTTTCTGACAGAGGTGAGACCAGGACTTCCTGACTCATAGCTTTAGCCACTATGCCACACAAGCTTTTGGCACCTTTCCCGTCGTTCGTGACTAATTCCACCCCATAAAACAGTGCCAAGTTCATTGCATTGGAAACGTGCTGCTTGATCTCTTGTGTGTTTATTGGATATAAATTCCATGGTGCTCACTGGTATTTACCCCCAAGAATGCATAGAGTTGCACTTTCGGTTACTAAAATGTTTATATACTTCCTGTTTCCTGCTTACATTAACTGTCAAAAGCGCAACTAAAACTTTTAAAAGAATCAGGTGCAGTATATAAGGGGGGAAATGTAAAGAAAGTTGGACATGGACCAGCTTGCTGATACTGCCAGTTTTTCAGGTGCTGTTGAAACACAGCCAGGATAGGAAGTCCCGTAATGTGTGTGCCACAGAGAATGCTTTTCCCTCATGTGCCACCACCAACCAGTCTTCTGATGGTGGAATGCCCAGGGCAGTCTGTCAGTATCACCTGAGTAGACAGGTGAACTCACCTTGGAGGAGACAGTCTTTTAAGTATCAGAGTTCCAAGCTGCACAGTGCTTTAAAAATGGTACTCAGCACTTTGGGTTGGGTGTGGAAAGAAATCAGAAAATCGGTGCAGGTGGTATGGCAGTGGAGCAACACGCTTCAGGAACTTGTTGCTGGTCAGAACTCTTGACTCCTGCTTCCTGCATCAACTGAACACGCTTAGAGTCCCGTTATATCCTTCAAAGAGAGTCTGATGCAAGACTTGTTACTGTAATGCAAGTCTAGGTGTAACAAGTACATAACCGCAGCTGGATCTGCTCTCTCTAGGTTTGGTTGCAGTTGGCGTGTTAGTTTAAGATGTGCAAAAGCTCTCCTTCCTGGTCACAGTTATCACCGGTACTGGCTATCTAGGAGCACAGTCACACCATAAACAACCTTATTGGCTCCCAGTACGTTTCCGAGCACAATTCAAAGTGTTGGTGTTGACCTTTAAAGCCCTAAATGGCCTCGGTCCTGTATACCTGAAGGAGCGTCTCCACCCCCATCGTTCTACCTGGACACTGAGGTCCAGCGCCAAGGGCCTTCTGGCAGTTCTCTTGCTGCGAGAAGCCAAGTTACAGGGAACCAGGCAGAGGGCTTTCTTGGTGGTGGCACCCGCCCTGTGGAACACCCTCCACCAGCTGTCAAAGAGAACAACAACTACCAGAGTTTTAGCAGACATCTGAAGGCAGCCCTGTTTAGGGAAGCTTTTAACGTTTGATGCTTTACTGTATTTTAATATTTTGTTGGAAGCCGCCCAGAGTGGCTGGGGAAACCCAGCCAGATGGGCAGGGTATAAATAAATTATTATTATTATTATTATTATTATTATTATTATTATTATTATTAAGACCGGGCTGTGCATCATTGGTCCTCTTGACCAGCAGCACATCTAACTCTTTGTTAATGTTCTTTGTTAGCGAGACCACACTTTTTGTTGTTGTTGATGTGACAGGGCGCCTGAATGCATACTGGTTTATGTGCATGTAGCTAAACCACATCCGAACAAGGTACTTCAACCCCATTTCATGTTACTGCTGGGTGCATATCTAGGGAGTGCACAGAGACCATGAATCAGGCCAGCTAGTGTGATCTTGTCCCTCTGCCACAGGGTTCATCGGACTGGGAGAGGTGGCAGTCTGAAAAGGGCTCCAGTTCTGTCAAGGTTAAGCTTTAGTTTGTTAACCCGTAATGATGCAGTTGCTTATCAAGCTCAGGCATTAATTCAGCGCCTCTGCAGCCTTTCTGGAATTGGGATGAAAAGCGAGGAGAGGTGGTGTTATTTCTGTACCGATGGCACTGTACCTTGAAATAGAACCCCAGATGGAAAAAAATGTTGAGCGGACGACCTCTACCACCAACTTTTGGTAAACCAACTTCTAGGAAGGACTGAAACCACAGTGGAAAAACCCCTCCCAGATAATGTTGAGAGTTCATAAGAGCCTCCTGGATCAAGCTAATAATCCGTCCACTCCTGTTCTCATAGTGGCCAACCAGATACATATGAGAAGCCCACAAGCCAATACAGTGGTACCTCGGGTTAAGTACTTAATATGTTCTGGAGGTCCGTTCTTAACCTGAAACTGTTCTTAACCTGAAGCAACACTTTAGTTAATGGGGCCTCCTGCTGCTGCCGCACTGCCACTGCACGATTTCTGTTCTCATCCTGTAACCTGAAGCGTATGTAACCCGAGGTACCACTGTATGATTGAAAGCCAGAAATGTTTGGAGGATCAGCTGTAACCATCCACAACACCACATCTCCTTGTGTAGCTTTTTACCCAAACCGTTTGCACACACCTTTCATGACTTACCTGCTCCCATGCCCGCCAATGAAAACGGGTTCTCGGGAATTTATCCAAGATGGAACTGGAGCAACTTCCTTTCTTGGTGCTGAGACTTTATCTATTGTGATGCCCACCTCTCTCCCTCCTTTGTCATCTTTCTATGCTGCTCCACCCAGCTTTGCAAAATATATTCTTTCCCGTCTTAGTTTATGAAAATCTTTTGTCTCTCTGCTTTAGGCCACAGAGTCCCACCAGCCAGAAGCGGCCACCGTTGTGTGGCAGACAATGCCAACTTGTACGTGTTCGGCGGATACAATCCTGACTATGATGAGTCCGGAGGGCCAGAGAATGAAGACTACCCACTCTTCAGGGAGCTTTGGCGATACAACTTTGCTACCGGCACTTGGCATCAAATGGGCACAGAGGGTTACATGCCTCGAGAGTTGGCATCTATGTCACGTGAGTGGAGGAGAATGAATTATTGCGGTAGTAAAGCATAAATGTAACTCTTCGCCTTAATGGCATTCATGTTGTGAACTGCCCTGACATCTATGGATGAACGGTGGTATACAAATTTAATAATAATCATCTGTCCCATCTGTATAAAGGCAGTACAGTGGTGCCTCGCAAGACGAAATTAATTCGTTCCGCAAGTTTTTTCTTCTTGCGAGTTTTTCGTCTTGCGAAGCACGGTTTCCCATAGGAATGCATTGAAAATCAATCAATGCATTCCTATGGAAACCACCTTCAGACCAGGTCCGGGGACAGTCTGTCCCCCAACCTCTTCTGAAGGCTGGGGGGGGGCAAGGGCTTTTCTTCCCACCGCCAGCCTTCAGAAGGCTGTTCTGAAGGCTGGCGGTGGGAAGAAAAGCCCTTCTCCCCACCTCCCGCCCCGCAAGCTCCGGGGACAGGAGGGCTTTGCTGCCGACCGCCAGCATTTTAAAAGCCCCCGGGACAGCGCTTCCCTGCTATCCCGGACCGCTTTTAAAATGCTGGCGGTGGGGAGCAAAGCCTTTCGGCCCTCGCCGCCCTTCCTGGACCTCTTCTGAAGGCCGGAGGGGGGCTAAAGGCTTTGCTCCCCACCGCCAGCATTTAAAAGAGGTCCCTGGAGATTTCCCTATGGGCTTTCTTCTTGCGAAGCAAGCCCATAGGGAAATTCATCTTGCGGAACGACTCAAAAACGGAAAACTCTTTCATCTTGCGAGTTTTTCGTTTTGCGAGGCGTTCATCTTGCGAGGCACCACTGTAATTGAGTAAGATTAGAGTGAACTATTTTGAGATCCGTTTTGTAACTCCTGTACTTAAAACAGGGTCTTATAAAAGTCCAGGCTTAGATGCCAAGAAGGATTTGTCTTCGTATTGTTGCTGTCCAGATCTGCGCTGTGGATAAGTTCATGTTACACAGTTGTGGCTACCAAGAGTCTTAAGAGGTGTGGCACTACTACCACCACCATCACCCCAGCAGTGGCCATGGGGTTGTTTTTTTGCGGGGCTTTCTCGCATCCCTTTTCTTTTGGAACTGCTACAGCTTGGGACGCTGGGGGTGCTGAATGCTGGAGCTCTGTCCTTTCTCTTTACTTCTCTCTCCCCCCCCCCCCCGAAATTCTTCATGGTGGGTGTACTTTGCATGATTCATCCACAGCTCTGCAGGCAGGGTTTTTTTCCATTAGTGCAGTCCGCTTTCTGTTGTGAAATTCAGGTCTGCAGGGAAGTGTCAGCAACTTTTATTGCCTTTTGCTGCTGTGTGAGCGCTTGACTGAAAAGCAATATGAGTTGCTCGGGTTCCTTTAGTATGCTTTGTCTGTTCATTTGCATGCCCATTCATACTGCTTGCGCATGAACCCGTCTGCTGCTCACACTCCACCTGCACAGGCCCCATTTACCCAGCGCTAACGCGGGTGGCGCTGTGGGTTAAACCACTGAGCCTAGGACTTGCCGATCAGAAGGTCGGCGGTTCGAATCCCCGCGACGGGGTGAGCTCCCGTTGCTCGGTCCCTGCTCCTGCCAACCTAGCAGTTCAAAAGCACGTCAAAGGGCAAGTAGATACAGTGGTGCCTCGCAAGACGAAATTAATTCGTTCCGCGGGTTTTTTCGTCTTGCGATTTTTTCGTCTTGCGAAGCACGGTGTCGGAAAAGTTTTGGAAAAGCTTCAAAAATCACCAAAGTCTTCAAAAACCTCAAAAAAGGCTACCACACCGCATGCTATGAGTTGCTCCTCGAAGTCAAGTCGCAACTGTATTAACGGTTTTAAGAAAAAGGAAACTAACTTGCAAGACGTTTCCGTCTTGCGAAGCAAGCCCATAGGGAAAATCGTCTTGCGAAGCAACTCAAAAAACCAAAAACCCTTTCGTCTTGCGAGTTTTCCATCTTGCGAGGCATTCGTCTTGCGAGGTACCACTGTAAATTGGTACCGCTCCAGCAGGAAGGTAAACGGCGTTTCCGTGCTCTGTTCTGGTTCGCCAGAAGCGGCTTAGTCCTGCTGGCCACATGACCCGGAAGCTGTATGCCAACTCCCTCGGCCAATAAACAAAATGAGCGCCGCAACCCCAGAGTCGGCCACGGCTGGACCTAATAGTCAGGGGTCCTTTGCCCTTTACCTTTAACCTGTTAGTTCTATGTCACTGGCAAAAGGGCTCTCTCCATCCCTTCACTAGACTTTTGGTTACTGGTGAACAGCTCAGCAGAGAAGACGATTGTTCCAAAGTGCATTTGAGGGCTACCAAATCTGCATGTCAAAGGTTTTGTTCTGCATTCTTGTTTTCTGCCAGTTGTGTTGCATGGGAATAACCTCTTGGTCTTTGGTGGCACCGGAATCCCCTTTGGCGAGAGCAATGGCAATGACGTCCACGTCTGCAACGTCAAGTACAAGCGCTGGGCCCTCTTCAACTGTCGAGGGAAGAAGCCCAACCGCATCTATGGACAGGTACGGGGGGGGTGTCATCCACTGCAGCCCCTATTCTACTCTACAGGGAAGTTTTTAATGATTGATGTTTTATTTTGTTGGGAGGCACCCAGAGTGGCTGGGGCAACCCTGTTCAGATGGTCAGGATGTAAATATTATTATCATTATTATCAGACTCTTGAAGGACAGAGAGTGGTTCCATATTCCTGAGAGGTTTGTGCCCTTAATTCAGGTCTCACTTATTTCCTCGGGTCTAAAAATGGGGAGCAGTTCTCAAGTTCCTGAGCATGAAGTATAATGGAGCACCTTTGGGGGATTGCATAGTATGAAGTCAGAGAGATAAGCATTTAATTTGAGCCCAAGGTCTTGATGGCTTAGCCCTATAAAAGAGAAAAATAGAATATGCTGGAGCATGTACAGTCATACCTCAGGTTACAGACGCTTCAGGTTGCGTTTTTTCGGGTTATGGACCGCCAAAACCCAGAAGTACCGGAATAGGTTACTTTCGAGTTTCAACGGTCAGGCATGCGCAGAAGCGCTAAATCGCGCTTTTCACATGCGCAGAAGTGCCAAATTGCAACATGCGCAGACGTGCCTCTGCGGGTTGCGGATGCTGCGGGTTGCGAACGTGCATCCCGCACGGATCACGTTTGCAACCCGAGCGTCCACTGTACAGAGTGTTTTTTGATTTTAGGTACCACAACCATTTCCCATATATCCAAGGCTATAGAGGCCATTCCCTTACCCCACCCTGTGTCTGTACACATTGCAGTGTTTCAGTACCGCACTTCAACCATAAGCTCAAACCAGTTCACGAAAATGAGATCGGACTTACAGGCAGATTTCGTTGCCCTGGCAATACCAAGTGCTGTCCGTGGCATACTGTCACTCCTGGCTCTGCTCCCTTGAAAGCGGTGTGACAAAGGGGATCCAGGGAAGGGGGAGATGGATGCTCTTCAGAGGATACCTGCCTTTCGGCTGCCTTCCTATGGTCCTCGTTCAGTTCCCCTGCAGCTCTCCCCTCTTCTCCCTTACCAGGCGATGGCGATCATAAATGGCTCCTTGTACGTATTCGGAGGCACGACAGGATACATTTACAGCACAGACCTGCACAAGCTGGACCTTAATACCAGGGAGTGGACCCAGCTGAAGCCAAACAACATGCACTGTGACATGCCGGAGGAAAGGTGAGCTTGGCCTCTTGCTGCGTAAAACTGGCTGCAAGGCGACCAGCCTCAAGTCTTCCTCATTCGAAATGACAGACTCTCAATAGACAAGTTCTTATTAAAATGTCATTTCCAATTCAAAAAAAATTGGCCATCTCTTCAGCCACACACCCCTGGCCTCCAGATATTGTTAGGGCTTGTGTGGTTTAGTTGGGATGCCTAAATCGGGAAACATTTGCTATGAAAATTCTAGCATGTCTGGCAGACTGCCTCACCAGAGTGGTGCATGCTCTGGCTATCTCCCGCTTGGACTACTGCAATGTGCTCTACGTGGGGATACCTTTGAAGGTGACCCGGAAACTGCAATTAATCCAGAATGCGGCAGCTAGACTGGTGACTGGGAGTGGCCGCCGAGACCACGTAACACTGGTCTTGAAAGGCCTACATTGGCTCCCAGTATGTTTCCGAGCACAATTCAAAGTGTTGGTGCTGACATTGAAAGCCCTAAACGGCCTCAGTCCTGTATACCTGAAGGAGCATCTCCACCCCCATTATTCAGTCCAGACACTGAGGTCCAGTTCCGAGGGCCTTCTGGCGGTTCCCTCCCTGCGAGAAGCCAAGTTACAGGGAACCAGGCACAGGGCCTTCTCGGTGGTGGCACCCGCCCTGTGGAACGCCCTCCCGCCAGATGTCAAAGAGAACAACTACCAAACTTTTAGAAGACATTTAGAAGACAGCCCTGTTTAGGGAAGCTTTTAATGTTTGATGTATTACTGTATTTTAATATTTGGTTGGAAGCCGCCCAGAGTGGCTGGGGAGGCCTGGCCAGATGGGCGGGGTATAAATAATAAATTATTGACTTCTTCTTTCCAGATACAGACATGAAATTGCACATGACGGGCAGAGGATTTACATCTTAGGAGGGGGAACTTCTTGGACAGCCTATTCCTTGGACAAGGTAATAGGATCAACTGCCAAAATATTTTTTATTAGTTTGATTTCTCGCTAGTGAGATCAGAAAGTAAGCCCGTGACCAGAACTGGTGAATTTTAATAGCGGAATGTTGGGGTCTTGAGTATTTGGCACATAATGCAGATTGGTGAGTGATCTAGTGAATGGAACTGGGTTCCAGTCACTGCTCTGATCGATTGTGTGGCAGGTCACCCTTTTTTCCATCTCAGAACATTGTTCTTGCAAGGGGGAAACGTCCACCAGGGTGCCATGAAGACAAAATTGCAAAGATTTGCAGACTAGGAATCCTAATATGTTTCACCTGGATCTCTAGTAGGGCACAACCTGGGATGAATTTATCCTGTGCAAGCCCCCTTTGACATACATAGCCACACTTTTGCACAGTTCCTGTTGATTTAATTGACATAATAATAAAATTTTATTTATACCCTGCCCTCCCCATCCGAAGCCGGGCTCAGAGCAGCTAACAACAATAAAAGTAACACAGTTTACATAAAATCACAATCAATTAATTGAAATACATTCTAAAATCAATTCATTCTAAAATCAATTCAGAATCAAATTAATGGCAACCATTGGGCTAGAGTTCTATGAGGTTTACAGAAGGAGGGGGTCAGGCTGTGCCTTGGCCAAAGGCCTGGTGGAGCAGCTCTGTCTTGCAGGCCCTGCGGAAAGATGTCAAGTCCCGCAGGGCCCTGGTCTCTTGGGACAGAGCGCTCCACCAGATCGGGGCCACGGCTGAAAAGGCCCTGGCCCTAGTTGAGGCCAGCCTAACCTCCCTGTGGCCCGGGACCTCCAAAATGTTTTTGTTTGAAGACTGTAAGGTCCTCCGTGGGACATACCAGGAGAGGCGGTCCCGTAGATCAGGCCGGTGGCCCATCTAATCCTGCATCCTACAGCCAAGCAAAAGCCCCAATGGGAAGACCACAGAGCAGGATCCGAGCACAAGACCACTCGCTTCTCCTGTATTTTCCAGCAACCAGCATTCAGAAGCATTGCTTCCTCCCAGCTGCGGAGAGCAGAGCATAGCCTTCGAGAGACACCTCCTCCATGAAAGGGAGCCTGGGCAGCCTGAAGGAGATCTGGTGTGATCTGGTGGGAAAAGCAGCTGGAGCCCAGCTTACAAGGGCTGAAACACTGCTGTAGGTGGCAAGCAGACTGATGGATGCAGGAACTAAAGATAAGGCAGTGCCCCCTGAACCAAGTATAGTGGAAGGCCAATGACTTGAAACTCCAGCGGGTGCAGAATGCTGCAGCGAGGCTCCTCACGGGGTCCCTGCCATGGGAGCATATTCACCCAGTGCTTTACCAGTTGCACTGACTCCCGGTGGAGTATCGGGTCAGGTTCAAGGTGCTGGTTTTGACCTTTAAAGCCCTTTGTGGCTTAGGGCCCTCATATCTACGGGACCGCCTCTCCTGGTATGCCCTGCAGAAGACCTTAAGGTCCATGAACAACCATAGTTTAGAGGTCCCGGGCCCTAAGGAAGTCAGACTATACTCCACCAGGGCCAGGGCCTTTTCAGTGATGGCTCTGACCTGGTGGAATGCTCTGTCCCATGAGACCAGGGCCCTGCAGGATTTAACCTCCTTTCGCCAGGCCTGTAAGGTAAAGGTAAAGGTACCCCTGCCCGTACGGGCCAGTCTTGACAGACTCTATTTTTTTTTTAATGAATATTTATTAGCATTTTCAATAACAAACATAACAAAAATAGACAAAAGGGGAAAAAAGTAACAAAAATACAAAAAAACTTAAAAAGGACAGTTAAAAACATATGAAATTTCAATTGCTTATTTTCATATAACTTCTTTCTCAGACCTCCTCACACCTCCCCTTCTTGTATTCCAATTCAATTGTTAATCCAGCGAATCCTTATTACTTATTTCTCAACCTTCGCTTAATAATTTTTACATACTGTAATTTTACCTTTCCTCTTTCTTCCATTTCTTTAAATTATTTTGCAACTCTTATTTTCATTTTAATTTGACCATTCTAAAGACCAATTTTAACTTGTCTAAACTTAAACATCAATACTTATACATCATTTCTTATTCTTAATCATATTTCTTAAAGTCGACCAATATTTCCCTTCCACGGCTTTCCCAACTTCCATGTAAATAACAAACACATTAAAACAAAGTAATTTATAATTATATACCCCTTGGATTACCAGACTCCACACACCCCTTTCCCGCGTTTTGGTCCCCAACAAGTGTTCATCATATACTGCTTAGCCTGGAGATCTCACGTCCGAGGCTCTCAAGTCACCCTCAGTTCCTCTCTGTCGGCCTCTTTGACAGTCCTTGATGTTAAGCCCCAAGGCTCGGAGGGGCTCCGACCCCACAGGATCCATGTTTTTTCCAACTGACCCTCTATAGGTCAGATTTGTAATCCTTAGGTCTTCAGTTTCCATCTCAGGCCAGGCTTTCCACCTCAAATTTTTATTCTCCTTTTTTACCTTCATGCCAGACCCCGAATTATAGCTCTCCATTAACATCTGTAAGGTTAGAACTCCTCCTTCCTTTTCTTCCAAAGCAACATGTGTCTCTTTCTCCATATTCTCATGGCTCTCGGATTTCTCAGATTGTTCAGTTGTGTAAATTTCTTGCTTCCACTCCTTATCAGTCTCAGCAATGTTATTTACTGCCAAGACCAAAGTGTTCACGCTTGTAGTCAAAACATCGGTCTGATCTTGTAACTTTCCCAGGAGAATAAGTATTCTATTGAGTTCAGTCTGATTTTTACTTCCTTCAGCCATTCTTGTAATGTCCCTACCCCCCACAAGGGGGATTTTGGTACTTTACTGTCTTTCAATTTAAACCCAGTAAACAAATTAGTTTGTATCAGCTCTCTCTTATTTTCGAGAAATTGCAACAAATATAACCAGCAGAAGCGACAAAGACAAAGTTCCCTTTTTCCTTTCCTTTTGACAGCTAGTTTGACAGCTGTCAAACTCTTCAGTACTTCATCAACAGGCTCTCTCGCGGGACGCCCCCGGGTTTGGGGGGGTGAAACTTCAACTGCCAAAGTTACTTTTATCCTCCGGTAAAATTCTTGTAGTGTCAAACCGTGAAGGTTAAAGGCTTTTTTTTTTTTTAAAAAAAAGAGAAGATTCTCTTGACCTTAAATAGCAGGCTCTTTGCTTTAAAATATCTACAAAGGGGGGGGGTCGGACTTCCTTTTTAACCCTTCCCCGCTCGTTCCTAATTCAGTAAAATTTTCTTTAAATTCCGAATTCCATATTTACTCACGGGTTCTTATTTTTAAGTCCAAATGTTCCAAGGAAAAAGTCAGTGCTTCTCTGACAATGGCATGCGGCTTCGCTCCGCAGAAGTAGCAGTCTACTCACAGCACCGCGCCGTACCCCGTCCCCGTTCCGTAGCCTTTAAAAAGGCTCCTTCGCAGTTTGGGGGGGTGCAAATGGTGCCCGCCGAGTCACCACGCTCACAGGCATCTGCGCCTGTGATTTTTGAGGGTCCCCGCGTCGCCGCCGCGGACAAGACCCAATCCTGCGGAGCCGATTCCCTCCGGAGCTCGGAGGGAATCCGCCATTAGTCGATGGCGCTAACCCGGAAGTCCAGTCTTGACAGACTCTAGGGTTGTGCGCTCATCTCACTCTAAAGGCCGGGAGCCAGCGCTGTCCGCAGACACTTCCGGGTCACGTGGCCAGCGTGACAAACTGCATCTGGCAAGCCAGCGCAGCACACGGAACGCCGTTTACCTTCCCGCTAGTAAGCGGTCCCTATTTATCTACTTGCACCCGAGGGTGCTTTCGAACTGCTAGGTTGGCAGGCGCTGGGACCGAACGACGGGAGCGCACCCCGCCGCGGGGATTCGAACCGCCGACCTTTCGATCGGCAAGTCCTAGGTGCTGAGGCTTTAACCCACAGCGCCACCCGCGTTCCTTCGCCAGGCCTGTAAGACAGACTTGCTGGCCCAAGTAGGACCAATTCAGCCAGCTAGCCCTGGAGATTAATGCTTATTTCCCCTAAATTGATACTTGATTTTTGAATTTTATTGTTATTCATGTTTTTATACTGTACTTTATGTTGCTTTTATAATTGTTTTAAATTTGTTGCTAGCCGCCCTGAGCCCGGTTTTTGAACCAGGAAGGGCGGGGTATAAATAAAAATTTATTATTATTATTATTATTATTATTATTATTGCTGAAGTTACAAGAAAGCAGATTTTCACTTAAAACATCAGGAAGAACATTCTGACAGTAAGAGCTATTTGACAGGTTGCCAAGGCGCACAGAATTATAACAGCTCAAGTTTCCCTTCGGCAGCAGGCAGATGACATGGCAATTTTTCTGCAAACCCAACAATCCATACCCCCAGATACCATGAATCAAGTGTTGCCTAATTTCCAACGCTTAGCTATTTAACCTGGAAATCTCTTGTGGAGTGATGGAGTGGGCTTGTCAGGTGAACTTGCTGGCAGAGGCCTTGAGTTCAGCCACTGCCTTGTTCCATTTCTGTCATTAAATATATATATAATTGTATTATTTCTGTCGCTTAAGATCCACGCCTACAACCTTGAAACAAACACCTGGGAAGAAATTGCAACAAAGCCTCATAAGAAAAAAGGTAGGCTTTTGAAAAATAGCATATATTGGGCAGGGGTTGAAAAGACAAAAATATTTGTAGCCAGAAATAAAATGTTGGTGGGGGCCCCAGGGAGAGATTCAAAAGAAGTTTGCAAACCAGTCTTCTCAAAACCTTTGTACTTTCCTCTTTGTTAAAAATCCAAACTAAACCCATAGATTGATCTGAAATATACACCAAAAATGTTGCATAATTCCAGGTCTCCTGTATAGTAGCTGTTTCCAGATTATTTTTCTTAATAACTAGATACAGTGGTACCTTGGGTTACAGACGCTTCAGGTTACAGGTGCTTCAGGTTACAGACTCCACTAACCCAGAAATAGTACCTCGGGTTAAGAACTTTGCTTCAGGATGAGAACAGAAATCGTGCTCCGGCAGCACGGCAGCACGGCAGCAGCGGGAGGCCCCATTAGCTAAAGAGGTGTTTCAGTTTAAGAACAGTTTCAGGTTAAGAACGGACCTCCAGAACGAATTAAGTTCTTAACCCGAGGTACCACTGTATTTCTCTGGAGTCTGGTGCCTTTAGGAAATCTGACATCTCAGAAACACTTTTTAAAATGTACAGTAAACTTTCAAGAGGGGTTATGTTTCAGAGATCGTGCCTAAAACCAAAATCGCATATAGTAAAAACACCGTGGGTTCTTTGGTGGGTGGGATTGCCAGTGACTTTCCCCCCAGATGCCTGTCCCTAATTATTTATTTAGCCAAGCACTTAAATGCACACAAGTTATATGCACATATGTTGTGGGCTTACTGTATTCATGTAGAGCTCAGATTTAGTGATTCCACTTGACTTGGGCTCTAATCAACGCCAATAGTTAGGATCTTGTAACCTTTCTTGATATGAAGGCTCCCTGCTCCAGGTGGCCTTTCAACATATTTCAGTTCAGATTATTTTCCCCTGGTCATTTTTATTGGTTTGCTCTCACAACCCTCTCTTCAGTGGGCATTCCAGAGCACTTGTAAAGCGAGCACAAACTGTTCTTAGGCTTCAGATAGGTAGCCATGTTGGCCTGATGCAGTCGAAATAAAAAATAAATAAATAGTCCAGTAGCACCTTAGAGACCAACTAAGTTTGTTCTAGTTATAAGCTTTTGTGAGCATGCACATTTCTTCAGATACACACTTCAGTGTGTATCTGAAGAAGTGTGCATGCGCACAAAAGCTTATACAGTGGTACCTCAGGTTACATACGCTTCAGGTTACAGGCTCCACTAACCCAGAAATAGTGCTTCAAGTTAAGAACTTTGCTTCAGGATGAGAACAGAAATCGTGCTCCGGCGGCAGCAGGAGGCCCCATTAGCTAAAGTGGTGCTTCAGGTTAAGAACAGTTTCAGGTTAAGAACAGACCTCCGTTCCAAGACAACAATGCCCATTTACACCACAAAGAACTCTTAACCCACCTGCTCTCAGCAGCCAGAAACACCATAACCAGACACTGGAGAGACCTGTCAGGAGTAAGCATGGACCAATGGTACCAAATAGTATGGGAAACAGCCCTACTAGAAAAATTAGCCAATAAACTGAAACTGACACAGGGACAAATAGAAGAAGACGTCTTCACCCCGGTATGGCTCCCCTTTATCACATACACAGCCCAACAGGACAATGACAATAATCCACCAACAGCATACAAATCAATATGGCTAACCTGATCCAATACACTCACCCACCCCACTCACACACGAAAACAAAGATCACCACAGCCAACCACAAATGAACAACCACACCCTAGGCCAACCCCAACCTCTCTCACCACCAAAGGAACACAAGTGAACAACACAAGCAACGCTGACCCCAAACTCTACATACATTAAACATAATAGAAACACCGCCACCAGACCCCACCCCCATCCATCTTCCCTCCCTCCACCCCCCTTTCTTTTTTCTTTTTCTTTTCTTCTCCCCCTAATGCCTCAACAAATGAAACGGATTTGTAAAAATGTTACATAAAAAAAAAAAATACGAGGCACTACACTTCTGTAAAACAAGAAAATCCTTAATAAAATATTAAAAAGAAAAAAAAAGAATAGACCTCCAGAATGAATTAAGTACGTAACCCGAGGTACCACTGTACCTAGAACAAACATAGTTGGTCTCTAAAGTGCTACTGGACTATTTTTTTGTTCTTAGGCTTTTCATCTTTATCCACATGATCATATGAGCATATGGACGATCGTATGAGGGTTTTGCAGCCAGGCACAAGAAGAATGCTTTGCAATTCATGTTAAGCCCCTTTTCAGGCTGGCTGCCCCCTTCCCAATAATGAGAAACCCGCCTTTACTGAACAGTCTTCTCTTCCGTTTCACTCGCTCACCCTCAGGTTTTTGTTCCACAGATTTCCCGGCGGCCAGGAGATGTCACAGTTGTGTACAGATAAAGAATGGTAAGAATCACTGGCTCTCTTCGGCACGTTCAGCCGCAGAGGCTCCTGTTTGTGGCATGTGAAATCCCAACTGGGATGAAGCGTTTGAGCCTACTTCTGTATGCACACAACAGTCCATCTTTGAGGTGCTGCGGTGCCTCAGCATGTTCAGAAACATTCTAACAGCAGAGGGTGGAAGGGTCAGCCATATTGTTGGAAAACCTGTCACGAGAGAAATGGGAGGCTGGTTTGACTCGAGGGGGAAAACATCGTAACCTCGGGGCCACTTCCTCCAAATGGACTCTGGTTTGTCAAATGTCCATGTCACTTCCCACTTAAAAAAAAAAAAGAATACAGTCATACATTGTGTAACAGATGCTTGAGGTTGCGTTTTTTTCGGGTTGCGGACCGCCAAAACACGGAAGTACTGGAATGGGTTACTTCTGGGTTTCAGCAGTCTCGCATGCGCAGAAGCGCTAAATCACACTTTGCGCATGCGCAGAAGCGCTGGAGCGCAACCCGTGCGTGCGCAGACACAGGTTGCGAATGCTGCGGGTTGCGAACGTGCATCCCACACGACTCACATTTGCAACCCAAGCGTCCACTATCCCAGTGCCATTTACAACCAAAGTGAAAAGTAATAATAAAATCACATAAACTTGGTTAAAAGTGGATTTAACGTTAGTATATTGTTGGTGGTGCCCAAATGCATGGAAAAACAAAAACGTCTTTGACATTGCCAAGGGGGCATTCCTGAGAAGAGTGTTCCATAAATAGGGTGCCCCTGGGATGGTGAGTGGGCAGGAAGGAAGGAAGTGGATGGATGTGGGAAAATTCAGAATGCTTTTGCTTATTACTTAGTTATTCAACTATTAAGGTAAAGGTAAAGGTACCCCTGCCCGTACGGGCCAGTCTTGACAGACTCTAGGGTTGTGCGCCCATCTCACTCAAGAGGCCGGGGGCCAGCGCTGTCCGGAGACACTTCCGGGTCACGTGGCCAGCGTGACATCGCTGCTCTGGCGAGCCAGAGCCGCACACGGAAACGCCGTTTACCTTCCCGCCAGTAAGCGGTCCCTATTTATCTACTTGCACCCTGGGGTGCTTTCGAACTGCTAGGTTGGCAGGCGCTGGGACCGAGCAACGGGAGCGCACCCCGCCGCAGGGATTAGAACTGCCGACCTTTTGATCGGCAAGCCCTAGGCGCTGAGGCTTTTACCCACAGCGCCACCCGCATCCCGTATTCAATTATTACTTTAGCCCAAAGAGCTCAGGGAAGCATACATATTACAACCCCCCCCAAACAATTCATCCTCTCAGCAGCCCTCTAAGGTAGGCTATAATGGTTGAGTGGAGACTTGAACCCAGACCTTCCTCGCTGCATACACTGGGTTATTATTAAAATTTGTATCCTGCCCTTCATCTGAAGATCCCGGGGCGTTTCACAACAGAAAAACACAAAAGAAGAATGCAAGATACATAATAAATCACAGACAAAAACAAACGTTTCCCACAAACACATTTTAAAAGCCACTGGGTGTTTCTAAGCCAAACACCTGGTTGAAGAGAAACTTTTTTGCCTGGCACCTAAATATATGTAATAAAGGTGCCAGATGGGGAGAGCATTCCACAAACGGGGAGCCACCGCAGAAAAGGTCCATTCTTGCGTTGCAAGAACACATCAAGAAGGGCCTCAGATGATGGTGGCAGGGTCTGGGTCAGTTCATATGGGGAGAGGCATTCCTTGATGGGGGGGGGTTTACTGTTCCTAGGTTCCCAGGCAAGATTAAAAGTTACTGTACTTTTCCATGTAGAAGATGTTTTTTCCTTTAAAAATCATGCTGAAAAGTGGTGGTCGTCTTATACATGGGTAGTGCATAGGACGTTTGATTGGTTGCTGCCGTGGCTGCCGTGCGTGTTATTGGTTGCCGCGTCAATGGGTGATGTAGATTGGCTGACACTCCAGCAATTGGGCGGACGATTGGCAGCTTCTGCCGGCAATGGGACAGACGGGAGGCGGATTTTGCAACGCCTGCGGGCGAGTGATTTTTGGCAATCCTCTGCCAAAAAAAAGCTCAGCAACTCTGTGCCATCTCCCCCCATTTTCTTTGAGTCCCCCAAAATAGGGGTAGTCTTATATACGGGGGTGTCTTATAGACGGAAAAGTACAGTATTTCCTTGAAAAGATGGAGGTGGGGGAGCATATTAACCTCAGAGGAAGTCTGGTGAGAGAAACCATTGTGGAAACGGCAGTTTCTCTCTGCACCAGTTGAAGAACTGAGCAAACCCTCCTTGTGTGCCCCTTTATGGTGGGAAAACAACGCCTAATGCCCTGTGCCGTTTGTCGATTCAGATGTCTTCGTCTGCGGAGGATACAACGGAGAAGTGATCCTGGGAGACATCTGGAAACTGAGCTTGCAGACCTTCCAGTGGGTGAAACTCCCGGCCGTCATGCCAGAGCCAGTTTATTTCCACTGTGCTGCAGTGACTCCGGTAAGCGGCTACCAGAGCCCAGCCTCTCTGCAAGGTCCTACGTGGCACAAAAATGGCCAGCAAGAAGCTGGGAGGGGGGCAGTGAATTAACCAGCTGAGGGAGGTATTTCAAAATACTGGAGTTCTGTCAACCCAGACCGTCATTAGATAAAGGTAAAGGGACCCCTGACCATTAGGTCCAGTTGCGGACGACTCTGGGGTTGCGGCGCTCATCTCGCTTTATTGGCTGAGGGAGCCGGCGTACATCTTCCGGGTCATGTGGCCAGCAGGACTAAGCTGCTTCTGGCGAACCAGAGCAGCGCACTGAAATGCCATTTACCTTCCCGCCGGAGCGATACCTATTTATCTACTTGCACTACGATGTGCTTTTGAACTGCTGGGTTGGCAGGAGCAGGGACCGAGCAACAGGAGCTCACCCCGTCGCGGGGATTTGAACCGCTGACCTTCTGATCGGCAAGCCCTAGGCTCTGGTTTAACCCACAGCGCCACCCGCGTCCCTAACACCATCATTGGTGGGGTGGGAAATGGCCCTGGAACAGCCACCTTCAGATGTTGGAGATGAAATCCTGCTGCTGGGAACACAAAAACTCAGGCACTGCAGGATTAGACCAGCGATGTCAGCTGGTTTGGGTGGGAAGGTGGGCGTTTGCTTGATGGGAAATGGCCAAATTGGATGCCCTGCGGGTCGGAGGTTCTCCACCCCTGTTCTGCCTCATGTCTTCAGTGCTACTCAGGCTGAGGAAGAGGGGGAAAGGGCCTTTCTCTGCAGTTTGGCTCTCTGCAAGCACGTCAGGCCCATCGGCTGTTGCCCAGGACAAATAATAATAAATAATAATAATAATAATAATAATAATAATATAATAATAATTAATAAATGTTTATCTATATCCTGCCCTCCCCAGCCAAAGCGGCTAACAACAATAAAAGTAACACAGCATTCTAAAATCAATTCATTCTAAAATCAATTCAGAATCAAATTAATGGCAACCATTGGGCTAGAGTGCTATGAGGATTACCAAAGGAGGGGGTCAGGCTGTGCCTTGGCCAAAGGCCTGGTGGAACAGCTCTGTCTTGCAGGCCCTGCGGAAAGATGTCAAGTCCCGCAGGGCCCTGGTCTCTTGTGACAGAGTGTTCCACCAGATCAGGGCCACGGCCGAAAAAGCCCTGGCTCTGGTTGAGGCCAGCGTAACCTCTCTGTGGCCCAGGACCTCCAAGATGTTTTTGTTTGAAGACCGTAAGGTCCTCCGTGGGACATACCAGGAGAGGTGGTCCTGTAGGTACGAGGGTCCTATAGGTTAAAGGTTAAAACCAGCACCTTAAATCTGACCTTGTACTCCACCGGGAGCCAGTGCAGCTGGAAGAGCACCGGGTGAATGTGATCCTGCGGCAAGGACGAATCTCGCCATGGCATTCTGCACCCGCTGGAGTTTCTGGGTCAGTCTCAAGGGCAGCCCCACATAGAGCGAGTTACAAAATGAGTTGCCCATGAGGATCTTGAGGTCAACCCGGCTGGCAGGCTTGTAGCACCCACTGCCCTCTTGCTTCCTGTGGTTGCAAACAGAATGCCACCGCAGTGTCAAGCTGACCACAGATATTTGGGGCCAGATGGCATCCCTCCTTCGCAGGCAATCCAGGTGCTTGCCATTCTGCTTAAAAGAAAACCCAGCAGTGATCTTCCTTTCCCCCCTCGTTTCCACACAGGCCGGCTGCATGTACGTCCACGGAGGCGTGGTGGACATCCAAAGGAACAAACGGACTGGCTCTCTCTTTAAAATGTGGCTGGTTGTGCCCAGCCTCTTGGAACTATCTTGGGAGAAGCTTCTGGGGTTTTTCCCCCACTTAGCAAACCTCACCAGATCGCAGCTTTTGCACCTTGGACTCACACAGGGACTCATCGAGCGCTTGAAATGAGAAAGCACCTGCTCTTCAAACACTACTTTTAAAAAAGCGACTCCTCTCGCCCCTCTCTTTTCTCTCCCTCTCCCCTCTCTCTCTCTCTCTCGCCCCCCTCTCCTTTTCTCTCTCTATTTATGAGCACTGCGGAGGACTGCTGCTAGGAGGATGGGACGACGCCCGACTCCAAAGCCTTACTCGGCAAATATACATCAGATGCCTTTTTTTTTTCTTCTGTGAATTTTTATTTTAAAGTTTATGGAAGTCAAGCTTTTTTTTGTTTTTAATTTATGGATACCTATAAATACATCATGAACGAAAGACGCTGTCGCTCAGCTGATTTGTACTGCTTTTGCTGCATGCTTTGTAGTCGCAGGAAGGCAAGGCGGACTGCGTGACGGTCTCTCCTAGTTACTGTTCTGTAAGATGGCCGTAACTTGCAGCAGTTTCAAAAGGGGAAGGCTGGCTGCTCACTCGGGAACCCATCGTCGTAGCTCTTGCCACATCCCCTGCCTCTCTAAAAAAAGAAAAGGCCTAAATGCGAGCTGGCTTTCTCTGATCTGTCTTCTTACAGATGCTACAGTTTGGAAAGACGGGCGCCTTCTGTTGTGACTTTCTGAAATGCGTGTCATTTATTGCCTTTTCATATTGAACTGCCTAGTCCAAGACTGGCTTACTTCCATGTGGCTGGCTGGCTTCAGCACAGGAGTTTATCCTGAATGGTGGCAGGAAAGGGATATAGAGAGCTGCCCAAGTACCATTTCTGTTATGCCTGTCAATGAAGGAGTTAACGGGGAAAGAGAACTGTGAATAAGCTGATGCTATTTTTTCTTTCTCCTGTCGCAAGTGTGTGTATGTGTGTTTGTGTGCATGAGAGAGAGTGTAAGTGAAGGAGGATTTGGAAATTCATGCTCTGTGCAATAGCTGTTATTATCTGCTAGTTTTTCTTCCGTAGATAGGGGGCTTGCCTCTGCTGGCCTCTCCAGTTCCTGCTTCCACCCCCTGCAAGTTGGTTTGTTTAAAAACCCCATTCTATGGCCTGTCTTTTTCCACCAAAACAAAAAACCTTCGTATTAACCGGTCCTTCATTTGCAGGAAATGCCATGTTGTCACCGCTGCGTTTCTGTTCTTCTTCTTTAGCAGAGGCAAAATGCCTGACATTTTGCTGTGGACAGTATTTGCCTTTAAAAAAACCATGTCTGTGTCTTAACTGTTGTGTTCCAAATGGCTGCGGAAATGTCCTGTAGAATGTATACCAAATCAGCCGTCAAACCAAGCGTCACACCTAGCCTGAGAAACTGGCTTTTTAATTTTAATTTTTGGGTTTTGTTTTTTTTTTAAAAAAAAACTGCACATGAACTATTATTGGTAGTCCTTGTCAAGTTGTCTTCTTTAAAATTCTGGTGGGAGTATCACAGCTTTCTTTGGAAGTGGATAGGAGCTCAATGCTGTACAGCAGGGGTCAGCAAGGTTAATTTACCTGGGCTGGATCGGTCCCGCGGAGATTCCTCCATGAGCCGGATCGCGTGCGCGCATGAGCATGTGCAGCTGCGATTTCCAGCAGCTGCGCAGACACGATTTCTGGCGCCACACAAGCGAGTCCCCGTGCCATGCTGCGCCAGTTTAGTGCAGCGCACCAGGACTCACCAAGCGGGCGTCTCGGTTCTGGGGTGGCTCGTGGGCCTCCGTGGGCTGCAGGTTGGCGATCCCTGCTGTACAGTATTCCCATGTAGCATCAAACCATGGATCTTATTCCCTGTCCCCCCTCCTCATGATCCAGGATTTCCAATTCTGATTTAGCAGCATGCTTTCATTGTGTCTCAACATTTGAGTAGCCAGGACCATGGTTTGCCGTTCCCACCAAACCATGGTTTTCAGTTCTAGGTTAGCAAATGTAAGCCATTCTTGGCTGTTGGGACACAGACTGGCTCCCTGGATTGTGGAATGCAAGGGGTCTGTGAGCTGGTGTGGAAGCTCCCCTTGGCCCTAAGCCATGGTTTGTTAAGCAGGTGAGCTCCGTCCATATTCTCATGTCCCTCTGCCTTCCAGTCTTCTGTATCTGAAGTCATTCACCCCTCCTGTGGCTTGCATTGCCGCCTCTTGAAGCACACCTGAGGCCTGGTTCATAGAAGCAGCAGAATCACGCCTGTACCATGCGTTACTGAGTGGTGTGGGGCTCTCTTATCTATCTATTAAATTTATATACTGTCCTCCCATCTCAGGGTGGTTCAGAGAATAAAATACAGGGCAAAAGCAAGTAAATAATGAAAACAAAACAGTGTGACCGCTGGATAACGGTTCCCATCATTCTTGATCATGCTGCCTAGGATTTATGCACGATGGATTCCAACAATGTCTGGACAGCCACTGGTTTTCCAAACCCCGCCTGACATGTTTGAATAGTCCTCTGTGATCAAGGCAAATAGCATGTACCTTTACCTTGCTGTTTCTTACATGAAGGTTTGTGTTCTTTATGCTGGAGTAAAAGCAGAGACATCACCTTGCCGACAAAGCTGCGTATAGTAAAAGCTATAGTTTTCCCAGTAGTGATGTATGGAAGTGAGAGCTGGACCATAAAGAAGGCTGATCGCCGAAGAATTGATGCTTTTGAATTGTGGTGCTGGAGGAGACTCTTGAGAGTCCCATGGACAGCAAGAAGATCAAACCTCTCCATGCTTAAGGAAATCAGCCCTGAGTGCTCACTGGAAGGACAGACCCTGAAGCTGAGGCTCCAAGACTTTGGCCACCTCAGGAGAAGAGAGACTCCCTGGAAAAGACCCTGATGTTGGGAAAGATGGAGGGCACAAGAAGAGGACGACAGAGGACGAGATGGTTGGGCAGTGTTCACGAAGCCACCAGCATGAGTTTGACCAAACTGCGGGAGGCAGTGGAAGACAGGAGTGCCTGGTGTGCTCTGGTCCATGGGGTCACGAAGAGTCGGACACGACTAAACAACAACAACAACATTCAAGTGTGGAACCCCCTGAAGGGGCAGGAAGTTATCCTGTGACTCTACTGCCTCTATCAAATGGCTGTGTTCCGGCGTCGTTTAGACATGCAGGATGCAAGCTCAGGTGAGAAGAAGCATGACTTTCAATCTGTACTTCCTCAGGTGCAGAGAGAGAAAAACCCTAGCTAGAGGAAGTCTAACCCAGTGGCAGGGAAAAGGTTTTTTATTTTATTTTACTGTCTTACCTTCCTGGCATGACCCACAGGTGGAATTCTGATGAATATATGCTCTTAAGTACCGCGGACCCCCCTATTTTTCAAAAGCCAAGCCGTAGATCCCCTACTTTTGAGAACATTGATACCTCTGTGGCAGTTTTTGTCTTGCGAATGGTGCCACCGTACCCTCCAGCATGTCCCAGCACAAAAATGGGGTGCACATCTTCAGGGCCGCATCTGACACGAGTCATGTGACCTTTGTGGGAGCACAGCCCCCCCAAATATGAAGTCTGGGACAGCTGATGGGTATGTGTCGCAGACCTCCTGGGTGGGTTACGCAGACCCCCAGGGGGTCCACGGACCACCCATTGGGAGCCGCTAACAAGTAACGTAAGCCAGTCGTTATTCGGGTCCAGAGAGGCGTGTCTGTCTCCATCATTACTAACATTCAGGAGGAGTTTGAACACATTCCTGTTTAGCCAAGCAATTGGGTTGCTGAAAAATACATTTCCTGGCCACCGAGATTACTGAATGGGATAATGCTCTTTTAACAGCCTCTAGAATGCATTAATCCATTTCAAAATGTTTTTGCTTTGTTTTCTGTTATACTGCATATCTGTTTGCTACATTGGGCTCCTTGGGGAGGAAGGAGGGATATAGATAAAACAAATACCGTATTGGCCCGAATATAAGCTGCACCCACACATAACCCGCACCTTTAAAATTCAAGGGGGGGGGAGAGAAGACCCTAATATAAGCCGCTCCCTTAAAATTCCACAGGCACTCACACCCGTTCCATTTTACTGTAAGTCTGTTTCAGCAGTGATATCGTAAAAGCCAATTTTTGTAAGGTTGTGAATTTAAGCTGCACTTTTAACTTCACACGGTCGGAATTTGGGGGGGGGAGTGTGGCTTATATTCGGGCCAATACGGTAAAAAACAAACACTCTCATATGTAATTATGGCTGCAAATGTCTGAAATCCTGCAGCCAATGTCAAGTCACGGCGGACGAGATTGATGAACAAAGCGGCTGCCCAGTGGTTGCTTATGATGGTCCTATATTAAGTTTGGGAAACCACCATACTTTCCATGATCATTCACAAAACACCCCCACCCAACCCCCCCAAAAACCCCACACAACTTTTTTCCTCTCTCAGAGGTCGGGTGGACCAGCCGAGGGGGAAAAGGTATTTTTTCGCTCCATAAGACACACCTGACCATAAGATGCACCTAGTTTTTAGAGGAGGAAAACAAAGAAAACATTCTGAACAAAACAGTGGATGTATGATTTTTGTGGTTCATGCTGTGGCCACAGACATGATATGTGATTTGACAGTGAGTTTGGGGTAGCCCAATGCAAAAATCCTGAGGATCCATGTGGATCCATGCTTTGTAACCACGTTTTTGCGCCATTGCGTGCCCCCCCCCCGAAACAGTGGATGTGTGATTTTTTTTGGTGCAGGCTGTAGCCATGGACATGCTATGTGATCTGATGGTGAATTTGGGGTGACCCAATGCAAAAATCCTGAGGATCCATGTGCTTTTACCTCCCCCCTCCCAGGCAGCCTCCTTTATTGCTAGAGTCCCTTATCCCCCTCCCAATCGCTTGCCGATCAGCTGCTCAGCGGCTTTGTTTCAACACCCCCTTCCCTTTTTCTAAAAAAAATAAATCTGCTTTTCTCCCCTGGGCACTTCAGCTCCAGGGACCACGCATTCACACCATAAGACGCACAGACATTTCCCCTTACTTTTTAGGAGGAAAAAAAGCGCATCTTATGGAGCGAAAAATACAGTATTTCATGACCACACAGCCTCCCTCTTGAGACAACAGACGGTGACGCAGGGCTACTGAAAAGAAGTTCAAGGGCCAACTGGGAGACGCATTCAGAAGAGGCTTCCTTTATTGTGCTTGGAGTCAAGGCCAGAGGCAGCTTTGCTTGGGAGCACCCTGCCATCACCACCTCGACCACCGCCACCGGGATACGAGGTAGCTAGCCGTTGTGAGCAAACACAACCCCAGAAAGTCACAAGAGCAGCGAGAGCCCTCGAGAAAACAGCAGACATCGGAGCTGTCGGGAATCCCGGACAGTTTTTTGGAGCGTGGAAAGGAGCAAGGAGCTTGCTTGCTTGCTCCCGTCCATCCATCTTCCGACAACATCCTTCTGCCGTTCCCGGCTCAGCCTCTTCAATTTAAAAACACCCAACGTGTCGGGGAACAAGCTTTTAAGCTGGCAGGAATCAGAGAGGCTTCCCACCACCACCACCTTGACAAGACGCAGCAGGAGAACTTCCTTGGTGGTGGCGGCAGTTTTTCAAGTCCCTGAGCGAAAGGCACATTCCGCGGCGGGAGGACGGGGTCCAGCGCGGTGCAGGGCATCAGCACCCGGCGGGAGAAGGAGCGAAGAAGTACACTGCGAGGAGGATGAAGTAAACCATCACCAGCACAGTCCCTGCGGGGGGAGAGAGCAGGTTAGCATGGAAAGGTTGGCAGGTCCAATAATAAAAATAATAATTTATTATTTATACCCCACCCATCTGGCTGAGTTTCCCCAGCCACTCTGGGCAGCTCCCAATCGAGTGTTAAAAACAATACAGCATTAAGTATTAAGAACTTCCCTGAACAGGGCTGCCTTCAGATGTCTTTTAAAGATAGGATAGCTGCTTATTTCCTTCACATCTGAAGGGAGGGCGTTCCTGTGAGGATAGTTTGTGCTGTAAATAAAGTGCTTTTCGTTTTAGTAACTCAGCATGAGGGCTTGATTTATGCACACCGACGCACAGAAGATAGAAGGCTTTATTTCTGACCGCTGTGAGACTCTGCTTTTGCTCAGAGCGTTTGGAATGCGTGCTGCGCAACAGAAGTCTGCCGCAACAGAAGCGTGCCAGACCTTATCTCTCTGAGCAATAAATTATCTCAGAGTTCCACGGGGTGAACACCCAGCCCAAACCCCCAGCGGCTTCATATAGCTATTAAAAAGCATGGGGGAGAGGACGGAACCCTGAGGCACCCCACAAGTGAGAGCCCAGGGGTCTGAACACTCATCCCCCACCACCACTTTCTGAACACGGCCCAGGAGGAAGGAGGGGAACCACTGTAGAACAGTGTCCCCAGCTCCCAGCCCCTCTAGACGGTCCAGAAGGATGTTATGGTCGATGGTGTCAAAAGCCACTGAGAGATCCAACAGAACTAGGAAACAGCTCTCACCTTTGTCCCTAGCCCGCCGGAGATCATCAACCAGCACGACCAAGTCATCGTTTGCATGAGACATATTTTTTTGGCAATTTGAAGGCCGTCCCAGTTCACTGGGAGATAAACTTTGCTCACCTTGGGTTCTCTTTACTTTTTTATTCTTGCTGATACTTATCAAAAGTCCATACCCAAGGCAAAGTATGTATTTTTTCATCACACACCAGAAAAAAGTACTGTATTTTTCGTCGTATAGGACGCACTTTTCCCCCTCCAAAAATGAAGGGGAAATGTGTGTGCGTCCTGTGGGGTGAATGCAGGCTTTCGCTGAAGCCTGGAGCACCAACCCCTCTCACTCTCCAGGCTTCAGGAAGCTATCCGCAAGCCTTGGGAGCCCGGCGGGAGTTCCCGCGGGCTCCCAAGGCTTGCGGATAGCAGCCTGTTCTGGGGTTGGGGGAAGCTTGGGCTTCTCCCACCCCAGCCCCGTGCCTGGGGGGGGGAATAATTTTTTTTCTTTATTTCCCCCCCCAAAAAAAAACCCAGGTGCGCCCTATGGGCCGGTGCGCCCTATAGGGTGAAAAATACGGTACATATTTTTAATATCCAATCCAAAAAGAGAGAAAATTAGAAAAAGATAAGAACGACTTCTGATTCTCCGCCAGCTAAATGTCGTAACTTGTTCAAAGTATTCACTCCTCCAGCTATTCTACAGCCGTCCCTCGGAAGTCGAACGGAATCCATTCGACTTCCAAAACATTCGGAAACCAAAGCGCGGCTTCTGATTGGCTGAAGGGAGCTCCTGCAGCCAATCGGAAGCCCCGTTGGACGTTCGGCTTCCAAAAGCAGTTCGCAAACCGGAACACTCACTTCCGGGTTCGTCGCATTCGGGAGCCAAAATGTTTGAGAACTAAGCTGTTCAAAATCCAAGGTAGAACTGTATTTTCTATAAGCCAATATGTAGCCCAAGATGATTTTAACTGTTTTTAATTCTAGATTGCACTTTCTTGTAACTTAGGATCTGCTGAAGGGCAGGCAATAGATTCAACAACATCCAGTGTGCTCCCACTGCTAGATTTTTTTTAAAGCGCCCACACACAATGCACGACCCACGATCTATACTGATCGGGCTGTTTCTGAACAAATCCTGCTGTTGGATGATTCCACCCCCCCCCAAAAAAACCCCAGCTTCAATCCAACTAGAAAACTTAAGCCATATTCACTTTGCACTATGTGAACATTTGAGATGGCCGCTGCGCATGCGCAAATGAGCACACCTGCGCAGACGACAGGTTCACGGGCAGGGGAAACCCAAAAGGTCCTGCGCATTGGCGAAGGCTTCCCTTGGGAGGCGAAAAACTTCGCACTCGGGAGGCGAAAAACTCCGTGCAAAACTGGCTTGAAATGACCTCACTGCATTTTAAGCGGCTGATGTGAACATACCCTTAAGATTGCTTAAATCTACGATTCCCAGCACCCGGAGATGGGTGGGGTGGAGATTACGTTTTGAATGTCCTTTAAAGGTTCCAGCAAGTACACAGCCCAAGTTAGCTCAGAGACGGTGGTCTTCTGGGTCTGAGTAGCCCCCCCCCCCCAGCAGGCAGGACTGGAACTCGCAACTCGAAAGCCAACTTTACCTTGGAAGTAGTCGCACTTGCCGTCCATAAAGATGTAATTCATCAGGACTACGCTGAACATGCTTGCATAGACATGAAGGTCACTGAAGACCAGGATGAAGTCCGTGGGCTGGAAATTAAATAATAATAAATAATAATAAATAATGTTTTATTTATTTATACCTCGCCCTCCCCAATCAGGTCAGCTAACACCAGGTATAAAACAATTGATTGAAATACAACTTAAAAACAAGATTAAAATACAACATTAAAATGCAGCCTCATTTCAGTAGAAACTCAAATCGAAAACTTTTTGGGGATGAAAACATCAGGTCTTCACCAAGGCCAACTATCCAGACTGGTCCTACGTGGGCCAGAAAAAAGCCAGGGAAATCCCCAGATAGGAGTTGTAACACAGAAGGAGAAAGGAAAAAAGAAAGAGGGGGAGGGGATCAAGTTGATTTCAAGCCAAAGGCCAGGCGGAACAACTCTGTCTTACAGGCCCTGCGGAAAGAAATCAGATCCTGCAGGGCCCTGGTCTCTTGTGACAGAGCGTTCCACTAAGCCGGAGCCACTGTTGAAAAGGCCCTGGCTCTGGTTGAGGCTAATCTAACTTCCTTAGGGCCCAGGACCTCTAGGGTGTTGCTATTTATGGACCTTAAGGTCCTCTATGGCAGTGTTTCCCAACCTTTTTTGGGCAAAGGCACACTTGTTTCATGAAAAAAATCTCGAGGCACACCACCATGCCAGATGGGGAAAGGTCACTTTTTACTTATGTAAAAAAAAATAAAAAAAATAGTAACAGCATAGAAGGTAATGGTTAGGCTAGCATCCCTCTTCCAAATATGCTAGGTTTTTATTTGCAGGGACTGTTCTACATGGGAAAGCATTCAGCACTGTCATTCTCCCATCTGAATTGGTACTATTCTGGGTCAACTTACTCTGCTGCATGTGTAGATGAAAATGGCACCAAGTGTGGGGGAGGGGGCAGAACAGGTTTCAGATACAGGATATTAAGCATACACGTACTTCAGATTGAACTGGTTGCTTGCTTTGCAAGTTTTCATTTCCCAAATGACTGCCTTGGCAAGCGCAATACCTACCAGGCTCAAGGCCGGTCTCGCGCTGCCGCTTCCCGCGCTCTCAAGGACCCGGGAGGAGGAAGGCGTGAAGGGAATCCCGAAGGCGCGAAAACCTCGCGCATGCGCAGGCCTTCCGCCTGCGACAGCCCAGTAGGCCGGCCGAAGCGAGCGGCGATGGGATGTGGGAGCTCGCTCGCTCGCCGCCCCACGTGTGCCTATGTGGGGCACGTTACAGCCCCGTGACGTCAGCGCCACGCAGGCAGCCAGGCAGGCAGACGGCGAGAGCCCCGTGCTGGGCGGCCTCTCCTCGCCGCCGCCGCCCTGCCTCTCGCCGCCTGACTCGCCCGCCTCCCTCCAGGCAACATCTCGCGGCACACCAGGCAACGTCTCGCGGCACACTAGTGTGCCGCGGAACACCGGTTGGGAAACACTGCTCTATGGGGCATACTGGGAGAGGCGGTCCCGTAGGTACGAGGGTCCTAGACTGAAGAAGAACAGGAGCGAACAATGACCACGGTTGACAGGAGGCAGAGGTGAAATTAGACTCTTCAGAACATCATAAAAGACTGCTGAATCTGGCCATTAGCCTATCTAGTCTAGCATCCTGTTCTCACAGCGGGAAAAACCGGAAGCAGGACCCTAGCGGAAGAGCCCCCTCCCCTGGCAACTGCCTCCAACCACAGTCTCTGTCTCTGACCAAAGGGCAAGCAGCCATCGACAGCCGTCTCCACCATGAATTGGCCTAATCCCTTTTAAAATCCCCCCAAGTTGGTGGCCATCACCAATTCATGTGGCAGTGAGTTCTGTAGGTTAACTGTGATGTGGTCCTGGACCCTTTTCTAATTACACTGGCTCGGCTCACTTGAGCAAAATAAACTATATGCTGATCTCCGCCAGCAATTTCTAGATCAGCTCTGTATCCCCAAATGGAAACCAGAGTTGGAGGTCATACATTTTCTATTACTGGGGAATGATCAGGAGCTCACCAAGTTAGTAGCTAAATATTTCTATTTGGTTTTTTGTCATCGAAATACACTGCAGACCTCTGATCTCCCTGGAGACCAAGAGATGTGACGATAAGACTGCTCTGCCTCCTTCCTTTTGGCATATGTTTTGTGCCACTGGGGAAGTGGTGATTCTGTATTGATTTGTTCTGGATGTTTGTATGTGATGCCAATAAAAGGTTTGATGATGACTTGAGCAAAAGAGATAATAACCACCTAATCTTTACATATGTAAAACGGGGAACAGGATGGCAAGTCAGATCCAGAGCTTCCCCCACTTTGGCAGAAGGGAGGACTAGGAACTTGAAATGCAGCAGCGGGGACAAAGCGCAGGAAGGATCAGTCCCATTGGAAGGTAATGGACTCTCCTTCAGTGGAGGTTTTTAAGCAGAGGTTTGGTGGCCACCTGCCAGGGACTCTGTAGCCGTGATTCCAGCATTGAAGCAGGTTAGACTAGAATCTAGATTAGTGGTGGCCAAACTTGTCCCTCCAGCTGTTTTGGGACTACAATTCCCATCATCCCTGGTCCTGTTAGCTAGGGATGATGGGAGTTGTAGTCCAAAAACAGCTGGAGGGCCACGTTTGGCCACCACTGGACTAGATGATGCTTTGGGCAGTGCCAGATTTAAAGGTAAAGGGACCCCTGACCATTAGGTCCAGTCGTGACCGACTTTGGGGTTGCGGCGTTCATCTCGCTTTACTGGCTGAGGGAGCCGGCATACAGCTTCCGGGTCATGTGGCCAGCATGACTGAGCCGCTTCTGGCAAACCAGAGCAGCGCACAGAAATGCCGTTTACCTTCCTGCCGGAGTGGTACCTATTTATCTACTAGCACTTTGACGCGTTTTCGAACTGCTAGGTTGGCAGGTGCAGGGACCGAGCAACGGGAGTTCACCTCGTCGCGGGGATTCGAACCGCCGACCTTCTGATCGGCAAGTCCTAGGCTCTGTGGTTTAGACTCCGGCACCACCCACATCCCAGTGCCAGACTTACGTTTAAGCTAAACAAGCTATAAGCTTAGGGCCCCACTCTCTTGGGGGCCCCCCAAAAAATTAAAGGAAAAACAACTGGATGTACATTTCTAAAATATAAGATAAAAAGCAAATAAAATAAAACTTACATACAGCAACAGTGTTTTGTGTTGTGTAGGCTCCTATGATGCAAGTCATGGGCCCCTGCTCCCTAAAATACCACTGGTTTGCTCCTTTCTATATATAGGGTGCCTACTTTCTGCATGGACTGGTTGCATGTGGAACATGTGCAAATGGCTTGCGATAACTATTAGGTCCATCAATGACCATATAGCATATATTCAACACAAGAAACAGCGACTATTTGTTATTGACAAAGGACAGCTGGACATATCAAGGGCCCCATTACCTTCAGTAGCCGAGGGCCTCATCATTTAATGTATTTTTAATCTTTGTTGGAAGCCGCTCAGAGTGGCTGGGGAAACTCAGCCACATGGGCGAGGTATAAATAATAAATTATTATTATTGTAAACCTAAATCCGGCCCTGCTTGGGGGTCCCTTTCAACACCATGATATGATGATACAAGGCGATAGGGGAGCCCATGACTTACATAGAAGACTGTGAAAAGCACCAGGATGGGGATTTGGAGCATGCAGACCTGGACCGCGATGCAGTTCCCAATCTCAATGCTAGAAGAGAGAAAGAGACAGGAGGAAGGGAAGGTGAATGCAGTTGTCAAAATTCCCCTCCCCGGATACATAAGGACCCCCACCGCCTTGCTGTTTCCCGCTACCCGGTTAGAAATCGCCTCCTGTAGCATAGAGTTCCAAAGGTCCCTCTCTGACAGGATGGCAAGGGCATCTGCCACAATGCAGGAGGCGGACATGTTTACATCGCACAATCCCATACACGGTTCCAGGGTACCTCAGGGATCACCTGAACCCTTATACTATCCTAGCTTGGTCGACAAGATCATTTGCTGGTGTGTTGCTGGTCACACACACACCCCATGTTGGCAAAAGCTCGTTCGAGAACAAAAAACTGATGTCGTCGGAACAGTCCTGTGGAACTCTATGCCACTGGAGATTCAGCTTTTAAATGCCTCCTGAAAGCTTTCCCGCTCCACTGGGAGCCAACTCAAGACAACTACATCCTTCCAAAATGGTTAATTCAGGCATAGGCAAACTCAGCCCTTCAGATGTTTTGGGACTACAACTCCCATCATCCCTAGCTAACAGGACCAGTGGTCAGGGATGATGGGAACTGTAGTCCCAAAACACCTGGAGGGCTGAGTTTGCCTATGCCTGACACAGATGGTGCCATTGGCTTTAGCGCCCCCTACTGTCAGCCTCCGAGTTTTCTGCCCAATGAGTTGTAGTTTCAGCTGAAAATGGGTGTCTGTTTTAATCTTTTAAATGGTCTTTGTTGCATGCTATTATTGCTGTAAACTGTTTTGAGATTTATATATATTGGGCTGAAAAAATTGGGTTTTCCTTCTTCACATCCGCTGCGACCTGCACCCCGGTCTAAAGAGGTGGGGGACGCAGGAGGAGGGCATATTTAAGGAACATTTCTTGGGAAATCTAAAGAGTCTAAAGAGGTGGGGGACGCAGGAGGAGGGCATATTTAAGGAATATTTCTTGGGAAATCCTCCAGGCTAGACTTCCAAGGACCCACCTGAGGCTGAGGTTGTTCTGCAGGGCAAACTGGATCCCGTTGACGATCTCTGGGAGTTCTGGCACCATGGCAAGGATGGTCACGCCAATGAAGTGCTGAGGGAAGGAGAGGCGGCCTGGTTATTTGGTTCTTTAGCTGAATTATAAGCTGCTCGCTCCAAGCAGTGCAGAGCTTCAATATATATGCACAACGCGACTAAAATCGGGTTCACCCACGCCAGGGGTCAGCAAACTTTTTCAGCAGGGGGCCGGTCCACTGTCCCTCAGACCTTGTGGGGGGCCGGACTATATTTTGGAAAAAAATATATGAACCAATTCCTATGCCCCACAAAAACCCAGAGATGCATTTTAAATAAAAGCACACATTCTACTCATGTAAATTCCCTTCCCTGGGGAGTTGTCTGTATGAATCTGTACTTTATTCCGAATCCATGTTATAGGTCGTTGCCCTCAACGGCATCTCACATAACTTTAAAAAGAAATTTAACCAAAATAATCCTAAAAACTAAAAATCACATTGAAAGGCTTGGGAGAACAGAGAAGCTTAAGAGATGCTCCTGCGATGGCCAGGAGAGCCTCTCTGGAGACTTCCGGGTTGACGCGATCTGGAAATGGCGGATTCCCTCCGAGCTCCGGAGGGAACCGGCTCCACTGAGGATGGGTCTTTGCCGCGCCGGCGACGCGGGGACCCTTAAAAACCGCAGGCGCGGAAGCCTGCGGACTGAAGACTCGGCGGGTGCCTTAAGCGCCCCCCCTGATTCGCAAAGAGCCTTTTTAAAGGCTGCGGAGGGGATACGGGGGTGGCGTGGCACTGAGAGTCGATCGCTACCTCGGTGGAGTGAAGCCGCGAGCCAGGACCAGAGAGCGCTGACTTCCTTCCTTGAAAATTTGGACTGAAAGAATTACCCGTGAGTAAGACGGATTGGGACTATATAAAAATTTTACCTTGAATTGGAGACGATCGGGGGGTGTGCTAAAAGGAAGTCCGCACCCCCCCTCTTGCAGACGACCTAAGCAACGGCATAAGAGCTAAGCTGGAGAGCCTACCCCTGGTGGGGTGAGTTAAAAAGGACATTAACTTCTAAGATTTAACTAAAGGAAATTTTGGGCTGGAGAGTGGAGTTTTGGGAACTTTCTTTTTGCTTCAAACAACCCCCCCTCCCGGGCCCGGGAACGTCCTGCCTCGGTGCCTGTGTAAGAGCTGCGGAGTTTGACAGCTGTCAAAGCTGCCAAACGGTCGGTTTAAAGTGCAAAAATTGTCATCTCTTGACTAAGACGAGTTATAATTGAGCTAAAATCGTTGGAAACAAAGTAATAATAATCAGTGAAAGGATTGTTGGTGAAAAGGCTAATAAGTAACCAGATTCCCCCTAGGGGGAATTCTGTGAAACTACAATGGATACAATGGCTGTGGAAGGAAAGTTACTGGTGGAAATTGAAAGGATGTTTCAATTGGTGGGAACTTTACAAGAGCAGAGCTTGGCCATGAATAAACAGCTTGAGACTATGACCTTGGGAACAGGCAACTCTGCTCTTTGTATTGAGGACCTCAACGAGAAAGAATTCACAGCTGAATGGGAAACAATACCTACAGAGTTGGAAGAGACTAAACAACAAGAAAAAGAAGAAGTAATCCTGGGAAGTAACAACCAAAAGTTGACATCTGCGGAACATAAGCAAGGAAACGCTGGGAACATATCTACTACAAGTCTGCGAAAGATACAGAAGAAGAAGAAGGAGGTCCCGGGACAAAATGGAACACAGAAATTTAAAATAAAGAAATATGCTTGGGGCCTCCGTTTGGACTTTGATCTTGAAGAGATAGGCTTTGTGGAAATTCTTCAGCAGTTACTTTTGAACCCCCTTGTGGGAAGAGGAATCACTTTGATGGTGAAAGAACTTTTCCCAGACTTGATGACTGACATAAAGGACTACCAACGGGACAGGCGGAGAGGGACTGAAAGGGATTTGAAAGCCTCGGACGTGAGGAACCCAGGCTGAGAAATTCGAATTTGGATTTTTATTGGGAAGGGACAAAAACCGGGGATGGGAGGGAGGGAAGAAGAGACTCTTAAAAACTCTTAAGACTTTTAGGTTTGGCTAATATGACTCTTAATTAAGATAAAATGAAAATCGATGGAAGAGAACTTAAGTCCAACTTAGGAAAATTAATTTTTATTATAAAATAAGGTGATGAATAACATTGTTAAGAGGAGAAATACCAACTTGCTGATATAATCTTGAAACTGGGATGCACGAGGGGAGGTGGGGGGAAGTCAGGGAACAAGTTTATGAAACGGGGATTGGTTGATTTTATACATGTTTTTGTCTTTTTCTTTTCTTTGTGTATGTTTTGTCTTTATAAAACCAGAAAACCAAATAAAAATTTTATTAAAAAAAAAAAAGGAGAGCCTCTCTGGACACAGCAAGCCATGGTTGGGGTGCCACCATTGAAAAGGCCCCGGTAGCGAACCACCTCCTTGGGGGACATGGAGGTCTTCACGCCAAGGATGGCATCGCCCTGCTGCAGCCCCCACCTGCTCCAGCCCTGACCCTGCCTCCTCCTCACCTGAGACACTGCCGAGTTGTTCAAGATGGGGCTGATGTGCTCCGTGGCCAGGTCTGCGCAGGCGGACATGCCCAGAGTGGCGACCAGTAAGATGAGCAAAGCTCTCCAGCGAGACCAGTGGACCACCGCACTGTGATGGTGGCCGGGCACTAGAGAAGAGGAGAGACGCGTACATCCGTAAGAGGGTGGCGTGGAAGCAGTAGCCGGGGAGGGTGGGAGTCGGGAGTCGATAAGGACGATCAGAATTGATTACTTGTTTAGAATAGATTTATGAAAGATTTAGAAAACTTATTGATTAGAATATTTGTGCGAGATTGTATGGGGGAAAATACGGAATAACAATCTTGCTTAAAATGTATATAGGAAGTGCAGTGTAAGCGATGGCAGTCAATCAATGAATTATTATTATTATTATTATTATTTTCATATTGAGATAATTGTAGAATAAACTTGGAAGAAATTCTTCCAACTTTTCTTCTTTTCTCTTTATTTTTCCTTCTTTTTTCTTTCCTTCTTTTTCCCTCTTTTGTTCCTTTTTTCATATTGAAGGAGGTAGGCTACAATATATATGTGCTTATTTGAAATATATATGTATGTATGTATGTATGTATTTGCAATATTTTGTAACAATTATGTTAAATAATTTTTTTAAAAAATTGAAAAAAAAACTATTGCTTGCACTCCTCTGCCCATCCACCAGCGTTGCCCCAGCCACTCTGGGCGGCTTCCAATTTAAAAACTACAGGGAAGTTTTTAATCTGTGACATTTTAGTGTATTTTGGGTCTCTATGGAAGCCACCCAGAGTGGCTGGGGAAACCCAGCCAGATGGGCGGGGTACAATTAATAAACTATTATAATATATAATATATAATATATAATATATAATATATAATATATAATATATAATATATAATATATAATATATAATATATAATATATAATATATAATATAATATATAGAGGACCCCTGGACGGTTAAGTCCAGTCAAAGGCAACTATGGGGATGCGGCGCTCATCTTGCTTTCAGGCCAAGGGAGCTGGCGTTTGTCCACAGACAGTTTTCCGGGTCATGTGGCCGGCAGGACTAAACTGCTACCAGCACACAGAGGACCGCGACGTGTGCCAGAGCACACAGAAATGCCATTTACCTTCCCACTGGAGCGGTACCTATTTATCTACTTGCACTGGTGTGCTTTCAAACTGCTAGGTTGGCAGGAGCTGGGACTGAGCAACGGGAGCTCACCCAGTTGTGGGGATTCAAACTGCTGACCTTCAGATCGGCAAGTCCTAGGCTCTGTGGTTTAGGTCATAGCGCCACATGCATCACTATTAACCTTAACCACACACACACACAGCATAGTAACAAACGAAAAAAATAAACCACCACCCAATTCAGTTTAATATCCAATGGTACCTCAGGTTACAGATGCTTTGGGTTACAAACTCCGCTAACTAGTAAGTGGTTGCTCCAGGTTAAGAACTTTGTCCCAGGATAAGAACAGAAATCGCAGGAGGCCCCATTAGCGAAAGCACACTTCAGGTTAAGAACCCTTTCTGGTTAAGAACGGACCTCTGGAACAAATTAAGTTCTTAACCTGAGGTACCACTGTAGATTGTTTAATTGGCCAAAGGCCTGGGAGAAGTAGGACTTGCCTGGCATCCGACACACTTCTAAAAGGCCACCTAAGAAAAGCTTTTGCCACGGTTTTCTCTGATCTTTTCCAAGACGGGGGCCATCCCTGCTTCCTGCTGCAGCGAGTTGCGCAGATTAACTCTGCACTGTGAAGAATTGTATACAGAGCTCTGGGACTTCAACACGGTGGCGCACGGCCCGCCTCAAGGCATTAAGAGAGGCCCACTTTGTACTGCAATGCGCTTTCCACGGGGCTACCTTTGAAGGTAACCCGGAAACTACAACTAATCCGGAATGCGGCAGCTAGACTGGTGATTGGCCAGACCATATAACCGTGGTCCTAAAAGAACTACATTGGCTCCCAGTAAGTTTCCAAGCAGGGACGCGGGTGGCGCTGTGGGTTAAACCACAAAGCCTAGGACTTGCTGATCAGAGGGTTGGTGGTTCGAATCCCCACGACGGGGTGAGCTCCCATTGCTCGGTCCCTGCTCCTGCCAACCTAGCAGTTCAAAAACACGTCAAAGTGCAAGTAGATAAATAGGTACCACTCCGGTGGGAAGGTAAACAGCGTTTCTGTGCGCTGCTCTGGTTCACCAGAAGCGGCTTAGTCATGCTGGCCACATGACCCAGAAGCTGTACACTGGCTCCCTCAGCCAATAAAGCGAGATGAGCGCCCCAACCCCAGAGTCGTTCACGACTGGACTTAATCATCAGGGGTCTCTTTACCTTTACCTTTCTGAGCACAATTCAAAGTGTTGGTGTTGACCTTTCAAGCCCTAAATGGCCTCAGCCCAGAATACCTGAAGGAGTGTCTCCACCCCCATTGTTCTTCCCAGACACTGAGGTCCAACTCTGAGGGCCTTCTGGCAGTTCCCTCACTGAGAGAAGTGAAGTTACAGGGAACCAGGCACAGGGCCTTCTCGGTGGTGGCACCTGCCCTGTGGAACACCCTCCCACCAGATGTCAAGGAAATAAACAACTATCTGACTTTTAGTAGACATTTCAAGGCAGCCCTGTTTAGGGAAGCTTTTAATATTTGCTGAATTATTGTATTTTAATATTTTGCCGGAAGCCGCCCAGAGTGGCTGGGGAAACCCAGTCTGATGGGTGGGGTATATATAATAAATTATTCCCCACCTGCAAAGAGCAAACCTCAGGAAGGTACTTACTGTGGCAGTCGCTGACATGGATGTCGTAGATGTGCGAGTGAGTCTTCAGGGTGAAGAGCAGGCCGATGATGTACGCCGCAGGGAGCAACAGGGACACCGTATACACCAGGGGCCTGCCACACACAAAGGGTTAAAATATGCAGGGGGGGGGTTCTACCCTTTACACCTGGCCCACCTGCCTCCAGGACCAAACCTTAAGAGGCAGAGATGAGCGTAGAGAAGCTGATCTATGCATGCAGTGCACTTAAAGAAAATGTGATGGAAATGATGTATAGATGGTATTTGACACCATCAAAGCTTGCTGAAATGTGTAACACAAGATCTAACGAGTGCTGGAAATGTAAAGAAAAGGAAGGTATCTTTTATGTGGTGGACCTGTAAAATGGTAAAGGCTTTCTGGGAAACGATATATAATGAGTTAAAGACAACGTTTAAAAATACTTTTGTTAAAAAACCAGAAGCCTTCTTACTGGGTATACTGGGTGAAGAGATACGAGGTATGATTAACGGGAAGAACCAAATGCAAATGAATGCAGGACGAATGCTCATCATCACTCAGCCTCCCCACAAACAAATCAGAGCAAAAACTCATTAAAGTCCAAATACCATTTAACCTCCCCGTAAGCTTTGTGCAAGCGAATCAGGATAAAAGCTGGTATCTGAAGAAGTGTGTATACACACAGAAGCTTATACCAAGAACAAACTTAGTTGGTCTCTAAGCTGCTACTGGACATTTTTTTTATTTTTATAAATATTTTGATTGCGTCAGACCAACATGGCTACCTACCTGAATCTAGAACCATGGAAGGCACCACATTGAGCTTCATGAAATGGAAGTCCATCAACTTATCTGAAGAAGTGTGCATGCACACGAAAGCTTATACCAAGAACAAACTTAGTTGGTCTCTAAGGTGCTACTGGACAATTTTTTAATTTTATTATATAGCTAGCTCAATAAACAGGTTTCTTTGAGAAGCTCCTTTGAGTCGCAGCAGTCGCTTCCCCAAGCCTCGTGCAGAGTTTTTTATTATTATTATTTTCAGAAGCTACCAGGGAACTGGTGATCCGATCAGATGATGAACAACTCATGCATGGGGCTGCCTTAGAAAAATCGATCAGCCACAGTCAAGGTTGAGGAAGACAGAGAGCATGTTATGCGCCTCTGGCACATGACAGAATGGAATTTTGTGGCTCACAACAGCTCCAGCCAGAGAGGCTTCCCGTGACCAGAAGCAGTTAAACAGGACAGGCATATAAAAAGGATGAATGATAAGGTACTTACTCAACATGGCTGTAGTAAAGTGTCCCATTGTTCTCCATCTACCAAGAGATAATAGAATTATCAGACCCCGCGGTGCCAGAAGCTGTCTGTTTGCAAATATTGTTATTCGTGGGGCTGCCTTTGAAGACGGTTCGGAAACTTCAGCCGGTGCAGATTTTGGCAGCCAGTTTGCTCAACAAGGCAAGACTGTCTTTAGCAAATGATACCAATCCTGCCTCAACTGCTCAACAGGCTGCCGATTAGTTTCTGGGCCCAATTCAAAGAGCTGGGTTTGACCTACAAAGTTTTTTAAGACCGCAGAACCTCAAGGACAGCCTCTCCCCATATGAACTGAAAATAATAAGTAGTAATAATAATAATAATAATAATAATAATAATATCCATTCTGAAGGAAATCAGCCCTGAGTGCTCACTGGAAGGACAGATCCTGAAGCTGAGGCTCCAATACTTTGGCCACCTCATGAGAAGAGAAGACTCCCTGGAAAAGACCCTGATGCTGGGAAAGATGGAGGGCACAAGGAGAAGGGGACGACAGAGGACGAGATGGTGGGACAGTGTTCTCGAAGAGACCAGCATGAGTTTGACCAAACTGCGGGAGGAAGTGGAAGACAGGAGTGCCTGGCGTGCTCTGGTCCAGTGGGTCATGAAGAGGCGGACACGACTAAACAACAACAACATAGCCAACGCGACTGGTACTGGTTGGTGAAATCCCTTTTTTTTTTTTTTTTAATAAAATTTTTATTTGGTTTTCTGCTTTTATAAAGACAAAACATACACAAAGAAAAACAAAAACAAAAACATGTATAAAGTCAGCAAATCCCCATTTCATAACCTTGTTCCCTGACTTCCCCCCACCCCCCCAAATGCATCCCAGTTTCAAGATTATGTCAGCAAGTTGATATTTCTCCTCTTAACAATCTTATTCATCTTATTTCCTTTTTTTTATAATAAAAATTAGTTTTCATAAGTTGGATTTAAGTTCTCTTCCATCGATTTTCATTTTATCTTAATTAAAAGTCATCTTAACCAAACCTAAAGGTCTTGAGAGTTTTTAAGAGTCTCTTCTTCCCTCCCTCCCATCCCCGGTTTTTGTCCCTTCCCAATAAAAATCCAAATTCGAAGTTCTCAGCCTGGGTTCCTCACGTCCGAGGCTTTCAAATCTATTTCCGTTCCTCTCCGCCTGTCCTGTTGGTAGTCCTTTACAGCAGTCGTCAGATCTGGGAAAAGTTCTTTCATCATCAAAGTATGTCCTCTTCCAACAAGAAGATTCAAAGGTAGCTGCTGAAGTATTTCCACAAAGTCTATCTCTTCCAAGTCTAAGTCCAAACGGAGGCCCCAATCATATTTCTTTATTTTAAATTCCTGTACTCCATTTTGTCTTGGGGCCTCCTCCTTCTTCTTCTGTATCTCTCGCAGACTTGTGGTGAATATGTTCCCAGCGTCTCCTTGCTTGTATTCCACAGATGTCAACTTTTGGTTATTACTTCCCAGGATTACTTCTTCTTTTTCTTGTTGTTTAGTCTCTTCCAGCTCTGTAGATATTGTTTCCCAATCAGCTGTGGATTCTTTCTCATTAAGGTCCTCAATACAAAGAGCAGAGTTGCCTGTTCCCAAGGTCATAGTCTCAAGTTGTTTGTTCATGGCCAAACTCTGCTCCTGTAAGATTCCCACCAATTGAAACATCCTTTCGATTTCCACTAGTAACTTTCCTTCCACAGCCATTGTATCCATTGTAGTTTCACAGAGTTCCCCCTAGGGGAATCTGGTTACTTATTTGCCTTTTCACCAACAATCCTTAAACTGATTATTATTACTTTGTTTCCAACAGTTTCAGCTCAATTATAACTCGTCTTAGTCCATAGAAATCTTAAATGGCAATTTCTCACTTTAAAACCGCCCGTTTGGCAGCTTTGACAGCTGTCAAACTCCGCAGCTCTAACGCAGGCACGAAGGCAGGACGTTCCCGAGCCCGGGAGGGGGGGTTGTTTAAAACAAAAGGGAGGTTTCCAAAACTCCACTCTCCTGCACAAACTTTTCCTTTAGTAAAATCTTGAAAGTTAGTGTCCTTTTTAACTCACCCCACCAAGGGTAGGCTCTCCAGCTTATCTCTTGTGTCGTTGCTTAGATGGTCTGCAAGGGGGGGGGGTGCGGACTTCCTTTTAGCACACCCCCCGGTCGTCTCCAATTAAAGGTAAAATTTTTCAAAAGTCCCAATCCGTCTTACTCACGGGTGATTCTTTCAGTCCAAATTTTTAAGGAAGGAAGTCAGCGCTCTCCGGTCATGGCTCGCGGCTTCGCTCCACCGAGGTAGCGATCGACTCTCAGTGCCACGCCACCCCCGTATCCCCTCCGCAGCCTTTAAAAAGGCTCTTTGCGAATCAGGGGGGGCGCTTAAGGCACCCGCCGAGTCTTCAGTCCGCAGGCTTCCGCGCCTGCGGTTTTTAAGGGTCCCCGCGTCGCCGGCGCGGCAAAGACCCATCCTCAGTGGAGCCGATTCCCTCCGGAGCTCGGAGGGAATCCGCCATTTCCAGATCGCGTCAACCCGGAAGTCTGGTTGGTGAAATCCCAGCCCCATGTGGGGCCCAGAAGCTGCTGCTCACCAAGTCGAAGTGGCAGCTCTGGCAGACGTAGTGCCCTGGTGGCTCTTGGGTGACGTTCTGGCATTCCCCGCAGACCAGCCTCCCGTAGACTTTGGAGAAGAGGGTTGGAGCGAACACACCTGGGGGAAAGGAGTGTGAGAGGAGATCAGCCCCATCGCCTCGCAGGATCCGTCCAGCCCACATCTTTCCCCCTGACCTGAGTTTCCCATTTTCATTACAGGGGTACCTTAGTTCTCAAACTTAATCCGTTCCGGAAGTCTGTTCCGTAAGCAAAGCGTTCCAAAACCAAGGCACGCTTTCCCACAGAAAGTCATGCAAAACGGATTAATCCATTCCAGACAACCCCTAAAACAGCAATTGAACATGAATTTTACTATCTAATGAGACCGTTGATCCATAAAATGAAAGCAATGAACAATGTACTGCAGTCACACAATCAATCCATCAGGAGCTGAACTGGGTTCCACACAGTCACAAAAACAAAACAAAAAGGGCTGCGAAAACAAAAGCGCAAAATAAATAGCCAAAACAGACAGACCTCAGCGTAACACTCAAATCAGAAGTGTAACACTCAAAACGGAGGATGTTCGGCTTCCGAAAATAGTTCGCAAACTGGAACACTTACTTCCAGGTTTGCAGTGTTTGGGTTCCAAGTTGTTTGAGCACCAAGGCGTTTGAGAACCAAGGTACCACTGTACTGTGTTGTTTTAAAGGCATCATTTTATAGCACATTTTAATATGGATGTCCAGGCTTATCGTGGAGGGTTAAGGCAATTCTGACTGCTCTTCTGTCATGGATAGGACCACTTGCCTAGACTCTGCCTGGAGGAACAAAGGAAGAAGTTTGGGTTGGGCCAAGTTAGTGTTAGAAGCGTTATGACGCCAAAACTAGTCAGAAGCGCAGGATGGTGAGGCCCAAGGCCAATCCAGTTGCAGGTAGTTCCAAGGGCGGAATGGGTGATACAGGTTTATACTGTGTGTATGGCATCTGTATGGTTGTTGCAGTTACACTGATGTCTGCAACACAGATCATGAATTGGGGGAGGACGTTAGAATTCCTGCTCCATGATTGCAGTCATGGGATTTTTGTCTATCACATGACGTCGTATGTTTTGACTCCACAGAGTGGGAAGTGACGGAGACAGGATGTTTGTGTTCCTGTGTTCCGTGAAGTGGGACTATTGTCCTTTGTTCTTTTTCTCTTTGCTGTCTGATGCTAGAGAGAGAGGGAGCCATGTTGCAGTGCTCCGTGTGTGTTTATATGTACATAAAGTAGATTAGCCAAAGTGCTGAGTTGCTGAGGTCTGTTATGCTCATGATGCGCAAACTCTGCGGATCCCTAAGTATGCCAGTGTCAGTTGGAATTGATCGCTGTGATGTTTGGGCTGAAGAAAGCTTTTGGAGCTCCCAAACGGATGACCAGGAGGGAGAGAACATGCCATGTAGGCTGAATTCCTGACAGTTAGACCTGCTAGCCTCAAAAAACATGACAACAGATATTTTTGTATTCCCTGGTGTTACAAGACCGCTCAGGGGTTGGATTTATAAACAGGATAACGAGGATGATTTATCGCTAATCCTTATGTCAAAATTCTCCTATTGGTACTATTTACTGAAATCTAGTCATACCAGGAGCACAAAATTTGCTGTCACTGCCCTTTGCCTCCCTGAGAACTGCTCTCCGTTTTCAAACAATCCCTACATCAGTCTTAGATGGAAGATACAGAAATGTTCCAAGGCATTTAAGACTATGTATTTGTAGGTGAGGTAGAAGATCTCCCCCTGTGATATGCTCTATTATAAAGGTAAAGGGTAAAGGGACCCCTGACCATTAGGTCCAGTCGTGGCCGACTCTGGGGTTGCGGCGCTCATCTCGCTTTACTGGCCGAGGGAGCCGGCGTACAGCTTCCGGGTGATGTGGCCAGCATGACTAAGCCGCTTCTGGCGAACCAGAGCAGCGCACAGAAACGCCGTTTACCTTCCCGCCGGAGCAGTACCTATTTATCTACTTGCACTGGTGTGCTTTCGAACTGCTAGGTGGGCAGGAGCAGGGACCGAGCAACGGGAAGCTCACTCTGTCGCGGGGATTCGAACCGCCAACCTTCTGATCGGCAAGCCCTAGGCTCAGTGGTTTAACCCACAGCGCCACCCCTGTCCCTATGCTCTATTATAAGCTCTATCAAAACCCCAGAAAGAGATTTTTTGGAACAGATGCTGGCAGAACCCTGAAGTGAAAATATGTTGGCTATTATGTGACTGTGACCTGCTTGTCACATGCAAAACGGCAAATGAAATTAATGGACTATGCAGAATTAGATAAGATGACAGGAAGGATTTGAAACCTGAGGGACCAGAGATTCTTAGAGGACTGGAGTAAATATTTGAATTATTTGAAAAGCAATTGTAATAAACAGATTACGCTAGTAGGACTGCAAGCAGTTTTGTAAGGAGGATTATGCGAAATATTGCAATGAAGACTATGAAGGGAGTTATTAGTTAAGGACAATTAAAAGTAATAGAGAAATTAAGAAATGTAGACTAAGTGATAAAGACTGAAAAATCTTCAGATGCGGTGGATGGAAGTCCAAAACATTGTATAAGATAAGAAAATATGTTAAATGACTGTTGGAAATGATATGTTAAAAAATTGTGTGTGTGTGTATACACACAACACACACACACACACACACACACACACGGCCCCATTTGCTAAAGCCGCTAAATATATAAAAGCTATATAAAAGACAATGCCGCAAACTTTGCAGGCGATTCATTAATTTGACTTATTGTAAACGGATGCGTATCTCTGGTTTTCTTTCATCAGGTTTTAATTGACTTGCTGGATCTGTAAAAACTAATCTGTAGTGGCTTTTAGTCAAACGCAATAAATGATTGGCAGTTGGGTAAGGCTATCAATGGCTCCCTCCTACCTACCTACCTACCTCCGCAACTTACCTCCCACAGAGAGGAAGAGGAGGGCGGAGCTGACCCCGGCTGACCTGCTGTTGAATCTCTGCTCTTGGTGCCGAATGCCGCCAATCACCATGCAAAGCCCCTAGAAGGAGAAAGAGAGAGAAGGATAGTGGCTCCATCCCTGTGTTCACCAGCCTGTATATCTGAAGGAGCGTATCCACCCCCATCATTCTGCCCGGACACTGAGGTCCAGCGCCGAGGGCCTTCTGGCTGTTCCCTCATTGCGAGAAACCAAGTTACAGGGAACCAGGCAGAGGGCCTTCTCGGTGGTGGCACCCGCCCTGTGGAATGCCCTCCCACCAGATGTCAAAGAGAGCAACAACTACCAGACTTTTAGATGACATCTGAAGGCAGCCCTGTTTAGGGAAGCTTTTAATGTTTAATGCATTACTGTATTTTAATATTTTGTTGGAAGCCGCCCAGAGTGGCTGGGGAAGCCCAGCCAGATGGGCGGGGTATTTTTATTTATTATTATTATTATTATTATTATTATTATTATTATTATTATTATATGTGGCAGGATTGCAAAATAACTAAAAGTTATTGGGGAATGATTTACAATGAAATGGAAAGAATGTTTAAGACATCTTTTGTTAAAAGACCAGAAGCTTTTCTGTTAGGTTGGCCAAATTCTGTGCCACTGCCATAAAGCTTAGTCATTATCATAGCTGTCAACTTTTCCCTTTTCTTGCGAGGAATCCTATTCGGAATAAGGGAATTTCCCTTTAAAAAAGGGAAACGTTGACAGCTATGGTCATTATGGTAGCACAGCTTGTTCCCTAAGGCCTTGAATGACAATTTCAGGTTATATTTTAGTGACTAAGATTTAAACTATATATTTTTAACTGCTACTATATCTGTTTTGTCCCTGTTATACCCAATTGTAAATTCAAATGTATCCCTATCATGTTTTATGACTTCCCTGATATTGTATGTGAGCTGGAACTGGTCTGTAACCGAAATAATAAAATTATTATTATTATTATTTCTGTTAGGTATTACAGGGCAAGACTTGCCAAAAGGATGTAAAAAACTATTTATGTATGCCACAATGGTGGCTAGGATATTACAAGCCCAAAGATGGAAGGACAACAAGATACCAGCGAAAGAAGAATGGCAAGAAAAGCTGATGGAATATGCTGAAATGGCGAAACTAATTGGAAAACTAAGAGACAAGGACAATGGAGATTTTAAGAAGGACTGGGAACCGTTTATGTTATATCTAAAGAATTATTGTAAAGAAGTGGACTCACTAGCACTTCTTTAAACACATTTAAGAAAACGTGTAAAAAAATTAAGATGTAATAATGGGTAAATAACAAAGGGTAAGATGCAATGTGGAAATAGGGTATAAAATTGTTTGTTATTGTTATAATTGATAAGATTATAACAATATTTAAGTAGAAGTTTGTAAATTAAAATAGAATAAAACAGGAAAATATACAATGAACCAGAAGAGGAAATTGAGGGAAGTCAAGAGGGGCGGGGTAGGGATTTATACATTGCTACTGTGAGAATAATGATTGTAATGAATATAAAATTGTAAAATTTAATAAAATTATTATTATTATTATTATTATTATTATTATTATTATTATTATTATTTTAAATGCTAGGCAACGTCTGCGGGTCTCAAACCGTTGGAAGCGATTAGGGGATCTAAGCAATGCTTTGGTCGATGGAACCGCTGGGCTGGGCTGAGCTGGCTCATACAAATTATTTTTAAAGTAAAACAAACAAACTGCCCACCCCCGGCAAAAAAAAAATGTTGCTGGGAGTCCCAAATGCCACCATCCCCGGCCGTGCAGAATTCTGAACAGAGGCGTCATACGCTGAGAAGGCCTCATTACTGTCAGCAATCGTTTTGCAGCATTCTGCACTCAATGCCGCCTCTGGATCAAGTGCAAGGGAAGCCTAGTAAATTCACCAATTAATTAATTAATTAAGCGGCATGTAAACGTTACGAAACCGATAAAGTAAAAACAAATCCCTTCCGAACGCGGCCAAAAGCTCCCCTGTTCCGCTTGCAGAATTCAGTCGCAGAATTTCAGGCCGGAAGGATCAGTCCTGACAGATACGAGGGGATTGGGAAGCGCGGAGGGACAGAGAAGCCACAAATTCCAAGAGGGAAGATGATAAATATTATTATTATTATTTATTATTAAATTATTATACCCTGCCCATTGGCTAGGTTTCCCCAGCTACTCTGGGTGGCTCCCAATAGAATATTCAAAACACGATAAATACATCAAACATTAAAAACTTCCCTAAACAGGGCTGCCTTCAGATGTTTTCTAAAAGTCAGGTAGTTGTTTGTTTCAAGTGTCTGGACGGGCACTCAAGGGCTGGACTCACCGGGATGAAAAGGACGCAGCCCAGGAGAGTCCCCGTCAAGGCGGACTTGACGATTTCCTCGTAGCACTTGTTCTTTTCCCGGGCGCCTTTGATGAGGGCCGTGATGTAGAAAGTGAGCTCCGTGATGGAGCCGAACGTGGCGTTGACCACGGCCCCCACCGCGAAGTTGCTCTGGGCTGAGATGCTGCAGGAGAAAAGGAGAAGGTCCACGAGGTGAAGTAGCCGCCCTTAGCATCATCAGAAGGGCCTTGGGGTCCCTCACAACTCAGCCATTCTACAAGGTGCGACCGGAAAGTTCGGTGAATGGTCCATAGCTGTCAACCGTCCCTTATTTGGCGGGAAAGTCCCTTATCCCAGCGCTGTGTCCCGCTGCTGTCCCTTATTGATGATGTCCCTTAAATTTCCTGGGTTTCAAAGGAAGCAGCTCCTCTCCCTCCCTCCCTGCCGGCCAGGGAGGAGGGAGGCTCCAACTGTGTTGCTTGGCTGCGTTGCTCACCCAATAAGAAGTCTAAGAACGACTGGGGGGTGGAGCTTGCACGCCTTGTGCCAATCAAATCAGCCGCGTTGCCTGGGGACTCGCTTTTGCTCAGCACTTCCCAGCGGAGAGGTGATGGTGGTTTTCCTTGCTGCATCCCCTTTGCCGGGTTGCTGCGCTGTGGGAACCACCGCTTAAGGCTTCGTTTGGGTGCTGGCTGGGCTTTCTGCCTTTGGCTCGGAGGGGCTCAGAAGTTGAACATACCTGTGCTTGGAAAATCCCTTATTTTGGCTGCTGATCCCTTATTTTCAAGGCTGCTGGTCCCTTATTTTCAAATCTGTAAGTTGACAGCTATGGAATGGTCACAGAAATCGGGACAGAGAGAAATATAGTCATACCTCGGGTTACAGTACCGGAACGGGTTAATTCCGGGCTTCGGAGGTCGCGCATGCGCAGAAGCGCCAAATCGCAACCCGCACGTGTGCAGACACACTGCTGCAGGTTGCGAACATGCATCCCTCACGGATCACGTTGGCAACCCGAGCGTCCACTGTATTCGAACACACAATTGGCATCAGAAACCCACAAAATCCTCACAATTGTGTACAGAGATGAAGCTGTAACTCGAAAGACAGTGTGAGAGTGGCTAAAGTGGTTTTGTGAAGGGCGGCAAACCATCAAAAATTACCCTCAGTCTGGCAGACGGTCGGTGAGCAGAACGGCGGCAAATGTTGATACAAGATTATGAGTTATTGATGAGGGATCGGCGTTTGTGTGAATGATGGCGGAAGAATTGCATATTCCGTGTGAAATCGTTACTAAGGTTACTGAGTTGTCCCACCCTCCATATTCTCCCAATCTGGCCGATCCTGGATTTCTTTCTTTTTCCAAAACTGAAATCTGCACTGAAAGGGCACAGATTTCCCAACATTTCACATGTCCAAGCTGCTGTGACGAGGCAACTGAAAGCCGTACGAAAAGAGGACTTCTCCAGAAGTTTCCAACAGTTCTATGAACGTTGTCAACGGCGCGTTGTATCAGAGGGGGCCTACTTTGAAGGCCTGTAAGGTTGTCTGTTTGAATATTTCTCGCTGTCCAATTTCTGTGGCCGTTCACCGAACTTTCCGGTCACACCTTGTATGATTCCATGATTCTAGATCTCATGGTTAATTCTTAACACCTCTTACCTGGCAATTGCCATGCCTATGTAGTACGAGAGGGGCATGATGGAGAGCAGCGCCAAGGTGAACTTCACCACAGAGCTGGTGTAATGGTTGTGCTTATCCGCGTAGCCCAGAACTAGAGTCACAATAACCAAAGGGAGCAGATCTGACGAGAGGTATTGAAAGGAAAAACACACGTGCGTATTTTCTTTTGAGCGGCATCAACTGCGCAGGAGGTTTCGCTGAGAAACAGCCGCCCAGAGTGGCTGGGGAAACCCAGCCAGATGGCCGGGGTACAAAGAAATTATTATTATTATTATTATTATTATTATTATTATTATTATTATTATTCCTCCTGGGAAGATGTAGCCAAGGAGGTGCTAGGAATACAAGGACCGTCTGAGGCCGAGCTGCAAGTGCAAGCGTTGAATTAGACAGCAGAGCCAGAGTTTTGACACTCTCCCTATCAACGCTCCTGCTTTAACCAAAACAGGTTTCTAGTTCTTATGGAGGACATTAAAACTTCAAAACGTTGGGGCTGCACCTGGGGCCTGATCTGAGCCAAGGCTCCTCTGGAGGCCCGTGCAAAGTCAAGAGTTCTCTTAAGCACGTGCAGAGTGCACCATCTCTTCATTTAAAGATGGGCAAGGAGGTTTTTCAGAATGGTCAATACAATACGATAATCTTTATTGTCATTGTCCCATACAGAACAACGAAACTGAAAAAATCTACATCAGGCATTCAAAATCCCACAAGCCTGCTATCCCAGCTATCCCAACCTGGTTACCCCCTAAAAAGTCTGATACTGCATAATTAAATACAATATACTCCCATAGAGGCTACCTTAAAAAAGGTAAAGGTACAGACTCTAGGGTTGTGCGCTCATCTCACTCAAGAGGCCGGGAGCCAGCGCTGTCCGCAGACACTTCCGGTCACGTGGCCAGCGTGACAAGCTGCATCTGGCGAGCCAGCGCAGCACACACGGAACGCCGTTTACCTTCCCGCTGGTAAGTGGTCCCTATTTATCTACTTGCACCCGGGGGTGCTTTCGAACTGCTAGGTTGGCAGGCGCTGGGACCGAACAACGGGAGTGCACCCCGCCACGGGGATTCGAACCGCCGACCTTTCGATCGGCAAGCCCTAGGCACTGAGGCTTTTACCCACAGCGCCACCCGCGTCCCTAGAGACTACCTTACACTGCGTTTAAAACCAAAATCGCATTGGATAGAAACTGTTTCTTAGGTGGCTAGTCCTAGTCTTTATAACCCTGGACCTTCTTCCAGAAGGCAGAAGCTGAAAGAGATCATTTCCGGGGTGGGCTACGCTATGTCTGCAGCTTTCTTATGGCACCTGGAAGCATAGATTTGATCCAAGGTGGGAAGAGTGCGCCCAATTATTCTCTCTGCGGTCTTTACAACCTTGGACACGTAGCTGTGTTTAGCTCTGTCCAGGTTTTGCTCCTCTGCTCTTGCTACATCTTCAGACGCAACTCTGTGCAGAAAACCCATCTGTTTTGCTTAACCGATTCAGTCTGCTCAATTTTATTATTATTTTTTACATGCAACGCAATTGAGGTTTATAAGTCAAGGAGGGGCATCACTGCATTCAAGAGATCCTACTCTGCTAAGAGAGACCCCGATCCAAAGCTCTCGCAAAAACCCCGCTCCCAAGGAGGCAAAGCCCAAAGCAGCAACACCGAAAGGATACTGACAGCAAATACATTGATCCCGTCCACGGCGTATTTGTAGTAATAAGCGTTCACAGCCCGGTAGCAGCAAAGGAGCACTTCAGCATCGAGGGGAACTTCTGTCTGCAGACGGCAGAGCCAAGAGACCATTAGTAATAGTAATAATAATACTAATACTAATTTATTATTTGTACCCCGCCCATCTGGCTGGGTTTCCCCAGCCACTCTGGGCGGCTTCCACAGAGACCAAAAATACACTAAAATGTCACACATTAAAAACTTCCCTGAACAGGGCTGCCTTCAGATGTCTTCTGAATGTCAGGTAGTTGTTTATCTCTTTGACATCTGGTGGGAGGGCGTTCCACAGGGTGGGTGCCACTACCGAGAAGGCCCTCTGCCTGGTTCCCTGTAGCTTTGCTTCTCGCAATGAGGGAACCGCCAGAAGGCCCTCGGCGCTGGACCTCAGTGTCCGGGTAGAACGATGGGGGTGGAGACGCTCCTTCAGGTATACTGGACCGCGGCCATTTAGGGCGTTAAAGGTCAGCACCAACACTTTGAACTGAGCTCAGAAACATACTGGGGGCCAGTGTAGGTCTTTCAAGACCGGTGTTATGTGGTCTCGGCATTCGCTCCCAGTCACCAGTCCAGCTGCTGCATTCTGGGTTAGTTGTAGTTTCGGGTCGCCTTCAAAGGTAGCCCCACATAGAGCGCATTGCAGTAGTCCAAGCGAGAGATAACCAGAGCATGCACCACTCTGGCGAGACAGTCCATGGGCAGGGAGGGTCTCAGCCTGCGTACCAGATGGAGCTGGTAGACAGCTGCCCTGGATACAGAGTTAACGCCATTCAATGCACAATGCACAATCCTAAGGCCCATGGGCCACAGGTGGCCCATGGTGGTCGTTTAACCGGCGCATGGACCCCCACTGCCTGCTCAGTCAGCCCGTGCGCCGCACTAAACCAGGGCGGAGCAGAGCAGGGACTGCCTTCTGCGACGCTGGCCGGCTTCCCATGGGCTGTGGGAAGCTCCTGCAGCCCATAAGAAGCTGCGCATGCCTCCTCCGCGCCGGAAATAGCGTTTGCGCATGCGTGCGCACACACGCCGGTCCACAGCAGCGTCTGCAGGAACGTGAACCAGCCCAAGCCACAAAAACGTTGCCAACGCCTGTGCTAAAGCTTCAGTTCCGGGGTAGGGACTGTGTGAATTGCGTGTGTTTGCCCTGGGATGTTATAACATCAAAAGATAAAGGGTCCCCTGACCATTTGGTCCAGTCGTGGCCGACTCTGGGGTTGCGGCGCTCATCTCGCTTTATTGGCCGAGGGAGCCGGCGTACAGCTTCCAGGTCATGTGGCCAGCATGACTAAGCCGCTTCTGGCAAACCAGAGCAGCGCACGGAAACACTGTTTACCTTCCCACCAGAGTGGTACCTATTTATCGACTTGCACTTTGATGGGCTTTCGAACAGCTAGGTGGGCAGGAGCAGGGACCGAGCAACGGGAGCTCACCCCATCGCGTGGATTTGAACCGCCGACCTTCTGATCGGCAAGTCCTAGGCTCTGTGGTTTAACCCACAGCGACACCCACGTTACAACATAAGCCAGCGGGATCAGTGCAATAGCCCATACAGTCCAGCATCCTGTTCTCACAGGGGCCGATCCGAAGGGAAATATGCAACAGGATCCGAGCATGAGAGCAACTCTCTTCTTCTGGGGTTTCCTACAAGTGGGATCAAGAAGCATTGCCCTCTCCTCATCTGTGATCCTCTATTAAATCCATCCCAGCTGGTGGTCATCTCTGTCTCCTGTGGCAGGGAGTTCCACAGGTTAACCACGAACCGTGGGACGAAATATCTTTGTTTATCTGTTCGGATAATTCTCCGAAGTTCTACCTGTGCCGTCTCTTGCTTGCTTGGCTAAAAAGCCACAAGCCTTTCTCCAGGCGGGCCCTGCCCTCTGCTACATCCGCGGCCCCCGCCCCGCCAACACCTTTACCTTCCGCAGCCGCTGGACGTGGACCTGCTCCGGGGGCAGGAGGAGGACCTTGGTGACGGTGCGGCCGTTCATCTTGGCCACAGGGATGATGAAGACAAGGAGCCAGCAGACGAAGCAGATCAGGCCGTGGGCGAGAGAGAGGAGCGGGTAGCCCAAAAGGAGCCAGACGTAGGTGCTGGGACGCCGCTGGGGGAGAGATGGGGAATGGGAGGGATCAGTGAGGGGGGAGAACTTCCCCACGGCAGGTCAGAAACACACAGGGGCGGAACCACAGAACTGTAGAGGTGGAAGGGACGCCAAGTGCCGTCTAGTCCAGCCCTCACGCATGACAGGTATCACAGCTAAATACTCCTTGGCAGAGGGGCACCCAACCTCTGTTTTATTTTTTAAAATATAATTCTCTTAAATTTTCTGTTTTACAAATTTAGAATGCTCACCTAAACATCCTTAAAATATCAGTGACTTCCCGTCTTCTCTTTCCACAGTTCATTTTACATATCATAAATCCCTGCATATTTTAGGTAAATTAAACCATTCAGTACAGTGGTACCTCGGGTTACAGACGCTTCAGGTTACAGACTCTGCTAACCCAGAAGTAGTACCTCGGGTTAAGAACTTTGCTTCAGGATGAGAACAGAAATCGTGTGGCAGCAGCAGGAGGCCCCATTAGCTAAAGGGGTGCTTCAGGTTAAGAACAGTTTCAGGTTAAGAACGGACCTCCAGAATGAATTAAGTTCTTAACCCAAGGTACCACAGTATTCCATTACTACATCCATCCAAGCTTGTTTACACTGCTGAATTTATCTTAATGCTGCCAACGTTTTCAAATGTACAGTAGACCCTCGGGTTACGTTACTCTCGAGTCATGTAAACTTTGGGTTGCGAAAGCGGCAAACCCGGAAATATTTTTCTGGGTGTTGCCACTTGCGAAGAAACGCTCTATTGCGCCGCGCACATGCGCAAAAGCAGCGCCTCTGGATAAGGATTTTTCAGGGTGCGCACGGACCCCCGGAATGAATTAAATTCATATCCAGAAGCTCCACTTTAAACAATTCCCCCCCCCATATATTCAACAAACGTTTTCCAATCTTCTTTAAACATACGTTCTTCTTGTTCTCTTATTCTATACGTTAAGTCTGCAAGCTGCGAATATTCCGTCAGCTTCAGTTGCCATTCTTCTTTAATTGGGACCTCGCTCGTTTTCTCCAACCTCTGTTTTAAAACCTCCAGTGGGGGGGGCGGAGAGTCTGCCCCTTCTCCTTTAAGGATTCTTGAGCTGAGATTCCTGCATTCCAGGGGGCTGGAGTAGATGGCCTTTGGGGGTCCCTTCAAACTCTAAAATTCTAGGAAGGCAGCACCCCACCTTACCCAGTGCGCTGCACTGTCCTCACAAGCCGACTCCTGGCGGGAGATGAGGGGAGTGGTCTCCTTCACCTCGTTCACTTCTGCGATGGCGTCGTATTTGCTGAACTTCATGTTGCAGTTCCGGTGGTAAGTTTTCGTCTGCGAGATGCAGGGGTTGAGAAAGAAGTCAGGGGAGGGAAAGGGCGCTTCCCAAATCAAAGCCCAAGACATTATTTTTACTGCGGGAAACGGTTTGCAAAAAATGTGTGCATTAGGCAAAATATTATAATAATAAAATAACAACACTAGATTATGAATCACCTTTCACCTTACAGTCATACCTCAGGTTACAGACGCTTCAGGTTGTGTTTTTTCGGGTTACGGATGCGCTGAAACCCAGAAGTACCAGAATGGGTTGCTTCCGGGTTTCGGTGGTCACGCATGTGCAGAAGCACTAAATCACACTTTGCGCATGCGCAGAAGCTATTGGCAAAACCTATTGGTGTTTTGCAACTTTCTGACTAGTTGCGGGACCTTAGCCAGACCTAGCAGAGTAAACGCAGAATCCACGGAAGCAATTGGCAACTTGGCTGCAGACAGGATAGACCAGGGGTCTGCAACCCGCGGCTCCGGAGCCGCATGTGGCTCTTTTACACCTTTGCCGCGGCTCCGGGGCGGATACTAGCGAGGGGAGGAGGCACATTGTGCGCCCCGACACTCCCCACTGTGGCGGGTGCTGTACTTGCTGTGACGTCGCGTGGGGGCGGTGCGTGCGTTAGTCACGCACCGTCCCGACGTCACCTTCCCGCCCGCTGTCGGATCGCAGCTCTGGAGATATATTTGTTTTAAATGTCGCAATGGTTTTGCGGCTCCCAGTTTTTTTTTCCTTCGGAAACGGGTCCAAGTGGCTCTTTTTGTCTTAAAGGTTGCAGACCCCTGGGATGGACGAAGCAGGAACCAGGAACTTGTAGTTAGTTGTTTATTATATACAGTGGACTATTTACAGGAACAGAACACGGATCTTTTGCTAGCTCTCTCTGACACGACTCACAACTCCTACACTGACACACAGAACTCCGAACCTCTGAACTCCTGAACTAACACATTCCAGTTAGTGGGCCATTAATTATCACTCCCTTGAGAGAGCTTGACCAATCAGGGAGCTGTCTCCATGTCTCTGTTATCACCAGGCAGACTTACTCCTTCAGATTGCCTTCTGGCTGTCTGCCAAACCTTAATTGACTCTGTGTGAGTAGCTGCATGTACCGTTTCCCAACAGAAGCGCCGAATCGCAAGCTGAGTGTGCGCAGATGCGCCGCTGCGGGTTGTGAACGCTGCTGGTTGCGAATGTGCATCCTGCATGGATCACGTTCGCAACCCGAGCGTCCACTGTAGACTTAAGGGGATTTGCCTTCCAGTGAGCACTCAGGGCTCACGCACAACAAAACTAAACACAGCCGTATCTTTGTTTTCCAACAGTTTAGTTCTCGAACGTTTTGGCTCCCAAACGCCGCAAACCCAGAAGTGAGTGTTCCGGTTTCCGAACGTTCTTTTGGAAGCCGAACGTCCGACGGGGCTTCCGATTGGCTGCAGGAGCTTCCTGCGGCCAATCGGAAGCCACGCTTTGGTTTCTGAACTCTTTGGAAGTCGGACGGACTTCCGGGACGGATTCCGTTCGACTCCCAAGGTACGGCTGTATAGGTTTTAAAACCGCATCCGAGGTGGTCTGCGCTGGAGGTGGTAGAGTCCTCACAAAGATGTGTTATCATTGCGCGTTTCTTCTAATAAACATACCGTAGATTCTGGCGTATTAGGTGACTGGGCGTATAAGATGACCCCCCCCCAACTTTTGCTGTTCAATTTTAGAGTTTTAGAGTTTGAGCGCTGCCAGGGGCAGATTGCGCACCCCATCGCTGCCTCTGCCCTAACGCAGCAGCAGCCCGAGGCGAGGCGTTTGGCGGGCGGGCGGGCGAGCGCCACGCTCGGAAGGATTTTCTGCGTCCCCTTCTGTGGGGAGGGAGGAGAAGCGAAGGCAGAAGGGGCGCCTCTGCTCACCGGCTCCCTCTCTTCCTTACCAACGCGTATACCTGGCGTATAAGACGACCCCCGACTTTTGGGGTGATTTTCCAGGGACAAAAAGTCGTCTTGTACGCCAGAACATACGGTATTTTTGCAAGCAATTCTCTCTCCCCCCCCCCACTCTCATGTATTTTTGTACTGCTATTTTCACATGGCTAAGCAATTTTTAAACAACGGTACAGAATTCGGAGAAGTGAACATTTCAAATGGCCTCGGTCCAGTATCCCTGAAGGAGCGTCTCCAATCCCATCGTTCAGCCCGGACACTGAGGTCCAGCACCGAGGACCTTCTGGCGGTTACCTCATTGCGAAGTGAGGTTACAGGGAACCAGACAGAGGGCCTTCTCAGTGGTGGCACCTGCCCTGTGGAACGCCCCCCCTTCAGATTTGAAGGAAATAAGCAGCTATCTTCTCTTTAAAAGACATCTGAAGGCAGCCCTGTTTAGGGAAGTTTTTAATATTTAATGCTGTATTAACACTTGATTGGAAGCTGCCCAGAGGGGCTGGGGAAACTCAGCCAGATGGGCGGGCTATAAATTATTATTATTATTATATTATTATTATTATTCAAAGGCCAGCTGTGCTTCGGCCTGCATATTATTAACAGAAGTGACCGTAAGGGGAGGACCGAAACCACCTCCCACCCCAGAGGAGCAGGCAGGTTTCACCTCGCAAGCCACGGACCCCCTTCTTCCCTCCTTCTGCCCTAAAGACACACAGCTTCCTCAGCTGCCATTATTGACAGGCATCTCTCAAAAACGCCCGAAGTCGCAGGTCTGCAAAAATCAACGGATGCAGGCTGTGTCCTGAATAGATGGCTGCCAGCTTCCGTTCGGGTCTCCTACCTTTTGAATGACTTTCCCAAACGGCCAGAGGAAATATCCCGCAAGTTTCCAACACAGCTTACCTGCGGAGGGGAGAAAGACAGGTGAGGTCCTGGAACAAAGAAGGTAGGTGGGATAGGGCAAAGCGTTGAGCTGCCCCTTTCCGTTGTCTAGGGCACGATCCATTAGGCAAATGGGGCACTGCCCCACCAAGCTTGGTCCTCTGCCTTCGGCCAGCCCCCCCAAGCCCCTCCCCACTTTCCTTCTTAATTTAAACCAGCTCAGGGGGTGGTTCTTGTTGCCATCTTCCTCTTCTCCTTAAATCTCAGGGCTGCCCCTTGCAGAATGCATCAAGGAAGAGGACAGGGACAAAAATCAGAATTTGCTGGGGGCCCCTGGAGCTCCAACTGTCATGACCCGCCCCCCTTCTCAACCAGCAATGTGGTCTGGGTAACCCTTTGACGTTCTTCGCTGCAGTTGCCCCACAAGAGATCAGCACGTTTATTTTTCAAACAATTAACAACTACATCTCAGGTTTTGATTAAAATGGCTGTACAGTCATACCTTGGGTTACAAACGCTTTGGGTTGCGCGATTTCGGGTTGTGCAAGGCACTAAACCCGGAAGTACCGGAATGGGCTACTTACAGGTTTCGGCGCTTGCGCATGAGCGCTAAATCACACTTTGCGCATGCACAGAAGTGCCAAATTGCGACCCGCACGTGCGCAGACACGTGGGTCGTATGTTGCGAATGTTGCGGGTTGTGAACGTGCCTCCTGCATGGATCACGTTCACAACCCAAGCGTCCACTGTACTGGATTATCTCACGTGACAAAGTCACTGGGTTGAATAAAAACGTCCTGTGATTTATAGTTTTTGAGTTATGGGGTGGGATGAAAATGTGGGGAATGTTCTAGACATGCAGGATGCATCCTAGAAAGATAAAATAAACCGAGAAAAAACCACAGTCGATAGAATCTTTCAGCTGAAACACCTACTACGCAAAGCACATTTTACAAAATATTCCGACAATCTCAAACTCTGGATTGTCAGAATTTATACCACCAAAAATTAATCCGTTTGAGTCATGCAATTCAAATTGGGTTGACCAGACAGTTCAGCTTGATTTGTTTCACAGTAGATCTGTCCCTGACCGGGCGCTCTGCCTTCCATACTACGACTGCCAACAGCCACTAGCCGCCACTGGCAAGATCCCATCTGGGATAATGGGCGTGGTGCATGTGAGCCTCAGGCTTCTCCTCGCAGCAAGAAAATCAGCTACATCGCATTAGGTTAGCCTGACTATTCCCAGCCACTAAGGCGAAAATTAGGCTGTTGGTCACATTACTTCTGGCTTTCTGGGGCAGATTTCCTTTTTTTAAAAAATTACCTATTTCATAAAATGTATGTACTTCTTGATAGATATTTTTTAAAATAAAAAACCCTCAAAGTAGTTTAGAAAGAGAATAAAAGAATACAGTTATCCCTCGGTGTTGTGTTAGGTTCATGTTGTGTCTTTTCGGCTTGCGAACACGGCAAACCCAGAAGTATATAATTCCGGATTTCGCCTTGCGCGCACACACAGAAGCGTTCTGTGCGCTTTGCACATGCGCAGAACTGCTCAATCGTGCTCCGCGCTTGTGCAGAAGCGCCACTCTAGTCGCGGACTTTCTGGGGTGCGAACGGCACCCCGGAACAGATCGTGTCCGCAACGAGAGGTACCACTGTACAATTATTGGCCAAAATGTTAAAATATTCAAACCGGTTAAAACAGACATCAACATCCAACATATGTGCCTGCTTTGTATCAATAGGCAGGGAGTTCCAAAGTCTAAACGCTGCCAAACTAGACGACCAAGTTCTTACAAACATACCTGTCCTGAATTTTCCACTCATCCATTGCTTTTGCCTCTTAGTCCCTCCCTCCTCCCCGAAACTGGATCTTGAACATGAGCGCAGCCGCAACTGCTTTTTGTATGCTCTGAGATTCCTGGGGTTGGACTAGATGACCCTGAGGTCCCAATTCTACAATTTTATGCTACGGCCCCTGAACTCACCGTAGGGCACCCCCAGAATGGTGAGGAACATCAGGACGGAGACCAGGACGTAGAGCAAGGACAGCCACCATCCGAAACAGAGGAGGTAGAAAAGGTTTCCACATGTCAGCATAGAGCCTAGGTAGAAGATTCACTTTTTTAAAACACACAAAGTCTATCTCAGACTGACATTTCCCACATCCCCTTCCTTCAGACTTTGGAGGGTAAGGCCTCAAGGATGCACAGGAGAGAGGAGGGGACCTTAACCAAAAAGTCTTTTTATCCAACTTAAATCTCTCTCGCTAGTCGTAAATGAGAAAACCGCTGGAAACGATAAACTTCCCCTGTTAACTTTCCCCTTGTTTTAATTTTACGACCTTCTTGACTCCACTCTAATAACTCTTGATAAGTTAGCGGTTTCTCTTTGGCAACCTCCTCTTTTCTGCGAAAAGCTTCTTGTGGCGAAATCCATTCAGGTGTCTTTGGACATAATCGAGGTTCATCTCTATTCCAAATTCTTAATCAGATGGTTTTTGAAATCCACATCAGCTTTGACTTTACTGCCCCACAAATATCCACGCCATTCAAACCTTAAATAAGGTGCTTCTAAGTTCTGGAGTCTCTTATTTCTCAGTGTCACCCCCTCCTTCATCCACACCAAACAAGAAGCCACAAAATACAATTTCAGGTCAGGTAAACCCAACCCCTTTTCTTTGAATCCTACAATGCTTTAATTTTGACTCTTGGTCATCCCCCCCCCATAGAATTTTAGATAAATCTTTTTGCCATTGTTGAAACGGTGAATCATTAGCCGAAATAGGTATTGTTGGAAATAAAAACGTCATTCTAGGCAGAACATTCATCTTTATCACTGAGATTCTACCCAACAACGATAATTTTAGCATCTCCCATCTTGACGTATCTCTTTTTGATTTCGGCCCATGTCTTAACATAGCTATTTTGAAACAACACACAATTCGTACTTGTCATAGTAGTACCCAAGTATTTTAATTCTTTTTGATTTGGAAACCCTGTTTTCTCCATCAAAACGTTCTGATCTTCTGTTGTCATATTCTTTGTTAATATTTTTGTTTTCTGGTCATTAACCTTTAAGCCTGCTAACATACCAAAATCATTTACTTCATAAGAATCTCCATTCCCTGCAGCAAATTTCCCAGAACTAATATCAGGTCATCAGCAAAGGCCCATAACTTTCTTTTTCAATCTTTATTCCCATAATTCTCGCATCTTCCAAGACTTCCAAGACCAGAATGAAAGTTAATGGGGTCAATGGACACTTTTGCTTTGTCCCCTTCTGTTATCTCACAGGGTTTTGTCAATTTCCCATTAACAATTATCTGGGCTGTCTGTGATTTGTAAATCATTTTTACCCATTTAATAAAGTTATCACCAAAGTTCATTTCCTGCAGTGCTTTAAACAAAAATACCCAATTCACCTTGTCAAACGCTTTTTCTGCATCCAAAAAAATCAAAGCAGCTCGTTTCTTGTGGCAATTCAGATATTCCAAAGCATCCAATATATTTCTGACATTATCTTACATGTTACATATATTTTACGTGTTCAAATATATAAAAGGATGTCATATAGAGGAGGGAGAAAGGTTGTTTTCTGCTGCTCCAGAGAAGCGGACACGGAGCAATGGATCCAAACTACAAGAAAGAAGATTCCACCTAAACATTAGGAAGAACTTCCTGACAGTAAGAGCTGTTTGACAGTGGAATTTGCTGCCAAGGAGTGGAGTCTCCTTCTTTGGAGGTCTTTAAGCAGAGGCTTGACAACCATATGTCAGGAGTGCTCTGATGGTGTTTCCTGCTTGGCAGGGGGTTGGACTCGATGGGCCTTGTGGTCTATTCCAACTCTATGATTCTATGATTCTATTCTATGAAACTCACAAGAGAAAGGACTCTCTTTTTTAACCTTTCTGACAAAATTGATGTAAGTAACTTATAATCATTGTTCAGTAAGGAAATCGGTCGGTGGTTTTTCACCAAAGTCAAGTCCTGAGACTCTATAGGTATAAGTGTAATAATTATAATAATATAATAATAATTTATTATTTATATCCTGCCCATCTGGCTGGGCTTCCCCAGCCACTCTGGGCGGCTTCCAAAAAAATATTAAAATACTGTAATACATCAAACATTAAAAGCTTCCCTAAACAGGGCTGCCTTCAGATGTCTGCTAAAACTCTGGTAGTTGTTGTTCTCTTTGACATCTGGTGGGAGGGAGTTCCAGAGGACGGGCGCTGCTACCGAGAAGGTAGCCCCACGTAGAACGCATTGCAGTAGTCCATGCGGGAGATAACCAGAGCATACATCACTCCGGCAAGACAGTCCGCGGGCAGAGAGGGTCTCATCCTGCGTACCAGGTGGAGGTGGGAGACAGCTGTCCTGGACACAAAGTTGACCTGCGCCTCTATGGACAGCTCTCAGTCCAAAATGACTCCCAGGCTGCGTACCTGGTCCTTCAGGGGCACAGTTAACCCATTCAGGACCAGGGAGTCCCCCACACCTGCCCGCCCCCTGTTCCCCAAGAACAGTACTTCTGTCTTGTCAGGATTCAACCTCAATCTGTTAGCCGCCATCCATCCTCCAACCGCCTCCAGACACTCACACAGGACCTTCACCGCCTTCACTGGGTCTGATTTAAAGGAGAGGTAGAGCTGGGTATCATCTGCATACTGATGAACACCCAGCCCAAACCCCCTGATGATCTCCCTCAGCGGCTGCATGTTGGCCTCTCTCTGACCATCTGGAATCTTACCGCTCTGTAAAATATTGTTCATTGTCCATTGAAAGGGTTGTAAAAGTATATCTTCAAAAGACTTATGGTAAGAAGCCAAGAGTCCTTCTGGTCCAGTACCTTTCCTTTCTGAACTTTTTTGATGGCATCACATAATTACTGAACAGTTACAGGGTCATTCATTATTTGTCTTTGAGAGTCTTAATCTTTGGTAAACGCTATCTCTGTAAGTATTCACCTGTGTGTGTGCTTTGTTTTGTTTTTTTGAAAAAAGAGATTACTTGACCTTTAATCAACTTAGAATAATACAGTGGTGCCTCAGGTTAAGTACTTAATTCGTTCCGGAGGTCCGTACTTAACCTGAAACTGTTCTTAACCTGAAGCACCACTTTAGCTAATGGGGCCTCCTGCTGCGCCGCTGCTGCACGATTTCTGTTCTCATCCTGAAGCAAAGTTCTTAACCTGAAGCACTATTTCTGGGTCAGCGGAGTCTGTAACCTGAAGCGTATGTAACCTGAAGCGTATGTAACCCGAGGTACCACTGTACTGGTGAAATACGTCTTTCATATTTGGCTTATTACAGCAATTGTAATTCTGTGGGCAGAATAGGGTCTTCAAGGAAAGCATGAACAGTTCCCAGGGTTCTTTGCAGGAAACCATGACTTTTTATAGTTGTGAGATACTACTTTTAACTATATGATGCAGGTAGAGACCTTTTCGGGTTGCTACAGGACAGTGGAATGTTCCAGTGCTGGCCCTCAAATAATTAAAACTCTCCAGATATCATTTGCCCAGTGCCTAACTCATGTTTGAGGATTTCAGCTAAGCACTAGGAAGAGCTTCCTAGCAGTTTGGCGGAAGAGGTTGCCTTGGGACGAGGTGGACTCTTCATCAGTCAAGGATTTGAAGAAGGCTGGACGGCCAACCTATGAGGGAAGCTGTAGCTGTGGATTCTCTGCATTGGCAGAGGGATGATATTTGGACTCACAGCTGTCCACGGAGGAGCAGGTCAATTCTGTGTCCAGGACAGCTGTCTGCCAGCTCCATCTGGTACACAGGATGAGACCCTCCCTGCCCGCAGGCTGTCTCGCCAGAGTGGTGCATGCTCTGGTTATCTCCCGCTTGGACTACTGCAATGCGCTCTACATGGGGTTACCTTTGAAGGTGACCCGGAAACTACAACTAATCCAGAACGCGGCAGCTAGACTGGTGACTGGGAGCGGCCGCCGAGACCATATAACACCATTCCTGAAAGACCTGCACTAGCTCCCAGTACGTTTCCGAGCACAATTCAAAGTGTTGGTGCTGACCTTGAAAGCCCTAAATGGCCTCGGCTAAGTATCCCTGAAGGAGCGTCTCCACCCCCATCGTTCTGGCTGGACACTGAGGTCCAGTGCAAGGGCCTTCTGGCGGTTCACTCACTGCGAGAAGCGAGGTTGCAGGCAATCAGGCAGAGGGCCTTCTCAGTGGTGGCGCCTGCCCTGTGGAACACCCTCCCATTAGATGTCAAGATCTTTCAATAAAGTTTTATATGCACTTTTTCCCACTTATTTTTAAATGGGGGCGTTTAATGGATAAAGTGGGGTAAAAGTTTTCATCAAACAAGTCTGTCCTTCAGCAAGATACGGGAGGTTTGGCCTCTTAAAAAATACAAGCCTGTCCTGATGTTTACGTCCAGGTGATTGTTAGGCAAGAACAGCAGTAGGAAACTAACCAGGTATTTATTTCTATTTTTTACCTGCAGGGCTTTTAATTATGTTCAGGTCAGAGTACAGCTCCTTGACGATTTCTGAGCGGTCTTCCCAGGGCCTGGCTGTCACGTGGCTCTTCCATTTCTTAAAGCCAAACTGCAGGAGAGAGAAAGAGGTCGTCTGTTACAGGGGCATCTATTAAAGCTACTTAAATCTCCGTTAGGGATGCGGGTGGCGCTGTGGGTTAAACCACAGAGCCTAGGACTTGCTGATCAGAAGGTCGGCGGTTCGAATCCCCGCAACGGGGTGAGCTCCCGTTGCTCGGTCCCTGCTCCTGCCAACCTAGCAGTTCGAGAGCACGTCAAAGTGCAAGTAGATAAATAGGTACCACTCCAGCGGAAAGGTAAACAGCGTTTCCGTGCGCTGCTCTGGTTCGCCAGAAGTGGCTTAGTCATGCTAGCCACATGACCCGGAAGCTGTACGCCGGCTCCTTCAGCCAGTAAAGCGAGATGAGCGCCGCAACCCCAGAGTCGGCCACGACTGGACCTAATGGTCAGGGGTCCCTTTACCTTTACCTTTTAAAGTTATGTTGCATCACCAAGCACTTTCTGGGAACTATAGTTCTAGGAGAGAGGTTCTAGGTTCTCAAACTACAATTTCTGGGACTCTTGAGCGGGGAAGCCATGGCTGTTTGAAAGTGATGTTCCCATGAATGTTTGCAGGAAGCCAAAGGGAGATACTGCCCTGCCCCCCGCCCCCCCGGTTGATGAATCGTGATCTCGAGAACCCCGGCTTAATTTTTTTCAAATAAAGAGTTAAGTTTCTAGCATTTGTAGAACCCAAGATATGAGGCAAGCGAGGGAAACTAACCTGCTCCCCCCAAAAAAACCTCATTTATTTATTTATAAAAAATATTTATGTACCACCGTATCAAAGAAATATATCAACATTGTTTACAACAGAGTAAAAGCTTAAAAACAAGTTAAAAGCAAACAGCAGTAAGACCACTGTGGGGTGAGCACTCTTAATTGCCTACGTAGGCCTTGAGAAACAGAAAAGGTTTCAGCGGGCGTTTAAAAGTTGGTACAGACGGCATCTGCTGAATCTCCAGTGGCAGAGAGTTCCACAGGACCGGGCCAGCGACGCTAAAGGCTCGGTTTCTTGTCGTTGTTGTTATCAAATGATCCACACCAATGTAGGGGAATAACCTGAGACGCTCCTGCAGATAATCAGGCTAGGATATAAGGGTTCTGGCAGTCCCTGGATTAATACATGAACCTTGAATCCAGCTGGGTAGCAGATGGCCGGTCAATGCAGCTGTTTTAACAATCGTGTCAGCTGTTCTCAACAAGAAGCTCCCGTCAGCAATTTGGGCGCAGCATTCTGCACCAGCTGGAGTGTCTGAATCAGACCCAAGGGCAGCATTGCAGTAATCCAGCCTCAAAGTTACCAGGTGCATGAACTGAGCGTTCCCCACTGCTAACCTACAGAATCCAAAAACTCAATTATCTGGGTCTCTGGTCCCCCTCCGTTTTCGCCTTACTTAAACTGCACCCCCCATCGTTCTCAATGTACTCAAACTGGATCCTGGAGCACTGAGCAGACATGGTGGGGCCTCCAGGAAAGAGCAGAAAACCAAAAACCTACCCCGCTGCGCAGAAATGTTGAGGTCATTTTAGTCCATGTTTGTCTAGCAGCTCCATGTGGTAAGCAGGCTGAGACCCCACCTGTCTCGCCAGAGTGGTGCATGCTCTGGTTATCTCCCGCTTGGACCACTGCAATGCGCTCTTTGTGAGGCTACCTTTGAAGGTGACCCAGAAACTACAACTAATCCAGAATGCGGCAGCTAGACTGGTAACTGGGAGTGGCAGCCAAGACCATATAACACCAGTCTTGAAAGACCTGCATTGGCTCCCAGTATGTTTCCAAGCACAATTCAAAGTGTTGGTGCTGACCTTGAAAGCCCTAAACGGCCTCGGTCCAGTATACCTGAAGGAGTGTCTCCACCCCCATCGTCCAGCTGGACACTGAGGTCCAGCACTGAGGGCCTTCTGGTGGTTCCCTCCTTGGGAGAAGTGAGGCTGCAGGGAACCAGGAAGAGGGCCTTCTCGGTAGTGGCGCCTGCCCTGTGGAACGCCCTCCCATCAGATGTCAAGGAAATAAACAACTATCTGACGTTTAGAAGACACCTGAAGGCAGCCCTATATCGGGAAGTTTTTAATGTCTGATGTTTTACCATTTTTTATATGTGCTGTAAACTGCCCAGGGGACGCAGGTGGTGCTGTGGGTTAAACCACAGATCCTAGGACTTGCCGATCAGAAGGTCGGCAGTTAGAATCCCCACGACGGGGTGAGCTCCCATTGCTCGGTCCCAGCTCCTGCCAGCCTAGCAGTTCGAAAGCACGCCAGTGCAAGTAGATAAATAGGTACCGCTCCGGCAGGAAGGTAAACGGCATTTTCGTGCGCTGCTGTGGTTCTCCAGAAGCGGCTTAGTCATGCTGGCCACATGACCCGGAAGCTGTACGCCGGCTCCCTCGGCCAATAAAGCGAGATGAGCGCCGCAACCCCAGAGTCGGCTCTAATGGTCAGGGTTCCTTTACCTTTTAAGCTGCCCAGAGTGGCTGGGGAAACCCAGCCCGATGTGCGGGGGTATAAATAATAAAATTATTATTATTATTATTATTATTATTATTATTATTATTATTATTATTAAAGTGATTTGCCATTTTCCCTCAACCTTCCTGCTTGATCTTTTTGCAAACCACTTTGAGGATTGCTGCTGCTGTTGGCAACCAAGCAGTGTGTATATTTTGAGAAATAAATGAATAAGAAGAGCTTGTGGGATCCGACAGCAACGCTGGCAGGAAGGATGTTTTGCCGCTGGAGGTGAAACAAAAAATGCCACCCCCCTCAACGTCTCCTCTTTTTCTGCACCTCCGCATGCAAGCTGAAGGCGATGGAGGGAGAAAAAGGAGGCTAGCGAGAAGGGGGACAGCAGCAGTGTGGATCTGCCGCCTGAGGCAACTGCCACACCTCACATCGCGGTTGTGCCGGCTCTATGATACGATCATCTTTATTGTCATTGTCCCATACAGAACAACGAAATTGAAAAATCTACATCAGACATTCAAAAACCCACAAGCCTGCTATCCCAGCCTGGTTAGCCCCCTAAAATCTCTGATACCCCATTTTTAAATACAATATACTCCCACAGAGAGTACCTTACACTGCGTTTAAAACCAAAATCGCATTTGGATAGAAACTGTTTCTCAGGCGGCTAGTCCTGGTCTTTATAACCCTGGACCTTCTTCCAGAAGGCAGAAGCTGAAAGAGATCATTTCCGGGGTGTGCACTATCCTGCGCTATCTCTGCCGCTTTCTTATGGCACCTGGAAGCATAGATTTGATCCAAGGTGGGAAGAGTGCACCCAATTATTCTCTCCGCAGTCTTCACAACCCTGGACAGCATTGTTTTTTCCCTGACCGTGCAGCTCCCAAACCACACACACTGACCATAAGTTAATACACTCTCCACAGTACAATGGTAAAATGCCATCAACAGGTCCTCTGAGAGATTGTTTTCCCGGAGGATTCTCAGAAAATATAACCTCTGCTGTGCTCTCTTCATCGGGTCTTTGCTGTTTTCTCCCCAAGTTAGGTCATCTCTCAACTCCATTCCCAGAATGAGCTTCCTGCTCATCTTGGCCCCGTGATCATCAGATTCCCTGACCTCTGAACTTCTGACCCACATGGATTGCTGTTTGCCCAACCCTAGGACTGGACCTGACTTCGGATGCTGCGTTTAGAACCAGAATTGCATTTGGGTAGAAACTGTTTCTCAGGCGGCTAGTCCTGGCCTTTATAACCCTGGACCTTCTTCCAGAAGGCAGAAGCTGAAAGAGATCATTTCTGGGGTGCGCACTATCCTGCGCTATCTCTGCAGCTTTCTTATGGCACTGCCTGGAAGCATAGATTTGATCCAAGGTGGGAAGAGGGCACCCAATTATTCTCTCCCCAGTCTTCACAACCCTGGACAGCGTTGTTTTTCCCATGACTGTGCAGCTCCCAAACCACACACAGAGACCATAAGTTAATACACTCTCCACAGTGCAATGGTAAAATGCAACAGGTCCTTTGAGAGATTGTTTTTCCGGAGGATTCTCAGGAAATATAACCTCTGCTCTGCTCTCTTCATCAGGTCTTTGCTGCTTTCTCCCCAGGTTAGAGCATCTCTCAGCTCCATTGCCAGGAATCGGAATGGGCGCACCGGGCTACGTTCCTCTCCGCCCCCCCTTGCCATCGCCCGCCCTCCTCTCCCTGCCAGGAACGCACCTTGTAATTGTTGGAGAGCTTGTGAGCCTCGACCTCGTTCTCTGCGGTGAGGGTGGTCTTGACCAGGCAGCCATCGCATGTCGGCACTTCCTCAGAGTGGTGGGGGCAGCAGGAAGGGTTCGAAAACACTAGGGAAGAAGGTAGAGGCATCAGGACACGTCAGGGGTATTCTTATGTACTGAGTTGAATAGGATCCAGAATGCAGCAGCCTGATTGGTCCTAAAACAATAGGATCCAGAATGCAGCAGTCTGATTGGTCCTAGAACAATAGGATCCAGAATGCAGCAGTCTGATTGGTCCTAGAACGATAGGATCCAGAATGCAGCAGTCTGGTTGGTCCCAGAACAATAGGATCCAGAATGCAGCAGTCTGATTGGTCCTAGAACAATAGGATCCAGAATGAAGCAGTCTGATTGGTCCTAGAACAATAGGATCCAGAATGAAGCAGTTTGGTTGGTCCTAGAACAATAGGATCCAGAATGCAGCAGTCTGATTCGTCCTAGAATGAAAGGATCCAGAATGCAGCAGTCTGATTGGTCCTAGAACGATAGGATCCAGAATGCAACAGTCTGATTGGTCCTGGAATGATAGGATCCAGAATGCAGCAGTCTGGTTGGTCCTAGAACGATAGGATCCAGAATGCAGCAGTCTGATTGGTCCTAGAACGATAGGATCCAGAATGCAGCAGTCTGGTTGGTCCTAGAACAATAGGACCCATAATTCGATAGTCCGATTGGTCCTAGAACAATAGGATCCAGAATGCAGCAGTCCGATTGGTCCTAGAACAATAGGATCCAGAATGCAGCAGTCTGATTCGTCCTAGAACAATAGGATTCACAATGCAGCAGTCTGGTTGGTCCTAGAACAATCAGATCCAGAATGCAGCAGTCTGGTTGGTCCCAGAACAATAGGATCCAGAATGCAGCAGTCTGGTTGGTCCTAGAACAATGGGATCCAGAATGCAGCAGTCTGGTTGGTCCCAGAACAATAGGATCCAGAATGCAGCAGTCTGGTTGGTCCTAGAACAATAGGATCCAGAATGCAGCAGTCTGGTTGGTCCTAGAACAATAGGATCCAGAATGCAGCAGTTCGATTGGTCCTAGAACGATAGGATCCAGAATGCAGCAGTCTGGTTGGTCCTAGAACAATAGGATCCAGAATGCAGCAGTCTGGTTGGTCCTAGAACAATAGGATCCAGAATGCAGCAGTCTGATTGGTCCGCAGGAGCCACCCAATCCAACTCCAGGTGGAAGTGAATCCGCAACCTGATTGGCCTATGAGAGAATCCGTAATTAGCCAATCACGTGGGGCCCATTTTGTAAATAATGTATATAGACATTTCGGGGAAACTTCCATTCCTCACTACTATGAGCTGAATAAAGAGCATGAAATCCACAACAGAGCCGAGGACTTGCCGATCAGAAGGTCGGCGGTTCGAATCCCCGCGACGGGGTGAGCTCCCGTTGCTCGGTCCCTGCTCCTGCCAACCTAGCAATTCGAAAGCACCTCAAAGTGCAAGTAGATAAATAGGTACCACTCCGGCGGGAAGGTAAACTGTGTTTCCGTGAGCTGCTCTGGTTTGCCAGAAGCGGCTTAGTCATGCTGGCCACATGACCCAGAAGCTGTACACTGGGTCCCTCGGCCAATAAAGCGAGATGAGCGCCGCAATCCCAGAGTCGTCCGCAACTGGACCTAATGGTCAGGGGTCCCTTTACCTTTTACAATGGAAACTCCCCTTTTTTCCCCACACCTTACCTGGCAGTATCCTGGGGGTGAGGATGCCATGCATGAGCTGGTGGGACCCCGAATGGAGGTCCCCCACGTCCCCATGGGTGTTGTTGACAGCAGCACAGTGCCGGTCGCAGAGAGACCCCCTCCGATGTGGGTCAGCCTTGGGCTCTAGTTCTTTGGGGAAGTCTGGAAGGGGAAACAGAACGGGTGTCAGATAAACACTGGAAGTTACCGCATTTTCCCATCTATAAGACACCCCCATGTATAAGACACCCCTATTTGGGGGGGGGATTCCGGTTTAAGAAAATGGGGGGAAGATGGCCACCGTGTATAAGATGCCCCCCATATTTTTGACATTATTTTTAAGGGGGAAAACCTAGTCTCATACACGGAAAAATACGATACGATTCGATAATCTTTATTGTTACTGAGACTATGATGAAAAGAAAGGAAGTTAGTCATTTGAACTAGTTAATTATATTAGAAAACAAATATTGGAAAATTGCTAAAATGAGATTTAATGAAAATCAGTTAGGAAAGGATTTCAGGAAGTCACTTAACAATGGAAATCAGCTTGGATTTTGATTGGAAGAAATTTTCTATATTTGTTTGTTTTTTCTATGTTTTGTTTTTTGTGTTATGTTGTATTTGTTAAACATTTGAAAATTAAGAAAAAAATTTGGGGGGAAAATATAATCTTTATTGTCATTGTCCCATACAGAACAATGAAATTGAAAAAAAAATCTACATAAGACATTCAAAACCAACAAAGCCTGCTATCCCAGCTATCCCAACCTGGTTAGCCCCCTAAAAACTCTGATATTTTAAAAATACAATATACTCCCATAGAGACTCCTTATATTGCGTTTAAAACCAAATTGCATTTGGATAGAAACTGTTTCTCAGGTGGCTAGTCGTAGTCTTTATAACCCTGTACCAGTAACTCAGCCAGCCTTGAAATTGACCCACAACTCTTGGGGGGGAAATTAAAAATCTGCTAATATGGTGAGCCCCTAGGAATTTGACACCACTCTGCTATGTACAGAACATTCCTCAGGCTGTTTCCAAAGGGATCAGAATAGCTCCACAGATGTTTCTCTGCACTGCTGTGTGTACACAAGAACAGAGAGCTTTGGGAAATTGCAGTTTCCCAGGTTGCAACGAAGGACTGGCCCTGTCCTTAAAAGAGATACCTTTTGGATGTTAGATATACAGTGGTACCTTGGTTCTCAAACTTAATCCGTTCCGGAAGTCCGTTCCGTAACCAAAGCATTCCAAAACCAAGGCGCACTTTCCCATAGAAAGCAATGCAAAACAGATAAATCCATTCCAGACTTTTAAAAACAACCCCTAAAACAGCAATTTAACATGAATTTTGCTATCTAACGAGACCACTGATCCATAAAATGAAAGCAATAAGCAATGTACTGCAGTCACACAATCAATCAGTAGCTGAAAAGGGTTCCACAGTCACAAAAACAAATTAACCGAAAAAGCCTCGAAAACAAAAACACCTTTTAGAGCTTTCAAGGACAGCATCAACACTTTGAATTGTGCTCGGAAATGTACTGGGAGCCAATGTAGGTCTTTCAAGACGGGTGTTATGTGGTCTCGGCTCCCAGTCACCAGTCTAGCTGCCGCGTTCTGGATTAGTTGTAGTTTCCGGGTCACCTTCAAAGGTAGCCCCACGTAGAGTGCATTGCAGTAGTCCAAGCGGGAGATAACCAGAGCATGCACCACTCTGGCGAGACAGTCTGCGGGCAGGGAGGGTCTCAGCCTACGTACCAGATGGAGCTGGTAAACAGCTGCCCTGGACACAGAATTATCCTGCACCTCCATGGACAGCTGTAAGTCCAAAATGACTCCCAGGCTGCGCACCTGGTCCTTCAGGGGCACAGTTACCCCATTCAGGACCAGGGAGTTGTAAGGCTTATAGCAAGGAAAATGCTTGCGGTGCCGTGAAATCACAGCCCCACAGAAAGCCGACACACTTGCCACCTGACACCAAGGGACCGGCGCAAGCATCAGATGATGGCGAGGAGAACTATGCGCAACCCGTGGGGTGTGGGGCTCACATGATGCGCACCAAGGCAATCAATTAGACACCACTGAGAGATTAAGGGCAGCTTAACCGTCTCGGAGCCTTAAGACGTCTTGGGTTGCACATCAACAAAGGAAGGAGGGAGGAGAGAGGGAATCATCATCCCCCCCCCCCCCGGGAAATCAAGGGACACAACGCGTTAGCTCAGGGGTCAGCAAACTTTTTCAGCAGGGGGCCAGTCCACTGTCCCTCAGACCTTGTGGGGGGCCGGACTCTAATTCTGGGGTGGAAATGAACCAATTCCTATGCCCCACAAATAACCCAGAGATGCATTTGAAATAAAAGGACACATTCTACTCATGTAAAAACACACTGATTCCCGGACTGTCCACAGGCCGGATTGAGAAGGCCTTAGTTTGCCTACCTAGACAGCATCTTAAAAAGCAGAGACATCACCTTGCCAACAAAGGTCTGTATAGTTCAAATTATGGTTTTCCCAGTAGTGATGTATGGAAGCGAGAGCTGGACCATAAATATGGCTGATCACCGAAGAATGGATGCTTTTGAGTTATGGTGCTGGAGGAGACTCTTGAGAGTCCCATGGACTGCAAGAAGATCAAACGCATCCATTCTTAAGGAAATCAGCCCTGAGTGCTCACTGGAAGGACAGATCCTGAAGCTGAGGCTCCAAGACTTTGGCCACCTCATGAGAAGAGAAGACTCCCTGGAAAAGACCCTGATGTTGGGAAAGATGGAGGGCACAAGGAGAAGGGGATGACAGGGGAAGAGATGGTTGGACAGTGTTCTCGAAGCTACCAGCATGAGTTTGACCAAACTGTGGGAGGCAGTGGAAGACAGGAGTGGCTGGCGTGCTCTGGTCCAGGGGGTCACAAAGAGTCGGACACAACTAAACAACTAAACAACAACATCTATCTAGCTCATCTCGCTTTATTGGCCGAGGGAGCTGGCATACAGCTTCCAGGTCATGTGGCCAGCATGACTAAGCCACTTCTGATGAACCAAAGCAGCGCATGGAAATGCCGTTTACCTTCCTGCCAGAGCGGTACCTACTTATCTACTTGCGCTGGTGTGCTTTCGAACTGCTAGGTTGGCAGGAGCTGGGACAAAGCAACGGGAGCTCACCCCGTCGCGGGGATCCGAACCGCCGACCTTCTGATCGGCAAGTCCTAGGCTCTGTGGTTTAACCCACAGCGCCACCCGTGTCCCTTTTTCACTAAGAGTAGGTGCTCTGAAATGAATGAACACAACTAAGGCCCCATCTGAACCATACATTGAAAGAATCACCCCATCACTGCCATGGCTTCCCCCAAGGAATCCTGGGAGCTGTAGTTTGTTAAAAAGCTGCCAAGCGTTACCACTAGACCCCTACTCCCTTCGCAGAACTACAATTCCCAGAGCGCCGTGGGAAGAGGGATTGGTTGTTAAAGCACTCTGGAAATCTCAGCTCTGCTAAGAGGGAGAAAATGGGTTCTCCTAACCACTCTTAGAAAACTACCGTTCCCAGAATGCTCGCAGGGAGAGCCATGGCTGTTTAAAGTGGTAAGATGCTGCTTTCAATGCACGACATAGATCAGGCATAGGCAAACTCGGCCCTCCAGATGTTTTGGGACTACAACTCCCATTGTCCCTAGCTAACAGGACCAGTGGTCAGGGATGATGGGAGTTGTAGTCCCAAAACCTCTGGAGGGCCGAGTTTGCCTATGCCGGACATAGATGGTACCACTGGCTTTAGCGCCCCCTACTGTCAGCCTCCGAGTTTTCTGCCCAATGAGTTGTAGTTTCAGCTGAACATGGGTGGGAACTTGCTTCCCCTGCAAGGTGAGGGTTTGAAGCAGAGACGTGCAGAGCCCCACGCAATCGCAACGCAAACACGATCTTATCCACCAAGGCCGTGAAAAGAGGCCCTGTTGGTGACCCAGAATTTTCTTTTTAAGGAGGTGCAGGAAGAGACAAGACAATGGAAGAATTTAGGGTCAAAGACTATCAAGATAAAACCTGATTTTATCTGGCAACTCCAGAAGATGGGGGGAAAACGAGTGCTTTCGGCTCCAAGAGCTTGGGCGCTGTTGTGAAGCAACGAATGCAACTTCTCTCTTAATTCCCTGTGGTGTCTGGCTTCTAGAAGCGGGATACAGAATCACAGAATGGTAGACGGGGCCACGAGGGTCATCTAGTCCAACCCCCTGTGATGGAGGAATCTTTCGCCCAATGTTGGATTCGAACCCACGGCTCGCAAGTTAAGAGTCTTGTGCTCTATCGACTAAGCCTCATGGATGCTCTGCTTTAAATAAGAGCAGAAGAAGAATCCTACAAGCTGGATCAGGCCTGTCTAGGCCAGCATCCTGTTCTCACAGCGGCCAACCAGATGCCTCAATGGGCAGGATCTGACCGCAACAGCTCGCTTTCCCCACTAGGAATTCCCAGCAAATAGTATTTTTCAGAGCTGTACGCCCTGTGGCCAGTAGCCACAGCGATAGCGTTATCCTCCATCCATTTATCTCGCCCTCTTTGAAATGCCAAGGTCCCGCTAATCCCCAAGAATTCAGGGCGATTGGCTGGATCAATGGGCAGCAGGGTGATCTCATCTTTCCAGCATTTCAAATCTGAAATCTTAATTACCCTTCAATCCTCTGGACCACTATGGACAGGTGGGGGACTTTGTACAAAATGCCTTAAGACAGAGGTCAGCAAACTTTTTCAGCAGGGGGCCGGTCCACTGTCCCTCAGACCTTGTGGGGGGCTGGACTATATTTTGGGGGGGGAAATATGAATGAATTCCTATGCCCCACAAATAACCCAGAGATGCATTTTAAATAAAGGACACATTCTACTCATGTAAAAGCACGCTGATTCCTGGACCGTCCATGGGCCGGATTGAGAAGGCGATTGGGCCGCATCCGGCCCCCGGGCCTTAGTTTGCGTACCCATCCCTAAAAACAGGCTTCCTCAACCTCGGTCCTCCAGATGTTTTTGGCTTACAACTCCCATGCTCCCTAGCTAACAGGACCAGTGGTCAGGGATGATGGGAATTGTAGTCTCAAAACATCTGGAGGGTCGAGGCTGAGGAAGCCTGACTTAAGAGGACCCTCGCTCTCCTGCGAGACCCAGGAATGAGCATCGTTTGACACTCGCATGCCCCATTTTAGGATGGGATAAAGGCAGGGCCGGATTTCGGTTTGATGAGGCCCTCAGCTCCGAAAGGCAGTATGAAGTCTTGCTTCCCAGCTGAGGGATCCCTGCCCCCTCCTGCTTGCACAAAAGTAGGAATGGGATTGGGGCTGCTCCGATGGGAAGGGCGGCATCGCGCTGCCCGAACCTCGCCACAGCCGCCGCTCTCGGCCCTCCTTCTCCGCCTTCCATGCCTGACCCACCGCGCACTGCTTCCCCACCACCACCACCGAAAAACCCACAACTCAGGGGCTGCCCAGGCTCATGGAGAAAGGAGATAGAAGCCTCGGAGGAAGGGAAAATGTGGTGGTTGAGGTCAAGGCGGTGGCTGCCCCTCTGCCACCTCCATCGCTGCAGCATCAACGTCACAAACTATCTATCTATTTATTTATTTGAAGTGTCCCCAGATTCATAGAAAAAAATCTGCTAACCTTACAAGGGCGAAGGCAGGAATCTTGGCTAAAGCATTAATGATAGGTTGCCATCCAAACTCTACTTTAAAACCACCAAGGAAGGAGAGTCCACAATCTCCAGAGGGAGTCCGTTCTAGCTTCACAGTGCAAATTTATTTTAAAAGCTGCATTTAGAATTATTACACTACTCTCTTCCAAACTTAAAAATGGAAAGCGTAATGCTGGTGGTTAACAACAGAGGTTTAAAGACTGTCTCAAGGCAAATCTAAAAAAAATGTATAAACATATACATATACATGTATATGCATATACAAGCAAATATAAAAAAATGTATAAAAATATATAAAAAATGTATAAAAATGTATGAACACCAACAATTGGGAAACACTGGCCTGCGAGCGCTCCAGTTGGAGAACAGCCTTTGCCAAAGGTGTCATGGGCTTTGAAGACACTCAAACTCTGGACACAAGAGAGAAACATTCAAGAGGAAGGCACGCTTGGCAAGTCCCACCCAGAAACCAGTGTCCCCACTATGGAAGGACGTGTGGATCCAGCAGTGGCGTAGCGTGGGTTGTCAGCACCCGGGGCAAGGCAAGTAATTTGCACCCCTTAACCCGTGGATTTGCGCCCCCTAACCCGTGGATTTGCGCCCCCTAACCTGTGGATTTGCCATAACCCCAGATGTTGCGCCCGGTGCAGCCGGCAGCCCCTGCACCCCCCACGCTACGCCACTGGGATCCAGAATTGGCCTCCACAGTCACTTACAGACTCATTGTTAAAACCGTGTTTATGGAAGACAATCTTACTAGGTTACGAGGGATCGCCAAAGAAGAATATACAGTGGTACCTCGGGTTAAGTACTTAATTCGTTCCGGAGATCCGTACTTAACCTGAAACTGTTCTTAACCTGAAGCACCACTTTAGCTAATGGGGCCTCCTGCTGCTGCCACACGATTTCTGTTCTCATCCTGAAGCAAAGTTCTTAACCTGAAACACTATTTCTGGGTTAGCGGAGTCTGTAACCTGAAGCGTATGTAACCTGAAGCGTATGTAACCCTAGGAACCACTGTACGATATACGATATCTTTATTGTCAAGACTTCAAAAATATTTTTATGCCACCTTTAAAGCTAAACACCTTCTCAAGGTGCTTTGCGAAACCTAAACCAGCAATATAGACGTACACACATGCACAATATTAATCTCAGGGTTGTGGGTTCGAGACCGACTTTGGGAAAAGATTCCTGCGTCAAAAGAGGTCGGACTAGATGACCCTCGGGGTCCCTTCCAATTCTATATTATCCGCTCGAGGGCCATCGCTCCAGCAGTGTGCAACCCCTGGCTCTGCGTGCCAAAGGTCGCCGGTTCGATCCCCGGGTGGGGCTGGGGAAAAGACCTCTCCAAAAAGCCCATGAAAATCTGGAGAGCTATGCGTAATAAAGGATAACTATTTAAAAAATCTGGAGAGCTGTTCCTCCTCCTCCTCCAGGGGAGATGCTCCTGCCCGGCCCCTACTTCGCCCCCTTCCCCGCGGAAGATAAGCGACCCCTCACCGTAGTTGTCGTGCGTGTGCCTCCGCCTGCGCGCGTGATCCGCGTCCGCCGACATCGCCGCGCAAACCGGCTCCGGGTTCGCCACCGCCTCCAGCGCTGCGCTCCGGCGCGCAACTGACCGCGGGCGCCTCTCCAAGCTCCGCTTCCCCGGGCGAGTCCAGCACGTGCCGGGGGTGGGTCTGGGTCCAGCCCCAAGGAGGAGGTGGGGCTGGGGGTCGTGGGGTCGGGAGGGGCAGCAAGGCAGGCAGGCAGGCAGGCAAGCGGCGCGGTGGGGCAGCGAGCGCCGCCTCTCCTTTCTCTCGCTGCGCAAAGCGTGCGCTTTCCTCGGCGCGCGCTTGGCTTTTTAAAGGCGCCAGTCCTCAGGGCGGCTCTTACGCGCGGGAGCGAGCGCCGCCGCCGCCGCCGAGACCTGGCCGAAGGGGCTGCGAAGCTTCCCTGGGAGGAGGGAGGCGCTGCAAAGGAGCGGAGCGCGGTGGGTTGCGCGCGCAAAGGGACCCGTGTACGAGTAACGTGTGAATGGGGCCAAGCGCAGCAGGCGTGCGGTATGCGGGCGCTTTTAGGGCGCAGTTGTTTTGGAGGGAGGGTTACTCTGAAAGGTCCCCAAAACTAACATTTTTACACGTAACACTGTATTTTTCAGGGAAGTTTTTAACGTGTGACATTTTAATGTATTTTTAATCTTTGTTGGAAGCCGCCCAGAGTGGTTGGGGAAACCCAGCCAGATGGGCGGGGTACAAATAAATCATCATCATCATCATCATCATCATCATTATTATTATTATTATGCAATGTTTTGTTAAAGTTGTCTGTTGTCGCTTTAGTTCTCTTTGCACCACTTAAGAGATATTTTAAATATATTAAGCGGTATAGAAATTAAGTAATCTATAATCAGGTTAACGAAAGGCAATAATTAACTCTGTCCTAGTGAGGAGGGGGGACACGGGTGGCGCTGTGGGTTAAACCACAGAGCCTAGGACTTGCCGATCAGAAGTTCGGCGATTCGAATACCTGTCTCCCGCTGCTCGGTCCCAGCTCCTGCCAACCTAGCAGTTCGAAAGCACATCAAAGTGCAAGTAGATCAATAGGTACCACTCCAGCGGGAAGGTAAACAGCGTTTCCGTGCACTGCTCTGGTTCGCCAGAAGCAGCTTAGTCATGCTGGCCACATGACCCGGAAGCTGTACGCTGGCTCCCTCGGCCAATAAAGCGAGATGAGCGCCGCAACCCCAGAGTCGTCCGCGACTGGACCTAATGCTCAGGGGTCCCTTTACCTTTTAGTGAGGAGGGAAATGCATTCTGCACATGGCCATAAACACTGTTGTTTCTCACCCTTTCCGGCAGCGGTGAGGAACTTCAGGCACAGAGGCCATAGGCGGCCCCCTAAGCCTCCCTTGGGACCTTCCCCTAGGCCACACCCCCTCTCTCAGGCCACACCCCTTGCTGGCTGTGCTCCGCCCCGTTCTCAAGTGCTTTAGCCAGGCTAGAAAGAAGCCTCAAACTGGCATATAGCTTCTCTTGCTTGACTGAATGAAGGATGGAGAGGTGGGTGTGTGGGTGCAGGAACACTCGTCTCTTGACCCGACAGGGCTGTTGTGGGGGCTAAATGAGGAGTGGGGAGAACCATGTACCCCACCTTGAGCTCCTGGGAGAAAAAAAGTGGGATCATAGAATCTGAGAGTTGGAAGGGACCCTGAGGGTCATCTAGTCCAACCCCCTGCAATGCAGGAATATGCACCTGTCCCGTATGAGGATCGAACCTGCAACCTTGGCGTTATCGGCACCATGGTCTCACCAACTGAGCTATTCATGATAGAACTGCAATAAAATAATAACTCGGTTCGATTTTTGTGTGGCTAGAATGCAACTCATGGTACAAAGATGCATTGTTCCCCTGCCCACTTTTTCTGCAGAGATATACGTGTATGCAGATTTTATCCTGTTTTTTTATCTTGTAAACTGCCCTGAGATCTTCAGTTGATTGGCACTATATAAATGTAATAGATAATAATAATAACATATCCTCATTCCTTCTCTCTAGTCCTGGTCTGATATCCTAAGCCCATTTCTGTTACTGGCAGTTATTTATGAATTTCCTGGGCAATATGGCTGGTGTAAGGGACGCGGGTGGCGCTGTGGTCTAAACCACAGAGCCTAGGGCTTGCCGATCAGAAGGTCGGTGGTTCGAATCCCTGCGACGGGGTGAGCTCCCGTTGCTCGGTCCCTGCTCCTGCCAACCTAACAGTTCGAAAGCACGCCAGTGCAAGTAGATAAATAGGTACCACTCCGGTGGGAAGGTAAACGGCGTTTCTGTGCGCTGCTCTGGTTCGCCAGAAGCGGCTTAGTCCTGCTGGCCACGTGACCCGGAAGCTGTACGCCGGCTCTCTCGGCCAGTAAAGCGAGATGAGCGCCGCAACCCCAGAGTCGGCCACGATTGGACCTAATGGGCAGGGGTCCCTTTAACTTTTTAAGGAATGGCAGCATTCTGCATGGCATTAAATAGCAACAATGGCACAAGCAAGGTTTCTTTCCTGTAGGCTATGGGGTGTGTGAAGACTTCAGGCTTACAGGATCTACTTTTGGGCTTTTCTTTTACCAGCTCCCCAATGTTCCCCAACTATAGCCAGGTGCAAAAAAGGGGCCCAGGGAGATCTAAAAGCAGATCCCAGAGATATATAAGCAGATCCCAAACTGCTCCTCCTACAGCGGATACGATCTTTGGCAGCAATCCCATTTAACTTGATGGGACTTATTTTTGAGCAGACAGGCTTGCAATCGTGCTGCTTCCAAGCCTGTTTCAATTCCAAGGGTGCTCTGACATTTATATTTTCATTCTTATTCTCCAGCCCCCGCTGTGATATATAATAGGGGTTCCGCTCCATTTCGTAACAGAGGAATTTTATTTTGTTTTGTGTTCACCAGAAATGATCTTGTCAGTGCTGCGGTATTTTATTGTTTACTTCTGCAAAGAGGTATCTCCCAATTCAAGCTGCAATAGTTAACTCTCAAGAACTAGGCCTAGGCTAGGTTTGTAGCAAAGAGATAATTCTGAACTGATTAGCCAGTAGTGCAAATCCAATTGACGGTGAATGATTTATTGAATCTGATTAGGTCTGGCAAGATATGCTGTACTGGACAAGGGAACCAGCTATTTATGTTCTCGCTTTATACCTTCGACTTGGTGGGGGTTTATAGTTCTGTGTAGCAATGATGCCAGGAGAACAAGCGTTTTGCTGCTAACATGAAACTCACAATTCTTCCACAAAGGGAGACTCCAGCATGCAATCAAGTGTATCAGCAAGTCTGATGCTATATCCATTTATGACTCCCTCTCTCCAGACTGCGATTTTCTCTCCTGCTATAGGCGCAGTTAGGACTGCAAAGCTAGGAAGGTTGCATTTGTTGATGTTTAGTCGTTTAGTCGTGTCCGACTCTTCGTGACCCCATGGACCAGAGCACGCCAGGCACTCCTGTCTTCCACTGCCTCCCAGTTTGGTCAGACTCATGCTGGTAGCTTCGAGAACACTGTCCAACCATCTTGTCCTCTGTCGTCCCCTTCTCCTTGTGCCCTCCATCTTTCCCAACATCAGGGTCTTTTCCAGAGAGTCTTCTCTTCTCATGAGGTGGCCAAAGTCTTGGAACCTCAGTTTCAGGATCTGCCCTTCCAGTGAGCACTCAGGGCTGATTTCCTTCAGAATGGAGAGGTTTGATCTTCTTGCAGTCCATGGGACTCTCAAGAGTCTCCTCCAGCACCAGAATTCAAAAGCATCAATTCTTCGACGATCAGCCTTCTTTATGGTCCAGCTCTCACTTCCATACATCACTAATGGGAAAACCATAGCTTGAACTATACAGACCTTTGTTGGCAAGGTGATGTCTCTACTTTTTAAGATGCTGTCTAGGTTTGTCATTGCTTTTCTCCCAAGAAGCAGGCGTCTCTTAATTTCGTGGCTGCTGTCACCACCTGCAGTGATCATGGAACCCAAGGTTGCAGTTATCACCCAGTTATTCTCAATGGTCACAACTGACCTGGCCCTGTCACAGGCTGCATATCACCCATTTCATACCATTGTTCACCATGTGGTTTTAAAAAAACATGTATATCTGCACTTCAGGGATAACATTTCATGCAGCTGATGAAATGTGGACTAATCAACTAAAGCTTATCTCCTTTTAAATCCATTAAGTCTCTACAAGGCTCTCTTTTATACTTCCTACAGAGGCACCCGGAGCCCCTGCAAGCGTTGCAAGAAAATTTTCCGCTGTGAACATGCTTCTCCTCGCTAACGCTAAACTTCAAAATGGGGAGCGATGTTTCAGCTGGGTTTTTAGCAGGGCATTGTGTGTTGTTTTATACTGTAAACTATGATGACCCCTTTGGCTGAAGCTAGAAGGGACGCGGGTGGCGCTGTGGGTTAAACCACAGAGCCTAAGACTTGCTGATCAGGTCAGCAGGTTCGAATCCCTGCGACGGGGTGAGCTCCCGTTGTTCGGTCCCTGCTCCTGCCAACCTAGCAGTTCGAAAGCACGTCAGTGCAAGTAGATAAATAGGTACCGCTCCGGCGGGAAGGTTAACGGCATTTCCGTGTGCTGCTCTGGTTCGCCAGAAGCGGCTTAGTCATGCTGGCCACATGACCCAGAAGCTGTACGCCGGCTCCCTTGGCCAATAAAGCAAGATGAGCGCCGCAACCCCAGAATCGGTCACGACTGGACCTAATGGTCAGGGGTCCCTTTACCCTTATTGTGTGTTGTTTTATACTGAAACTATGATGACCCCTTTGGCTGAAGCTAGAACTGTGGGCAAAATCCATGTTTTCAAGTCACCCCACACCTCCATAGGGCTGATGCACATTTCGGCTTTTGGGAACACACAAAATGAGAGTTCAAAAACCACAGCAGAGTAGTGTTTTCTTTGATTGGGGCCGGCTGAGGTGTCAGAAAATAGCAAGCAAGCTTTCAAGTTCCCCACAAACTGGGGAGACCCATGTCCTCTGGTTCCATCAGCAATTCCTTTTGGGGTATAAAACAAGGGTTTCCCATAACCCACAAATTGAACCCTGATACGTGTTGGACATTCATACACAGGGAAAGAGTAATAAGCACTGAAAGTTGGTCAAAACCATATGAGCAAATAGAAGTTTACGTTGTCGATATCGTCACTTTGTGGGTATCTCTGCTGTGTTGGCATAACCCACAGGTCTTCTGCTAGTTCAGGTTTTGAGCTCACATTAATTTAGGGAAATGAAGTATCACCACACTTTTACAGGTGTGAATCTCTTACTGAGCTAGATTCCTGTTACATGGAATCTCACACCTGGGCAATCAAAATGGATCTGGCTCACAGCAGTGGTCACCAAAAATCTTGTACAGACACGATCAGTGAACCACAGACCTCCCCACTCTGTACAAACTCATGATGTACTGAGGCCAACAATAAATCTACCAGTATGTGGACCCTGCTATACAGACACTTTCGGCCTCAATGTGTTTTCTGCTTCTGTAGTTTTCCAATTTCCATATTTGTCCAAACTCATACACTTATCTCCCATTTTGGTTGTTGCTGCTACATGTAGGTCTCGCTAACATGTTCTAAATCTTAAGTTGATGTGAAAAATCATCAAAATAGAATACATTCCAAGAGCTCACCAGTGACATAATTCCTTCTTCTGTATAGCCAGCAAGACTGTATCTGCCAGGGACTGAGCTTTCAAGGGCTGACAACCCTGTACAAATCTGTACCAGGATACCAAAACAGTGAGACAAAAGACTCTGGCAGCCAGACTGAATGGTCATTTTTCTCTGCAGTTCCCAAAGAGGAAGTCTGGATGGTTTTCAAAAGGTTTGCGGGCAGGTAGTAGCCTGCAGCAGGTGATATATTGAAGCAGGAAAAGGCAGAGGGAGTATTTGTTTTAAGCCGGAGAAGAGGAGGACATTTTTCTCTTAAGGGTCAGTCAGCCCACTCTGGGGTCCATTTTTACCAAGATCAAGGCTGGCAAATTACACTGAGAAAGGCTGCACTTTATGTAGGGTTTCCATCCTGCAATTATTACCCATGCTTAAAAAAAAAAACCCAAGCCTCAAGTCAACCCTTAAAATATCTTGATAGGTATATATGAAGAGCATTCAAATTTAGCTTTCAGCCCCTCAGAACATCTGTCATATTGTAAAACTACTGGCCCAAGGGAACTGGGCAGTCACTAGGAGGGACCAAGAACCACAGAGGTCCTTGCCAAAGCCAGCTGCCTAGGGACAACCCAATTGGTGGGCATATCATGCGGGCTACTGGCTGCCTTTACGGTCTAGACAAGCTGTGCTTGAGGAGGCTGAAGTTAACAGTCGTCTTCTCAGAGTACAGTGGTAACTTGGTTCTCAAACTTAATCCGTTCCGGAAGTCCGTTCCAAAACCAACGCGCACTTTCCCATAGAAAGTAACCCAAAATGGATTAATCCATCCCAGACTTTTAAAAACATCCCCTAAAACGGCAATTTAACATGAATTTTACTATCTAACGAGACCACTGATCCATAAAATGAAAGCAATAAACAATGTACTGCAGCCACACAATCAATCAATCAGTAGCTGAACTGGGTTCCCCACAGTCACAAAAACAAAACAAAAAGAGCCACAAAAATGCAAAATAAATAGCAAAAACAGACTCAAAATGGAAGCGTGGCACTCAAATCAGAAGTGTAGCACTCAAAACGGAGCACGTTCAGCTTCCAAAAAAAGTTCACAAACCGGAACACTTATTTCCGGGTTTGCAGTGTTTGGGTTCCAAGTTGCTTGAGTACCAAGGCGTTTGAGAACCAAGGTACCACTGTACAGTAAAACAGAGCTGGTAGTTGTCCAGTCATCCCTGCATCTAGCGACTTTGTGTAGGGCTCAGAAGGAACTCTGGAGTTTATTGCCACAAGAGGCAGTGACGACCACCAGCTAAATGAGCCTTTGATCCCACAGGGCTCTTGTGTTTTTAATGGCTGTGCAATAGATATAAACTGCTTAGTAACACGGAATTATGCAGAAAGACAGAGTGATGGGAGACTGATAGCTAGCTAGCTGAAGGCTGTAAAAGGATTCCCTTGATACCTTACAGGTGAAACTTGGAAAATTAGAATATCCCCAAATCAACACAGACTGTGGAAACTTCACACTGGACTTCAAGCATCTGGCATTGTGTGCCTCCCCATTCTTCCTCCAGACTCTGGGTCCTTGGTTTCCAAATGAGATGCAAAAGCTGCTCTCATCAGAAAAGAGATTTGTGGATGATCATCACAATTATAACATCTAAAGGCTTGACATATCTCGCTTTGCATGTCATGAGTCTATCTCATATATTAGTTTCACCTTTTAAGTTGAATTACTGAAATAAATGAACTTTTCCACAATATTCTAATTTTCCGAGTTTCACCTGTAAGGTATCAAGGGAATCCTTTTCCGAATTTCACCTGTAAATAGAATGGCTGCCTAGGAAGCTAAAGGTATAAGGCAGGAATGGGATTCCTGGGAGGCAGCTGCCATCTCCTCTGGCCAGCACTGCCAATGATCAGCGTGATGCTGGGAATTGTAGTACTGTACAACATTATCCGAAGGACCACAGGTTTTGTGACGTGAGAGGACGGGCGAAAAAGAGGGAAGAGAAAGGACCCAGAAAAGAGTCACACAGAAACAAATCAAAACAGACGTTTTAATGGCAGCACCAAGACAGGTGTCAACAAAGGTTTCAGCTCCCTGAGGAATGACTCGGATCAGAAAAACGTAACACACAAGCTGCTGTCACAGCAATAGGTCTTAAGACCAGTGGCTATGGAAGCAGAAGCAGCCACCCCTGCCATCTCACCAGCCTGTTCTCTCCTGCAAAATCCAGCACAAACACACTTTGTCAAGGCAACAAAGGAAGCTTTGCTTACAAAATATGCCGCTCTGGGTCACAACAAGATCTGTTGATATGTTGAGGGTTAGGGTTTCACAGAACTGAATTAAGAGATGCAGGGCTGCAGACCTCTAGCGGTAAATTAATTCAATTAGACCTACAAATTGTCCTGCGTGCTGTGGTTGCAAGGCAAATGAATTGTATTTTATGCTGAGAGTTAGGGTTTGTTTTGGAACACCCTATTTTTTAAAAGAGGGTGCAGTTTTCTGATATAGCTTTGTTTGTCAAATGCCTGGGCACCAAGATGTACATGCTAAGGTTGGGGAGCTTTTCGCGGGGGAAGCCTAATTTTAAAAAGGCGCAGCAATTGTTCCAGCCGCTACTTCCTTTCCAAAACCATCAGGCACAGAGAGCAGCAAAATTGTTCACTTGCAAGGAAAGAGAAGTACAACTGCAGCCAAGATGTTTGCAGACTGGAAAGACCCCAGTGATGTGACTGGAAGCAGAATTCGTTCATTAAAATACATATATACCAGATTATCCAAAGGCATGCAGTGTCCAATCCATGCCAATCCTTCTCCCCCCCCCCACCACTCAGTCTTAATCTAGGAGGAAAAATAAACTACAGTGGTACCTCCGGTTGCGGATGGGATCTGTTCAGGAGCTCCGGTGGGATCCTGAGGTTTTCGCAACTGGAGGTGCCTGTTCTGCGCATGCGGCGAAACCCAGATAAATACTTCTGGGTTTGCTGCATGCGTATCCCAAAGGATACGTAACCAGAGGTGCTCGTAAGTAGAGGTACCAGTGTACTGGTTTATTTGGCAACAGGACTCATGGGGCAGTTTTGCTGGAATGGCAGGGTGATGTTCCATTCTTGTAGCTCTCTGCTTATCGGACTGCGTTGGGGAAGAAAGGCAGCAGCACTTCCATGCCATGAACTATTGGAAACCCCTACGCTTTAGATGCAGTTCACTTCGCAGAATCCCGTAGAAACATGAAATTTGAACCCCCCCAAACCCAAAATACTACATCTCCCAAGGGCCCGGAGAAAAGGCCGTGTCAAAATGAAGTTTGCCTGCTGTTCTGCGCTGCTGATAGAGGAGCTGGAGTACTGTCACTTCAAAAAAGAAAAAAAGGCAACGTAGATCATACAAAGTCACTCGTGCGCTAGAGATGAAAGGCACATACCTTTGTAACCAAGACTCAAAAGAAACCTGATTTGATGTATTTCTGTGGTTTGGGGCCTTGGTACTTAAGATATACTGATGTGACCTTTTTTTCTGACGTGGCAAAATGGAAGCAGCCTCCAAGAATTCACAGCCTCACTTGAACAGTTTGGATCCAATTCAGCAATGCATTATCGACTTGGTGTCATGCTTATATGAATCTCCAGAGGCAGATGGTTTGTGTGGCAAACAGGCCTCCTGTTGTCGTCTAAAAGCAGCAGTCGCATTCAACAGAATGATATCCAAAAAGGTAATTCAGTCCGTCTAGAAATGATGCAACTTTCCCATTGTGATCCTCAAGTGAAGTCATTCACAGAAACCATTTGGTTTTGATGCTGAAAGTTTCTCATTATTATTCCAAATACAGTTTTAAAAAAACAAATGTCTTGCTTTATATATCCAAACCATGCTTTCAAGGTAGTAAGTTCAGCAAGCTGCTGAGTTCTCTTCCCAAACACAAGTCGTGGTGTTTATCCCCACGTGTCCTGCGACAGGGACTGGCAGCTAGTCTCCAAAAATCCACAAAACGTTCACACCAGATAAGCCAAGGTTGACCCGCCTGCAAAAAATAGTTGATGCATTTCATATCAAGACATGCAAGTTATACCATTCATCATAAAATAAGAAATTTAAAATGTTAAAGTCTCATTTGAAGCTGATGCATCGGGAGCAGGATTAAGCTAAATCCCTCCATTCGATAACCACTCTATAGAAATATTGCTATTGATACACAGGAGCCAATTCTGATGCCCGTGCTTATTTGATTAACTGGGCTTCATTCTCCTACTCCCACTTACGTGGGCAAAGCCTAAGTCCCTCATTAGGGAGTTTTGTTCGTCAAGCCTCCACCCCAATACATGCACATGCCAGCAATAATAATAATAAATGGGGGCCACTCCAGCTCATTTTCAGTCCTTCTTACTGAATATTTCCACCTGCCATCCCTCCACACTCTACTGGCTAGTAACTGTTCTCTTCCCATTAATTTGATTTTGAATTGATTTTAGAATGAACTGATTTTAGAATGTATTTCAATTAACTGACTGTGATTTTATGTAAACTGTGCTATTTTTACTGTTGTTAGCCATTCTGAGCCCAGCTTTAGCTGGGGAAGGCGGGATATAAATAAAATTTTATCTATTATTATTATTCCACCACTCTCCCCCTCCACCCTCAATGTGATGTGATAACCTCTCTTCTGGCAGGGAGCAGTTCACTTCTCCTTGTTTAGGGACATAGGAAGATGCCTTATCCTATTGCTGCCAGACTATTGGGTCCATATACAGTGGTACCTCGGGTTACATACGCTTCAGGTTACAAACTCGGCTAACCCAGAAATAGTGCTTCAGGTTAAGCTTCAGGATGAGAACAGAAATTGCGCGGCAGCAGCGGGAGGCCCCATTAGCTAAAGTGGTGCTTCAGGTTAAGAACAGTTTCAGGTTAAGAACGGACCTCCGGAACGAATTAAGTACGTAACCAGAGGTACCACTGTATCTTCGTACTGTCCACACTGACCGAGAGAAGCTATTCAGTGGACATTCCCAGCCCAGTGTTTTGTTCAGCAATATGCAGAATGCCATACCTACCCAAGCATCCCAGATTCTTTAGTCTTTATGATGTACAGGAACATTAGCAAGGTGTGGAACAAGTTGTTTCTGCCCTAAATTGAAAGACAAAAGGGGTCCGAATGAGCAGGAGGGGAGTCACGTGACAAAGACTTAAGACTATGTATTAGGGTCTGTTGCCCTCAGTATATTGTCAGATTGCAATACTGGAATTGCTTGCACCTCTGTAAGACCACTATGCACACACCTAGTTGGGTCAACTGAGAATCTAGTGCACAATGCAGCATCTCCCAGACCCGAAAGAGCTATACTTTTGGATAGCTCCAGCGTGAACTCTTTTTCTCCCCTGAAGCTTCCTAAGTATCCTATACATTAAATGTGAGCTCATTCCCAGGACTGTGGGCCCTTATGCAGTCAAGGCTGCACCATCCACATCCAAGAGGGAGGGGTCAGCAGGTTCCCTCAGGGAAGCCCCAAGGGCTGCAGAAGTAACCAAAAAATATTCAGGAGAAAACTACCTCCATAACGCCAAAAAGCTGAAAACAGACCAATGAGGCTGAAAACACACCAATGGGGACTAAGCAAACTCAGTGACTGCATGCTGGTTGACAATTAGGGGAAAGAAACAGAAAATTCAGGAGGGGAGCGGGAAATGTCATGTAGAAGCTTTAGAAAAGGGAATTCTGAACAGCAGTACTCCATACCACAACATTTTGTTGCAGGGTTTGTCGCTTATAAGGAAGGGTAACTGGCAAGCCTCTTTAATGGAGACGACCAGTACTTTGCTCCCTTCTCCCAGCCGCAGATGCATCACCGTGCTGTGAGGAAGACAGGTGACAGCTCAACAGGTGTGTGGAGACCGATGCCACGAAAATATCCTGTACATCAGACGGCTCATTTCCCCACCCACTGGACTCTTCCCTAGCAGTTTTGGAACACCACCCAATTTCTTCTGCGCTGCTCCGCTGTCCCGGAGACATCAATGGGAAAGTTGCTGCATTCTTACCTTTGGTAGACTGTAGACTTGTCGCTGGTAAATAAGTTCATAGTGGGGAGGGTTGACGCTACTCTGGTAGATGCAAAACAAGTTCTCGTTGGAGACGTCTGTGAACAACAAGTTCATATTTTGCCTTGATTAACGGAGTTATTTGGCTGATGACAAGTGGTAAAAGGTAAAGGGACCCCTAATCATTAGGTCCAGTCGTGACTGACTCTGGGGTTGCGGTGCTCATCTCGCTTTATTGGCCAAGGGAGCTGGCGTGCGGCTTCTGGATCATATGGCCAGCAGGACTAAGCTGCTTCTGGTGAACCAGAGCAGCGCACGGAAACGCCGTTTACCTTCCCGCCGGAGAGGTACCTATTTATCTATTTGTACTTTGATGTGCTTTCGAACTGCTAGGTCGGCAGGAGCAGGGACTGAGCCACGGGAGCTCACCCCATCGCGAGGATCTGAACCACCAATCTTCTGATCGGCAAGTCCTAGGCTCTGTGGTTTAACCCACAGCACCACCCACGTCCCTTGATGACAAGTGGTAGAGGGAGGGAAATAATATCCAGCCATTTCCCCTTCGGCCCCCCCTGAAACAACTCTGCAAAACCTCAGGAACAGATCAGGGGGGCGCTGCAGGGGGGGGGGAAAGAATGGCTGGAAATTCCTTCTCTCCCCGGTCCACTGATGGAGGCCTTACTGTCAGCTGAGCATCACCACTGGATACAACCCCGTGTGTTTGTTTATATAAAGTAAGATAATGCTACTCAACCCACAGCTTGTGGGACACTGCTGGATGTATCTAAAGGCCATACTCAAAAAGTTTTATGAGGCTCCAATATGCATACAGAGCTCCATGTACACAAAGGCATCCCTGCTTGTGTGGAGCTTCCTCTGCTCTCGTGATCAACCATCATCAATGAGTTAGTCCCACCCAGTTCATAAAATGCTATAAGAGCCCCATTACCTGGCTTATCAGGCATTTGGATGAAATGTTGGGAGGTGAATGTTTTGCCATCGGGATATTTTGGATGAGGTGGCAGCCTGGAGTCAAGGTATGTGCAGAACACGTGCATGATAATCTGAAGAAAGGGAAAGAAATGAATTTCCTCACCATCATTGGAAAGAAAATATCCCTAGAATAAGCCATAAATTCACTCTTCTTCTTAATACAAAACACAACCCTGTTCCCAGGCAACTGAATAAAGAATGACATGAATATGACCCTTCCTAGCAAATACTTATATAGCAGCATTCAACCAAGCTGGGACAGAGCCAAACAAACTCCTTAATGTCTGCTAACGACTTACTGTGTTTGCATCACTTCAAATCAATTTTATTCTAGTGTTTCGAGAAAATTTAGAATTAAGTTTAAAAAATTCAAGGTTAGTCCAATACAGGCAACCTAGCAATCAGCTCAGATCCAGACAGAAAAGTTCGTACAAATGTGATAAGTTTCATGTAACCTCGTTTAAGCACAAGAGGACTAAAATTAATGGCATATAACCCCTGCTTCTGAGTACTGCAATCTATGTTCCCATCTAATTCTTACCGCTGTTGCTGAGCCTCGGAACCTTAATGGAATATATTCAGGGCAGACAACACACAAGACTTACTGCAGAGTCTGTGGGCAAATCAGTATCCCACTTCCGTGCTTTGAAGTCTCCGCCCCGATTCCACCGGAAAGAGCTCATGCACCCTCCTTGAGAAAGCTCTGTGGGTTGGCAGAATTGTACAGGACGTTATTTGGGGGCAGAACTGGAGGAAGATTTAACAAAAGAGATTCCGTTCCTGGAGCTTCAGTACCATTCAGTGACTGAAAGAGGCAGTTCTAAGAGGGCTGTTCCCTTCAACACCTGTTTGTCCAGCCTTCATCAACCTGGTGCCCTCCAGATGTTTTGGACGATGGTGGTTGGCAAAAAGCTGGTTTAGAATGATATACTTGAAGGAGCGTCTCCACCCCCATCGTTCTGCCCGGACACTAAGGTCCAGTGCTGAGGGCCTTCTGGCGGTTCCCTCGCTGCGAGAAGCCAAGTTGCAGGGAACCAGGCAGAGGGCCTTCTCGGTGGTGGCACCCGCTCTGTGGAACACCCTCCCACCAGATGTGAAAGAGAAGAACAACTACCAGACTTTTAGAAGACACCTGAAGGCAGCCCTGTTCAGGGAAGCTTTTAATGTTTAATAGGTTTTTGTATTTTAATATTCTGTTGGAAGCCGCCCAGAGTGGCTGGGGAAACCCAGCCAGATGGGCGGGGTATAAATAAAGAAATAATAATTATTATTATTTGGTTTCACCCTGGGGAAAACTTCATCGGGATCACCATTAAGTGCTACACTGCCAATCTGTTTGAAACTCAGACTCTCCTTCCACTACCACACCTCTGCCTTAGCAGAGACCAAAGTGCAGAGGCCTTGCTGATGCAATAGCAGCTTGCTGAAAACCAATGCTAATTATAACTAGTGTAAAAAAGCCCCCAAATGCACACCAGCACTGTGACTCTTTACCTTTGATCCTTTCAACCAAATATTCCTGGTTTGGTGTAAGGTCCAGGTACTGCACTATTGTGTTCAGTGTGGGAATGAGTGGCGCTTTAACCAGGGCTGCTTGCTTCAGACTGCTGATACTGGCATCTGCAAAAACAAAAGGCCATAAGCCCGCCAGACAGGAAAAGCCCCAAAAGTTCTAAGATAAGTCATGATAAGGGCTGTTCACTTCCTTTTATTTAATCTGCAAGGTTATGTTCTGCTACCCACAAACATGCAAATTTATCTGTACAGTGTCCCGGTAGATCACAACAACCTAATCCGACTCTACCTCTAAATATAAACAAATGTGGCGTCCAAAGGGTATTCCCAGATATTACCAAATGGTAAAAATAGTGGACTATTTCCCCTATTAGGGAAGTTTTTAATGCATGACATATTAGTGTATTTTTGGTCTATGTGGAAGCCGCCCAGAGTGGCTGGGGAAACCCAGCCAGATGGGCGGGGTACAAATAAATAATAATAATAATAATAATTAATAAATAATAATAATAATAATAATAATAATAATAATAATAATAATTTCACCTTCAACTGGAGATAACAAACCACAAGTTTTATGTAAGTCAACGTACCTCCAATTTGCAACTCCGGGCACCCCATTCTCCGCATCTGAGTGCTCACAGACTCAATCTCCTGAACGAGGGGCACTAAAATTGTTTCATTGATCCACTAAATGGCAGAAAGAAAGAAAGGTAAGTTGAACTGCGTCTTGGGCTTTCAAGCAATTTCAGTTTGTCCCACAGAGCAATCTGTCAGCCATCCCTACTTAGCTTAATTTGACTATTTACCCCCAAATCAAACAAGAAGTGACCTGTTTGATTTCAAAGGCCAGTGGCAGAACTCACATTTCTGAATTTAGCAGTCCAGGAGTCCATGTGTTCCAGAAGTTGCCTACTCATTGACACTCTTGCCCAAACCTGAATGAGAAAACCAGATGGTCTCAGTATGTCAACTCAGTCCAGTCATTGTATGATTATTATTATTTACATCTTCCTATCTTCTTGAAACATAGTAAGCAAGTTATAAAGTCGCAGGTCCTATAAACTTTTTATTTTATCTATACCCCGCCCACTTAAAAACAAAATAAATCATAAAGCAATAATAACAATCAGATCAAATACAAAAAAGTCACAATAGCTTTAAAATAAACTTCTATCAAACAAAGCAGTATCAATAACCCATTAGAGTCTAATAGTAAGCAACTATTACTACTCCCAAATGCACCAATGCAATTTTACTCTGAATTCAGTCTTCCAGTCCCAATGCAGTTCACTATTAAGTACATGCACTTGTAGTGATTTGCCACTAACGTGTACAGTGGTACCTCAGGTTACATACGCTACAGGTTACAGACTTCGCTAACCCAGAAATAGTACCTCGGGTTAAGAACTTTGCTTCAGGATGAGAACAGAAATGCAGCGGTGGCGCAGCAGCAGCAGGAGGCCCCATTAGCTAAAGTGGTGCTTCAGGTTAAGAACAGTTTCAGGTTAAGAACGGACCTCTGGAACGAATTAAGTACTTAACCCGAGATATCACTGTAATGACTCTAGAGCACTCGTCTTCAGCTGGTGGGTTAGGACCTGAACTAAGTTGAGTAGCACTAAAGGTAAAGGTAAAGGGACCCCTGACCATTAGGTCCAGTCGTGGCCGACTCTAGGGTTGCGGCGCTCATCTCGCTTTACTGGCCGAAGGAGCCGGCGTACAGCTTCCTTCCAGGTCATGTGGCCAGCATGACTAAGCCGCTTCTGGCGAACCAGAGCAGCGCACGGAAACGCCGTTTACCTTCCCACCGGAGCGGTATCTATTTATCTACTTGCACTTTGACGTGCTTTTGAACTGCTAGGCTGGCAGGAGCTGGAACCAAGCAACGGGAGCTCACCCCGTCACGGGGATTCGAACCACCGACCTTCTGATCAGCAAGTCCTAGGCTCTGTGGTTTAACCCACAGCATCACCCGCATAGCACTACCACCATATAAATATATCAGGGGAGGTAGAGGGGGGTCCCCAAAAGCATGTTTGGGTTAAATGTGGGTCTGGATGTGAAAAGGTTGAAGACTGATGCTCTGGAGACGCCATTCAGAAGGAAACAATCCCCTACTGCCCCGATGCCAATCTTCCATTTACCTCTTCAGCGACCTGCTTGGAGCTCAACTCAGCTTCATCTTTGTGGGCCGATGGGGCTTGGGACCTGCAGGCAGGTTGGTACTGGAATTTCCTGAGCATCTGGGCATAGTCTGCCATGGACCGGCTGTAGTTCCAAAAGGTTGGGCTGCTAGAAGGAGAACTGGAATCTGTGCTTCCTGTAAAAGGTAAAGGACCCCTGGACGGTTAAGTCCAGTCAAAGGCAACTATGGGGTTGCGGCGCTCATCTCGCTTTCAGGCCAAGGGAGATAGCGTTTGTCCACAGACAGCTTTCCAGGTCATGTGGCCAGCAGGACTAAACCTCTTCTGGGGCAATGAAACCCCGTGACATAAACCAGAGCACACAGAAATGCTGTTTGTACCTTCCCGCTGCAGCGGTACCTATTTATCTACTTGCACTGGTGTGCTTTCGAACTGCTAGGTTGGCAGAAGCTGGGACAGAGCAACAGGAGCTTACCCCGTCACAGGGATTTGAACCACCAACCTTCTGATCGGCAAGCCCAAGAGGCTCAGTGGTTTAGACCAAAGTGCCACCATGTGCTCCCTGTAATTACCGTACTCTTTGCTCTATAAGACTCACTTTTTCCCTCCTAAAAAGTAAAGGGAAATGTGTGTGCGTCTTATGGAGCGAATGCAGGCTGCGCACTATCCCAGAAGCCAGAACAGCGAGAGGGACCGCTGCTTTCGCTGCACAGCGATCCCTCTTGTTGTTCTGGCTTCTGAGATTCAGAATATTTTTTTCTTGTTTTTCTCCTCCAAAAACTAGGTGCGTCTTGTGGTCTGGTGCGTCTTATAGAGCGGAAAATACGGTATCCAACCACAAGCATGCAAAAGAAATTATGGAAACTGGCTGGCAAGGTTTTCATAGCTACGGATACATGCGAATACTCCAACAGGTGGGGCGGAAGACATTGTTTACATGGAGAATTGCTTACCCAGCTGAACTCTGTGCAGCTTCTCCTCCTCGCTTCGAAGGAAGTTGTCCAGAGACCTGAGGTCCGTCATATAGTCTTCCTTGCCAGTAGGGGAATTGTATACAGTTGGTGAAGAGCGATACCGTGACCTCATTCCACTGCTATCCATTGGGCCGATGCTGGTGGGGTATGGTGAAGTGCTTGGGGAAGGGCTAAAAGGGGGGACCTGGGCAAAACAAAATGGAATATACAGATAGATGATAGATAGATAGATAGATAGATGATAGATAGATAGATAGATAGATAGATAGATAGATAGATAGATAATTTATTATGGTCAGGGACCAGCTTATAAAACACACTTGGGGGTACAGTCCCAAAGGAAAACAAACAATTAAAACATGTACAACAATAAATTTAAATTTTATAAATGCGATAAGCATATAGACGCTTAAAACTTTAAGATACTGCAGAGAGCTGACCCAGAGTTACCCATGGAACAATGTTTGGGGATTTTCTTAATGAACTAGTTTGAGTCGGGAGATGGTCTGCACCTACAGATCTGTACACAGAATCTGGCGACCATCCGGGTCGTCTTCTGATCTTTGCCAAACAGGAAAAGGTCGAATTTTTGCTTTTCTGGGAGGTCAGCAAGCCTCACCAGTAGGGGATCAATGGTCTTACGACGTGCCTCTTCATAAAGGTAAAGGTAAAGGTACCCCTGCCCATACGGGCCAGTCTTGACAGACTCTGGGGTTGTGCGCCCATCTCACTCAAGAGGCCGGGGGCCAGCGCTGTCCGAAGACACTTCCAGGTCACGTGGCCAGCGTGACAAGCTGCATCTGGCGAGCCAGCGCAGCACACGGAACGCCGTTTACCTTCCCGCTGGTAAGCGGTCCCTATTTATCTACTTGCACCCGGGGGTGCTTTCGAACTGCTAGGTTGGCAGGCCCTGGGACTGAGCAACGGGAGTGCACCCCGCCGCGGGGATTCAAACCGCCGACCTTTCGATCGGCAAGTCCTAGGCGCTGAGGCTTTAACCCACAGCGCCACCCGCGTCCCTTGCCTCTTCATAAAAGGGACATCTAAAGAACAAGTGCTCTGGGCTTCCTATCTTCCTGGAATATACTGGGACTCCCAACACGTGGATGAGTGATCTCTCCCCATTTATTTTCCATCAGAGAGCTGCAAAGTTGTTGTTGTTTTTTTAAAAAGAAACATTAACTTTTGTTCATGCCTCTGGCACTTGGCCCAAAGGTGGTACAAAAGCAGGGGAAATCTGGAAAGGATTCCACCTCTGCGTGGCAACAGGATAAGCTCATGTCATCTGAGGCAGTTGAAATCAAAGCCAAGTTGGAGCAGGGAAGCGGCCCTGAGTGCTCACTGGAAGGACAGATCCTGAAGCTGAGGCTCCAGTTCTTTGGCCACCTCATGAGAAGAGAAGACTCCCTGGAGAAGACCCTGATGTTGGGAAAGATGGAGGGCACAAGGAGAAGGGGACGACAGAGGACGAGATGGCTGGACAGTGTTCTCGAAGCTACCAGCATGAGTTTGACCAAACTGCGGGAGGCAGTGGAAGACAGGAGGGACTGGCGTGCTCTGGTCCAGGGGGTCACGAAGAGTCGGACATGATTAAACAACAACAAAAGTATTATAGGAGAAGAGACTGTTGAGAAAGCTCTGTACCTTGCTATAGCAGCTGCCTGGGGAGTAGCTCATAGCAGCACTGTAAGAACCAGAGCTGCTGCCCGACAGAGCCTGGAGCTGAGGGCTATAGCCGGACATGCAGCTGGAGGAAAATTTTGGGCTGGCACTAGGCGAGCGGGAAGGGCTGTAACTCAGCACGCTCTGCCCCTGGATGGGAGGAGAAGGTGTCGAAGGAGGAGTTTTCTTTGGCGTCAGCTCACGGGGTGGAGTGGTCTGGACAGCTGAAATTGAAAATTTTAAATATATTTTTAAGCTTTAGAAAGTTTCTGCACCTTTACACAGCCCAACAGGAAAACAACAAGCATCCCCCGACAGCATATGAATCAATCTGGCTAACCTGATTCAAAAATACACACTCACACCCTGCTCACACACAAATACAATTCTCTTTTTTATATATATATATATAATATTTTATTGAATTTTTTGGGAAAAGAAAATAGCAACACATATATCAAACACAAAACACATAGCTAACAACTATATATAAAGAGAAAAAAGAAAGAAAGAAAAAAGAAAAAGAAAAACTCACAGTTTTCCATACATATTTTCCATAACCATCTGGACTTCCTCACATTTCCCTTTCCTGCGTTCTCCATAGAAAAGTTATGTTCAGCAAATTATTACCTTCTTTCCAATCTTATGTTCTAATTCTAATGTGTTATGCCTCTAACTAGTCTTTCCATCAAGTATTTAACTGCTTAATTTTGGCATAACTTACTTTAAGTCTCATCTTTGTATTTCAACTTATTCTCATCTATATCTCATTTAGGCTGCTGATGCCATAATTTTTCCTTTCATGCACCTTCTTAACATTCATACAATTTATATAGTTTTTGTAGATAATCTTTAAATTTCTTCCAGTCCTCTTCCACCTCCTCTTTTCCCAGGTCTCGAATTCTGCCAGTCTTCTCAGCCAGCTCCATATAGTCTATCAGTTGCATTTGCCATTCTTCCAGTGTGGGCAAATCTTGTGTCTTCCAATATTTTGCGATAAGTATTCTTGCTGCTGTTGTTGCATACATAAAAAAGGTTCTATCTTTTTTTAACACCTTCTGGTCGACAATACCCAGAAGGAAGGCCTCTGGTTTCTTAGGGAAGGTATACTTAAATACCTTTTTTAACTCATTGTAAATTACTTCCCAGAAGGCCTTCACTTTCGGGCAGGTCCACCACAGGTGAAAAAACGTTCCTTCAGTCTCCTTACATTTCCAACATTTGTTATCATGCAAGTGGTATATTTTTGCTAGCTTGACTGGGGTCATGTACCACCTGTATATCATTTTCATAATATTTTCTTTCAAAGCATTACATGCCGTAAACTTCACACCGGTGGTCCATAACCTTTCCCAGTCAGCAAACATGATGTTGTATCCAATATCCTGTGCCCATTTTATCATAGCTGATTTAACTGTTTCATCTTGTGTGTTCCATTTCAACAGCAAATTATACATTCTTGAAAGTACCTTGGTCTTAGGTTCTAACAATTCTGTTTCTAATTTCGATTTTTCCACCTGGAATCCTATCTTTTTATCCATATTAAAAACCTTCTTAATCTGAGCATAATGTAACCAATCTCGCACTTTACCCTCTAGTTTCTCCAAACTCTGCAACCTCCAGGTTTCTCCAACCTTTTCAATTATTTCCCAATATTTCGGCCATTCGGCCTCCATATTGAGTCTTTTCCGAGCCTTGGCCTCCATAGGTGACAACCACCTTGGAGTCTTGTTTTCTAGCAAATCCTTGTATTTTAACCAGACATTAAATATTGCTTTCCTGACAATATGGTTCTTGAAAGTTTTATGAATCTTTACCTTGTCACAAATACAATTCTCACTACAGCCAACCAAAGACAACCAATCACACCCTAAGCCATACCCAACCTCTCTCACCACCAAGGAAATACAAGCGAACAGTAAGAGAACCCATACAAGTAACCCTGACACAACCCCCTCACACAAAGTAGAATAATAGAAGCATAACCATACCACACCACTCCCCCCTTTCTTCTTCATCTTCCTAATTATTTAAACCAATTCATAAACCAAGAACGTATACACTCACCATTAATAATGAAATATACGGTAGATATTTTTCCACATTTATTATGCTATTTTTGTGATATACAAATAACATGAGAAAACTTGTTATGTTTATTGGTAAAACATTATTCTTAATTATAAAACCTAATAAAAAAAGAAAGAAAGCTTCTGCACATCCCACAGGATCGTATATATATGTCAAGGAACTCAGCCATTTTATTTGCTTTTTAAATTTTCTGCTCTTCGCGGTGTGTGTTACAGAGAAAGCTTGGCGGGCGACAACAGGCTCCTGGCGGCACACCAAGCACAGCTACATGTAAGATCAGGTAAAAAGGTAAAGGGACCCCTGACCATTAGGTCCAGTCGTGGCCGACTCTGGGGTTGCGGCACTCATCTTGCTTTACTGGCCGAGGGAGCCGGCGTACAGCTTCCCGGTCATGTGGCCAGCATGACTAAGCCGCTTCTGGAGAACCAGCGCAGCGCATGGAAACACCATTTACCTTCCCGCCAGAGTGGTACCTATTTATCTGCTTGCACTGGTGTGCTTTCGAACTGCTAGGTTGGCAGGAGCGGGGACCGAACAACAGGAGCTCACCCCGTCGCAGGGATTCGAACCGCCGACCTTCTGATCAGCAAGTCCTAGGCTCTGTGGTTTAACCCACAGCACCACCCGCGTCCCGTAAGATCAGGTACACCCACCCTATTGCCTTCCCCTTGCCCTCCTCAACAAGATGATTTGTCAAATACATGACTCTCCCCATAGAAAATATCAACTACACACCACTTCCATTGTGTCAGTATTTGCACGGGTGCTCCAAATGTTTTGAATAAGTTACTTGAATTGCAGAGTTGTTTTTAAATCTGCATTCCTACCTGCATTCTGCAACCCTAGGAGTGTCTGCTGTCCAGGACTCATCACCAAGCTGGTGGGGGCCATAGTATATTTAAAATACCTCCAGAAGTCAAATAAGGCATTAAGGCTGAACAAAGACGCAAATGCAAGTTCTAGAACAAAACAGAAGATTACAATGAGAGTTTGTGAACGGCATGAGACTGGTCACAATTTACACAGCCAGCCATTCATCGGTTTTATCGTACGAAAGATGCTGGTTTCACCAGGTAATCGGGATTATCAAAAGATTTGAACAATCAAGAAATTCAGTATGAAAAGTTTCGGTCTGTAGCAGAAAAGGTACATGGAAATTCCAATCTCACTGAATTTATGCAGTTGCCTGGCAACCAGAGCAGTCAAGGGCAATTAATACTTTAGAATTTGTCACATATATATGCACTTAGCAACTCACAGAAATGGTCTAACCAGAGTTAGCACCAGTCACAGATGATGACACTTGTAAGGCTGAACTATTTTTAAGGGAACAAAGGGGAAGAAATTTGCACCACCGAGGTGTGGTGGCGGGGGGAGGTTGGAGGGAGGAGAGGTGCAGCCCTGAAGCTAACTCCTGAAACAGAGACCAGAGATTGCAGGAAGCTAGTGTTGTGTCTGCACCTGAACATGTTTACTCAATATGGATAGAACCTAGACAGAGGGATAAGCAAGCATGGGGACAGCAAGGTGGCTTTAAACCCTACAATACGTCCATCTTTAAATATCTGCAGGGATGTCAAATGGAGCAAGCTTTTCCCCTGCTCCAGAGACGAGGACTCAAACCAGTGGACTCAAAACTACAAGAAAGTTGTAGTTCGGCTAAACATTAGGAAAAACTTCCAGACGGTAAAAGCTGTTCAACAGTGGAATGGACTCCCTCGGAAGGTGGGGGGACTCTCCCTTATGAGGTTTTCAAACAGAGGCTGGATGGCCCATCTGCCAGGGATTCTTTAGCTGTGATGACAACACTGCAGAGGGTTGGGCTAGATGACCCTTGTGGGGCCCTTCAAACTCTACAATGCTATGAAAAAACGAAACCCAGAGAATCACCTCCTCACTTACTTTTTCTCTCCCTAAAGGCATAAATGCAGAGACATCCCCAGTCCATTCAACCAACTTCTACATTTTTCTGGAGTTTCAAAGTACTTACCAACATACCATAGTAACCAGCACGAAATGTTATAATAGGAACTGATTAGTTTTCCAGACCTGGGGAGGTGGGAAGAGGGAGACAAAGGTCATTCATAGCCCCACAGCATGGAAGCACCAACTACTTTTCAGTGATTCACAATAAATAGCTCGCTCCCCGTGATGAAGATACAATGGAGAGACAACAATTTCCCCCCAGGATGAACTTTATGGCTGGATTTCCAGCACCTCACAGTGGCCTTCCCAATTCTCTCCTCCAAATCTGGGCTATGAGAGACTGGTGTCTTCCACCCAACAGTCATCTGCCAAAGCAGAGCAGATACGTTTACCCATTAATAACACCTTAAAATTTAATAGCATTTTGGAGCGTCAGAAAGCACTTCCACAAACATTTTCTCTGTCGTTTTTAAAACAGCCAAATACAGCAGTTCGATATCACCATCCCCTGTATGGCTGACACCAAGAGAAAGTGACTTGAAATCCTTTATGAACTCATGGGATGGTGAACGATGAATTCATGGGAGAAGCGGTGAACGTTTAGCTCACTGATGACAAGGATGCAGAATGAAGTTGGGGTGTTTGCCTCTCTTACATTTCAGTATAAATCATGCCAGCCATGGACAAGTTCAGAAGTCCCCATGCCAAGACAACTTTTTTTGCTTCAGTTTCTTTCCTCATCTCGATGGTTCTGTCAATGAGGGAAGCAGCTGGAACTTGTTCCCCCTTCATCGTCTGGAAAGAGCAGAGGGACAGTTAGTTATATGAGAACATTTACTTAACGTTCAAAGAAATTTCAGTGCTAATTCAAGTGCACCTTCTCCTGTTTACCCCAGGGTTGCCCAAAGCTGTGCGACCAGATGTCCCCTTCTTCCTTCGGAATCTTCTCAAGATGGTCTCTCAGCCTTCTACAGCAGATGGGGGGAGCCAATGGGGGCTGCTGGGAGAGGAAGGGGAAAGTCCGACTATACAAGCAGAAATTCCTTTCATAGAATTGTAGAGTTGGAAAAGACCTCCAAGGCTCACTTAGTCCAACCCCTTGCAATGCAGGAATCACAGCTATTACACTTGCAGATGGGAACTGTGGGATATCAGTTGTGCTTCCTTTAAAAGGTAAAGGGACCCCTGACCGTTAAGTCCAGTCGCGGACGACTCTGGGGTTGCGGTGCTCATCCCGCTTTATAGGCCGAGGGAGCCAGCGTTTGTCCGCAGACAGCTTCCAGGTCATGTGGCCAGCATGACCAAGCCACTTCTGGCGAACCAGAGCAGCGCACGGAAACGCCGTTTACCTTCCCACCGGTGCGGTACCTATTTATCTACTTGCACTTTGACATGCTTTCAAACTGCTAGGTTGGCAGGAGCAGGGACCGAGCAACGGGAGCTCATCCCATCACGGGGATTCGAACTGCCAACCTTCTGATCGGCAAGTCCTAGGCTCAGGGGTTTAGACCACAGCGCCACCTGCATCCTTTACCTTGAGCCAAATTTTATATTGCAAGCTCCTCTCCTTGCATTCTGCACACTGATGACGCTATATAAATAAGTAGTAAAGAGAACACACTGAACTACATCTGAAGCTCCTTTTCACAGAAAGCAAACATAAGTGCACTTCAGTTGTTTGTAGCCCACCAGTGACCTTCCTTTGGGCCGCATAGCTGCAAAGCAATTTTTTCCACCAACATTACAAGGGTCTCTGTTGTGCACCCAGTGTTAATTTTGTCCCTTTGTCTTATCCCAAATGCCTTAATGCCATTTACAGAAACACATTCATGGATTAAATTTTGTTTCTATTGAACACCACACCGCCCTGTGATCTTCAGGAGAAGGGTGGTATGCAAATTTAATAAGCAACAATAGCAACATTAAGTCATTGGGCAGCCAATGAACGCATTGAGTATTATTATTATTATTAGTTGCTTTACAGAAGGGAAAAAGCATTGAAACACCACGGAACAGTAAAAAATACAAGCAATTTAAAAGCAGGAGTTTTAAAAGACAGAAATATGCTTTCAACTGGAATCTTGGGGCACAGTTCCATGCAAATAATGCACTCTTAACTGTTATTATTGTGATCATTATATAGTTATTTATACTCTGCCTCCCCCCCCCCCGGAAATTTACAGATAAGAACAGGGGGGTGTCAGTAAAGGGACCCCTGACCATTAGATCCAGTCGTGACTGACTCTGGGGTTGCGGCGCTCATCTCGCTTTACTGGCCGAGGGAGCCGGCCAGCATGACTAAGCCGCTTCTGGTGAACCAGAGTAGCACACGGAAACACCGTTTACCTTCCCGCCAGAGTGGTACCTATTTATCTACTTGCACTCTGACATGCTTTTGAACTGCTAGGTTGGCAGGAGCTGGGACCAAGCAACGGGAGCTCACCCCGTCACGGGGATTCGAACTGCCGATCTTCTGATCGGCAAGTCCTAGGTTCTGTGGTTTAACCCACAGCGCCACCCGCGTCCCAATTAAACACATAAACAAGTTAGATTGAAACATAGCTGAGTTGGTCAGAGTGTGGTGCTGATAGCACCAATGTTGCAGGTTCAGTCCTCGTATGGGAGAGCTGCCTATTCCAGCATTGCAGGGGGTTGGACTAGATGATCCCGGGGTCCCTTCCAACTCTACAATTCCACGATTCAAATAATTACAATAAAAACAGCATGCCGCCAGTCCTCTCATTAAAACAGTCGGTTCCCAAAAGAACGTTGGAACAGGAAGATCTCCTCCACCTGCAAAGCGGAGGGACGACAAGGAGGGAGCCAGGCTGGCTTCTCTTGGCAGGGAGTTCCACAGTTGCCTGGGAGAAGCCACCACCGAGAAGGCCCTGTCCCTAGTCTCCACCCGATAGGCCTATGAGGGTGACAGGATTGAGACCAGGGCCTCCCCTGGGCAGATTCCCATGAGGGGAGCACGGTCCCTCAGGCAACCTAAGCCTTATTAGCCCAAGCTGCCTCAGAAGGCCAGGGGGCCAGCCGGGCCCACACTTCCTGGTCCGGCTACCAGGAGCTGCCAGGGACTGATCCTGACACGGCTGCTCTGCCCCACAGCGAGAAATGGGGCGCCCCACGCGCTCCCCCCTGGGGCAGAGACGGCCTGAGGCCCTCCAGGCGCTGCTGGACTACAACTCCCATCATGCCTAGCTACTGGCCGTGCTGGCTGAGGCTCATGGGAGTTGGAGTCCGGCAGCCTCTAGGGCCCCAGGGTTAACCGTTCCCGCCTCTGGGGGCCAACGGTAAATGGGGCCCCAGGGAGCGCATGCGCACCACTCACTCACCCCCCAATTCAAAGGCAGACCGACCCCCTCAACTTCCCCGCGCTCGTTTCCCCTCACTTACCCCGGCGGCTCCTCGCGCGGCTTCGTTTTTAAAGCGCGCATGCGCAGCGGGGCAGGCTCCTTTTTTTAAAAAAAACCCCCAACCCTCTGACGACAGCAGAAGGGGATTGGCTCGCACCAATTGGAGGAGGGAGAAGACGGCGGAGGCGGGAGCTGTCGCCGGGGCGACCGAAGGGCGAAGGCGACGGTTGGCGGTTGCTCTCGCGCTCGGCTCCGATTGGGTCGCATCTCTTTCCCTCCCCGCTCCCATTTCGTCACGACGTGGCCCCTCCCCTCCTATATTAAGCCGGCCTTTCAAGTTTTGGCGGGAGAAACAGCTGAGGCGGAGCAAAGTTCTCTCTAGACGCCTCTCATTATATTAATATCACTTTTTTTAAAAAAAATCTTTATTAGTTTAAATGACACATATATACAAAGGATTTACAATCTCATACTACAAAAAGAAAATTAAAGAAAAAAGAATTAAGAAAAAAGAAAAGAAAATACAGAAAAAAGAAAGAAAAAGCAGATTTACGTGCATAAAAAAACCTTAATCTTCCTAATTAATACTTAAATAAACACTTAAATAAAAAAGACATCTGACAAAACGAGTCTTCCAATTATTCTCATTATACTGTCGTTTTTCTCAGTTTTGTATTCTTTAATATTGTTCCCGTCTACTCCACAAACAGTATTTTTTGTGCTTACAAGTATCACTCAAGTTCTGCTAATATGGTGTGGTTGGTACAATATGATCTTATTGAATCCTTAAATATTCTCCATTTTCCAAATATTTTCTGGTTCAATACTCCTCTAACTCTTCCCGTCAGTTTTGCTAGTTGTAAATATCACATATTTATACAGTGCTTGTTTCCCTGATAAGGACCCAAGGCGGCTTACAGTTAAAAATGGGAACAACTGAAAGAATCCTTAAAAAACAATGAAGCACTTTTGGTCATCTTAGCGTTCAGAAAGACATTAGAAAATAAAAAGGAACAACTCCTAGCAGTGCTTGATTTGCAACACAGAACAGAACTACTTTATAATATGAGAGTATAAAACAAGGCAGTTCCATCAGAACACGAAGCATTCCCAAAATATGATTATAAACACGCCTCTTATATATGTGCCTTAAGTATGTAACAGTTTCACTCGACGCTCTTGCTCTCCTTTTGAAAAGATACCTATCCTTATTCTGAAAATAAAAATAAAACCATTTTGATACAGTACTACACTGAAATGTTTAAATGTTTCTTTTGATTGTCCTCGAATCTTTGCTCCCCACGCCATTCTCTCCTGCCACCCCAGGGTGGTGCTCCACTCCCTTGGAGAACCACTAGGATGTTCTGGAAATCAGTGGCGTAGCGTGGGTTGTCAGCATCCGGGGCAAGGCAAGTAATTTGCGCCCCCTAACCTGTGGATTTTAGCACTCGAGTGCGAGCGCGCACCCCCAAATGTTGTGCCCGGTGTGGCCGGCCCCCCCTGCACCCCCCACGCTACGCCACTGCTGGATATCAACAGAGATCTTTGAATATTGGGTTTTTCCCTAAAAAAAATGTTTAGGGGTACAGTACAGTGGCCGCTCAGGTTGTGAACGTGATCCGTGCGGGAGGCGCGTTCGCAACCCGCAGCGTTCGGAACCCGCAACTCGGTGTCTGCGCACGCGCGTGTCACAATTTGGCGCTTCAGCACATGTGCAATTTAGTGCCTCTGCGCAAGCGCTGAAACCCGGAAGTAACCAGTTCTGGTACTTCCAGGTTCGGCGTGGTGCGCAACCCAAAAACTCGCACCCTGAAGCTTCTGTAACACGGGTATGACTGTACTCTCATTTTCCTACTCATATTGAAATACCTCAATGAGGCCAAACTTAGATTCACAAAAGGTTTAGGGGTATCCGTACCCCTGCGTCCCCCCAGGAAAAAAAGCATGGCCTTTGAGTGGTTTCAGGTGGGAGCCTGGGGGCGACAAGTGCTCTGGCGCTTTCTTTTCCTGTGGTGGTTTTCAACCAGTGTGGCGTGGCACCCTGGGGTGCCTCGAAGGGTGGTCAGGGGTTCCACACTGGCCTCTGCCCCTCTTTCCTTCCCTCCCTCCTCTGATGTCCTCTTGCATCTCTGCCTCCCAAAGGCTTGTACAGTGGATGCTCAGGTTGCAAACATGATCCGTGCAAGATGCACGTTCGCAACCCGCAGCGTCCACAACCCGCACCTGCGCATGTGCAGGTTGCGATTCGGCGCTTCTGCGTATGCACAAAGCACGGTTTAGCCCTTCTGTGCATGCGCTGCCGCCGAAACCTGGAAGTAACCCGTTCCGGTACTTCTGGGTTTCGCCGGTCCGCAACTCGAAAAAACGCAACCTGAAGCGTCTGTAACCTGAGGTATGTACGGCTGTTTATTGCAGCAGCCTTGGCTACAAGATCCGCAGGCGAATGGGGGGCACCTCTCTTTGGGGCAGGGAAGGGGGCAGCTCAGCAATCAGGGACGGACGGCTGCCCAGAGGACCCCCAAGGAGTGGGGAGAGGAGAGGAGGCAGAGGGAACACTCCACAAGGGTGGGTGTTCGGAAAAGGGTGAGGGGCTGCTGGCTCTGCCGGCAAGGGGTGAGATAACTGGGCTCCTGAGCCCCCCAGGGGTGCCGCAGAAAGAAGGTAGTTGATCAAGGGAGCCATGGACTCAAAAAGGTTGAATGCTGTAAGGTGATTATTAGTGGTTACCAGTCTGCCTTGTGCAGTGCTTTTTATTTATTTTATTTATATACAGTAAATATAAATATAATCCTAAACGGGATTGAAGTTGAATCCTGACAAGACAGAAGTACTGTTTTTGGGAGACAGGTGGCAGGCTCGTGTGGAGGACTCCCTGGTCCTGAATAGGGAACTGTGCCCCTGAAGGACCAGGTGCGCAGCCTGGGAGTCATTTGGACTCACAGCTGTCCATGGAGGCGCAGGTCAATTCTGTATCCAGGGCAGCTGTCTACCAGCTCCATGTGGTACGCAGGCTGAGACCCTCCCTGCCCGCGGACTGTCTCGCCAGAGTGGTGCATGCTCTGCTTATCTCCCGCTTGGACTACTGCAATGCGCTCTACGTGGGGCTACCTTTGAAGGTGACTCGGAAACTACAACTAATCCAGAATGCGGCAGCTAGACTGGTGACTGGGGGCGGCCGCCGAGACCACATAACACCGGTCTTGAAAGACCTACATTGGCTCCCAGTACGTTTCCAAGCACAATTCAAAGTGCTGGTGTTGACCTTTAAAGCCCTAAACGGCCTCGGTCCAGTATATCTGAAGGAGCGTCTCCTCCCCCATCATTCTGCCCGGACGCTGAGGTCCAGCGCCAAGGGCCTTCTGGCGGTTCCCTCATTGCGAGAAGCAAAGCTACAGGGAACCAGGCAGAGGGCCTTCTTGGTAGTGGCGCCCGCCCTGTGGAACGCCCTCCCATCAGATGTCAAAGCGATAAACAACTACCTGACATTCAGAAGACATCTTAAGGCAGCCCTGTTCAGGGAAGTTTTTAATGTGTGATATTTTACTGTATCTTTGGTTTCTATGGAAGCCGCCCAGAGTGGCTGGGGAAACCCAGCCAGATGGGCGGGGTACAAATAATAAATTATTATTATTATTATTATTATTATTATTATTATTATTATTATTACAGTGGTACCTCTGGTCGCAAACAGGATCCGTTCTGGAGGCCCGTTCGCAACATGAAAAGAGTGCAACATCAAAACCCCTCATATGACATGTTCCAGAATCACCCTGCGTTATGCTGCTGTTTTGCTATTCATTGCTATTTGTTGTATATTGCCCTCTGAATATCTTCAGAAACTGCCCTGGGAATGCAAATGGCGTTGAAGGGGGAGGCAGACCTGTGGCCCCCAGATGTTGCAGAATCATAGCATCACAGAATTGTAGAGCTGGACTGGACCACAAAGATCCTCTAGTCCAACCCCCTGAAAATGCAGGAATCTTTTGTGGCAGCTCCCATCATCATTATTTTTTATTATTAAATATTTTTATTAACCAATTTCAGTGTAACAATTTATCAGTCCTCATAATCAGTTACATTATTTTCCCCCTTTATTTACCCCCCCTCAAACCTCACTCCCCCCCCCACCAAGGACTTCCCTCAGCTCCCCTCCCTGATTTTCCCCCCATATCTTGTTCTCTGCATGTTACAAAATGGTACATATCCTTGCTTTATCTATTGTCGAGAATCCAGCTCGACATCAGTAAGAAAATCAGTAAGAAATCAGTCTCACACCAAGATGACTTGAAGAAAAAGCTTTGGCTTCAGCCGTGCAATGTTTATTGTGTGCCGTAAAAAATAGATCATCCTCCCTCCTCCAGCACTGCGCTTGCTCTGCCTGGTACTCAAAGTAACAAATCAAAGGAATGTAACCTTGCTTTTGCCCACAGACAAAGAGAGTGTTATGCTACGTGAGCCAATCATTAGTCTAGCATGAGGTGTTCACGTGCTCATCATGCTCTTAGCAATATCTCGTGCTGTAAAATCACTCTGCAATAATAAGAACTCTGCTCATGCTCTTATGTACAAGCAATCATTTTCCCACAATCTATCATATGTTCAACTAATCAATTTGTGAATGTTTATTCAAACCCTGCCAAAGAGTCCGGTTCATTTTATTGTCTTTTTAGATCGTTTGTAAAAAGTTCCCATTCTTCCTTGAAGTCACAGTTGTCCTTTTCATGCAGTTTGTATGTCAATTTGGCCAGTTCTGCATAACTCATCAATTTCTCTTGCTGCTGTTCTTTCGTTGGGATTTCCTCATTCTTCCATCCTTGTGCTATCAAGACTCTTGCTGCTGTTATAGCATACATAAATAAGTTCTTTATTTTTCTAGGCAGGTCTTTTCCTACAATCCCTAGCAAAAATGCTTCACATTTTTTTGTGTTGTTTTTTTTTACAAATGTCAATTTAAACATTTTTTTCAATTCAGTAGATATGATTTCCCATTTTTTTTAAACTTTTCTACATTCCCACCACATATGGCAAAAAGGCTCCCGTCATTCTTAACCGCGTGCCATGCTGGGAGTTGGGAGCCCAACAACATCTGAAGAGCTCTGGAGGCAGATGGAGGATGGATAGCAGCTAAC